AGTGTTCCACCTTGGGGCGGCCAGGTGCTTTTCCGATTGCAAAGCTAGCTGGTCTAGAACATAGTTGATCGGGGCGTCTCGGAGTCAAGATTCCAGGTCCTTGAGACAGCAGAAGGCGAGGAGAAGAATGCGGTAACAGTGAACACCAAACTAGCGAAAAGAGTGGTGTAGTATTGCCCGATGTGACTCGGGCTGAGGAGTCTACACCCATAAATGGCGTTCGGAGGGAAGAGAGGCCGGCCGAGGCCTCCTTTAGTTTCAACATGGAATCAACACTACCCACTCGGGGAATGCGCTCGTTGAAGCCGGAATGCACCGACTTCCCCCACGCTAGCCTTTAGGCCCACAGTGGGCTGGCGACAACCTCGACGAACGAAAAGCGAATCTTTTCCTCTCCCGTACGCACTAGTCTCGTTATCGTCCCACATTTTAAAACGCACACAAAACCAGACCCATTCGCTCTGTGGCCCCGCCTATCAAGAACATTTGGCGCATCCTAATTCACACTCGTGGACACATCATCTCCGGCCGCGCTTCGTCGAAGAACCACCGCCCCCAGACGATGACGAACCCAAGTCTGGTCTACAATTCGGGCAGCAGGTGTGGTAACAGAATGTGTCTGGGCTCATTCGCATGCGGTGTTGACCTGGATCCCGGCGTTGGGGGGAAAGTGTCAGCCCTAACAGCCCGGAATTTTGGCGTCAAAGCCGGACCTGATTGTACACACGGGAGTGGCTGTAGAGGAGATTGGGGGTAGGGCAAGAAATATGAAAGAGAGGGGGCCAGCTGGGACAGTTGTCTGCAAGGCGACGTTCTTGGTGCCGAATTATGGCGAAACCACAAGGCTCCGAAAGCCCAGGCTGGGAGGAGTGTGGGATGAGACAAGAGCCGGGACGAAAAGAGAAGAGGAAAAAAAGACGAGTCAACTTACACCAACGGTACTCGTTGCCCCTCCCACCGCATTGGCAACAAGCCCAGCGGCCACCCAGCTGGGCAAGACGGCAGCCTCCAGATTCGCAATCCGGGGAGATGAGGCACCCTCCCGAAGCGCTGGTTATTGAAACACATTAGCTGCTGGTACTGTGGGCTTTTGATCGAAAGGATGGGTGAAAAGAAGGCTGTGGGAGGCTGAACTCGAATCAGTCGGATTTGGACAGCCAGGTAGGTACGTACCACGGGTCATTGTAGTCCACTTGGTTCATAAGAACGGCGTCATCACCAAAAAATGCGGCATCGCACGGATGAACCGCCCCAGTTACCGGGTCTGTCACGGCACAGGAGCAGTACTTGTAGTTGACCACCATTTCGATGGGGCGGTTACAGGGTGGGAGGTCTATCAAGGAAGGTCGGTCAATCTCGGGGAACTAAGGTGTCTGAGTTGCTTTCAGAAATATTGGGGGGGGGGGGGACTGATAGGTAGTTGGGAGGTAGAATAACATGGGTACGTACGGTGGTGGTGAGAGTACCCCCAGACACACATGGCGATGGTTTCTGTTAGCTGTTTCTGATTCTTTCTTACAATCTCACTTTTCTCTTTTTTTCTCTCCCCCTCTTTTGATTTTTTTGATTTATTTTCAAAATACGTGCTTTGTTCTTTCTTTGGTATTCTGGGGTAAGGCCCCTTCGGTAAATATTTCGCCCTATCCCTTGTAAGTATATATACTGTGAGGTCAGAGGCGGGCATAAAGTGGCATAAGTCCAAGTACAGTGAATTCTTACGGTTCGTGAGAGTCAAATATTCCGCTATGATACAAGTCGCGTACGGTTTGGTGTTCGTTGAGTTGAGAGGATCTGGCCGTTGCGCGAAAAGGTTTAAGGCGTTCCCTGGCGTAGCCCTGGATAGCACGGCCCGGATGGGTGAGATGGCTAGTGGTTGGGTGTGATCTTGGCCTCAATCACCGGGTGATATTTGCGGTGAAGTTGTTGACGGATATCAGCTTGAGACGGGTCTGTGTTGGGTTGCGTTCGATGGAAGGTTGACCACCGGGGTATGAAAGGTATGTCTGAAAAGGTTTAGACCGCTGGTTCAAAGTAGGTAGGGTAGCAGATGCCGGATATTGGTGATTGGCACGGGAAGAGGAGATCAACACCGAGGTAGCTTATATATAATGCCCCGGGTCACTGCTCACCAACCTGGAATTCGCAAGGCTGTACACTTTGGGGCTCGTCCCAGGCTGGTTGCCCTTGGCATCAATGAAGAAGTGCGGGTATCATCATCCCTGATTTCAGGCCGAGGGTAACTCAACACCTTTCTGTAGCCCCGGTGTACCCGAAAGGGCTGGATAAGGTATGCTTCGACGCAACAATGTCTGCTTCCTGGGGGCCGAAGTTGTCTGCCCGAAACCTTGGCAATGTCTTGCCTTAGGTCTCGAAACCCTGGATAGACGAAAAGCGGCAGTCGTCATCAAGGACGAATACGGAAATCTTAGGCGCTCGGGGAGGCCGAGTCTGTCTCGTCACGAGGCTGGCACGATATTATTGACAGCCATTGTCCGACATAGCGGGAACAGCACGTGGGGCTACCGGTAGCCGTGCGCGTGCAGCGTGCTTTGCCGCCGGGTAGGGGAGGAGGAAACGTGGGCCAACGCGGGTGTGGGCTCGAGACATGAGTGACACAAAGCTGAGACATCGTAGCCTCTGGGGGCTCAACGGCGTCAGGGAAAGAAGAATGCTTGATAACTTTAGAGCCCCAAACAACGTTAGGCATAGCTAGTGGGGGGTGGGCGGGGGCTGGCACTCAGAACAGAGTTGAGACTGCTATATCAGTGCCAATTTTGCGGCCTTAGCGCCGAGTGCACCGGTTCAGCTCCGCGGATGAGCACCGAGGGCTCGGGTCCACCGACACCGGAGGCGTTTGTTTGTGTCAACACAAAATTCCGGGACTTTTCCCGAAGGAATGTTCTATTAATATTCTAAGGCTGACTTTCGTCACAGCTGAGGCGCCTACAGTACCCGGCTCACTGTCTCTTGTTGTTCCGATGCTCAAATTGCATGATCCTCCTCCTCTTACTGAGACACGGAAAGATTAGGTGGATCGGATGAAATCAAACATATGGATTTGGATGGTTAGTACTTCTTACATCGATGACGAGAATCAATAAAAGATCAGAGCGAACGCGATGCGATAAGATACCGCGCGCAATGACTCCCGATTGGGTGGGTTAAGTGCTCATGGAGTCATGGAGCTTAGACTCAAACTCCTGATGAGGCTGTGAACCACCAGTGAACATGCTCTCAAGCATGAGTCCCGTTACCGCCAACGTGTAAAGGATTGGTAAGTTCTAGAACGGGGTCCCCGGGGATCGTTCGAAGATCCTACTGCCTCTTCTGCAATGAAACCCAATGGATGGAGTGGCTCTAAGACACGAGAAGAGTTTCAAGCGCAGTGAAAGCGGCTCTTACACACACAGCCCCCTCCCCCCAAAACTCCAGACCCGCAGATCACCCTGCAGCTGGTGGTATTCTTCGACGTCCGAATGGCCCAAGAGCTGTTTTTGGACGCGAGATCTGCACCGGCTGGCGATCGTTCAGGCCGTGTCCCGATCAAGAAGCATAGATGCATGGCATTCTCACGGCATCGGACCGGCAGAGCTTATCGGCAGCAAGCATTGATTGTTCATGGCATTGTTGAGTTCTTCCGTCGATCAAGAAGCTGTGGAAGGCCTATTAAAGGTAGACCACCCGCCAAGAAGACATAACAATCACTTCTGCCAAGCTTGGAGCAAACCTGGGATGAGACGATTATCCCATGTCTTCGCTTGACCTCCCCCCCCCCCCCCGCTTGCGGCTCGACTTCCACTTCCCTGTTCAAACAAAGCGTTAGGAAGAAGCTGGCACTAATTCATACGCAAAACGGTGTACACGTACTTTTGGTTTCGTCTTCCTTCCCAGTGAGAAGACAGACCTGTGAAACCCGATGAGGGTGGGATTGCATGATACACAGGAAATGCCAAGAGTTACCCCCTTTTCCGACTGCGGGTCACGAAGACCCCAACTTGAGAACGATTTTGTGCTTACGAACACAAATGATTCGATCGGCATGTGGCATTCAAAGATCGGATGAGAAAAATTCAAGACAATTGCTCCCGCAGCTGACACGAACGACACTCTTTTACCTTTTACCCTCTGTCGAACAACTCCTCCATGCCACCATGATCGGCCCTCGAGCCACCGCTGAAACGAGTTCGAGTTTCAAAACAAAACAAAACATCTAGAAGATGGGTATTCATCATCTCCACTGCGTTGGCCAATAGATAAGATTGGAAGCTTTGGCTATTACTATTAAAATAGTGTCAGCGTTTAGATATGAATTCTCATCAAGCATCGTCGAGCCGGCCGTTGTAAATCAACGCATTGATTACTTCAGCCATGACTTTGAAGTACGTGGGAGATATGGCCGGAAAGAACCATCGTGACTGGGGGGCTCTCTCGTGATACGGGATAAGTTCTCAGTATTAGCTTGGGTGTGCATGAGGTAGATCAAGAACCGCCTGAATCGGGATTCAACTTCAAAGCAGCTACCTCTATCCTGAAGAGTTTGTTGATCCAGTACACCTTCCGGTACACTTTTCAGAAGCCAATCCCGTTCGACTATCGGGTTCAATGTGGCGAACAGAGCCCGAAAAATATTTCCCGTCATCATCAACTTGAATCATATGTCCCACAAACAGAATACTTAAATCCGCCCGGGCGCAAGTATTACTTCGGAGACTTCCCGGTTTGAGCGAGGTCGTGGTCTTACAGCCTGGGGCACAACATCCAATACCACCGCCGCGGCGCCGGTGACACCATTCCTTTGCCCGCGGTGCGGAATGTATCGCCCTGTGTTACTTTGCCCAAGGCACCCCGTTGGGTTCCATCTTACGCGAGAAAACGGTTCTTGTGTTTTGGCTTTGCGAAACGTGAATCTCACGATCCGTGAACCTGGGCAACAGAGTAGGAAATCCCAATAATCGGCCTTTGCCCGACCTCAGTGAGTGGAAGAAGCACATGACTCAAGCTTACGCATCCTCGGAGAACGAGACGACCGCCCATTTGCCGTTCCACGCCCACTTCCGGGCCCCAGAGTTGTTACTCCCGCCCTCGGTGGCTTTGAGCTTCTCGTCTTCCCCGGCCTTCAGCCCCACGACAACATCGGCTTTACATGTCCGTAGCGCTAGGATGTTGAGACCGGATCCGGGACCGAGTGGCCCAATGGCCTTGGCAAATGGCGTCGTCGCATCCCAAGCAACCTGATTGTTGTGAGTATGGAAATAAACCTCCGTCAAAGACTTGGGGAACAAGGGGACCGGACAGCGAGACTTACATCGCCCACTAGTTTTCTGTAGTTCAAATCGCCCTTGAATACCACCAGCTCAGACTGCTTCAAATCTTCAACCAGATCTTTCGCCTCTTCGGGCAACCTCCAAAAGCTGCCTGGGCCCGTCCAGACGCGGTTCGGCCGTAGTACCAGCTGGCCTTCAGCATGGAAGCGACTCCATTCGGAGAACAGGAACCCCAGGTCCGCAACCTCCGCATCGGTCAGCTTCTCAGGTTCAACACCGCGCAAACGGTCGTCTTCAGTGGGGTTGTCGTAGAAGCCGCGGGGGTCGGCAATGGCGCTGAGCAGGGAAGCGAAGTCGCTCGGCAGCACGTCGGACACAAACCAGGGGATCGATTTCGGGTGCAGCACCACGGTGGTCGCCAGTCCGGACGAGAGCAGGTATCCCGCCAGCACAAGATCGACATATAGCTCGAAGCCGGCGTTGTCCAGCACGATGTCGACCCGGCGCTCCTGCTTGTTTTCCCGGGCGGCCCGCAGGTGGGAGTATACCCGCGGAAGGTCGTTGATTAGGATGTTCTTTTCAGCGGCGCGGCGCGCTTCGGAGCCCTGCAGCTTCTGGATGTCTTCGTATGTCAGGCTGGTGAGGAGCGAGAGGTCGGTCGCGTTGCCCCAGAGACAGATCTCGCAGACCTCGGCGAAGACGATGGCGTCAGCTTCCGGGTCTGGGCTCTTATCGGCAGCACGGAGTTGAGTGACGAGATCTTTGTAACGAGAAGCGAGTTCGAGTACGGCGGGGCGCGACGACCGGAAAGTCTTGATCTTTTGACGGGCGAAGACATCGTAGTCCTTCCAGTGAGTGGACAGACTGAAGGAGGTGGATATGCGGCTGGGCAGGAGACGGGAGAGTCAGGAGGTAAAAAACGTAGAACGGAGAGGACATGGAGTGAGAAACGAACCGGAAGAGGTAGCATTCGGTGTAGAGCCAAGGGGCCTTCAGCCAGGTAATCGGGCCAAGCTCTTCCAGCTCTTGGTTGTAACCGGCGACATCAGGGAACCCATCGTCCCGGATAGGCCTGGAGAATTACCGCGATTAGTATGACTATCGCTACGTTTGTTACTTAGCTGGAAGCAACTGACGTCAAGGCCCGGTCATGTTGGACTTCGTATTTGAGCTGGGCGAGCTCGGCGACGATCTTCTTGCCCTCCTCCTGCTTCGCCGGATCTTCGCAAGCCCCCACGGTACGGTAGGCATCGTCAATTGCTTGGGTCTAGAAGTGCATTATGCATCACAGGATTAATAACTTCGCCAAAAATATTATCGAAGATATTCTCCGGAAATGAGCAAAAAAACGAAAACCCACGATGATGATAGGCCATCGGTCCCGGGCCGTCGTCCAGGCGAACGACGCCGGATCGGCAGTTGAGTAAGGGGCTGCGGGAAAAAGTCAGGAAACATTGTTCGGCCCGCACGTTAACGGTAAACGAAATAGGTGTCTGTACTTTGTTCGGGGTCGAGCCTCATCTTGCCTGCTCGATTTGCGACTTTTCGTTTTATTCGCGATTTGCAGCTTGGACACAGCTCGGTTCCGGTTTGCGGCGTTGAAAGGGGGCTGTTTGGTGGGGTGGTTTCTAGTGGGGTTGGAGGGGTAAATTGTGCTGTCAACCCCTGTCTCGGGGTGATGATGTCGGGGTTCGGCGTTATATGCACCGGTCCTTGGGAGCTTGGGCATGGCGACCCCGATGCTGTGGAACAAACCTGCTGATGCACTCGGCGCCCGGCGCCAATTTCCGGAACAGGAACAGAAAATTTTGACTCAGATACTCGGAGATCCTGAAAATCCTCATAGCCGTCACACATGTGTTCGGGGCTCCATTGGCTACAAACTTGACGCTGATTCTGAAGGGCTCTCGCCTGCTTCAGTCTTCCCTAATCCGCTGTGTACCAATTTATTTCGCACAAAGACAAGGAAAGCTGTCTGTTTGTCTTGATATAATGGTAGATATTGGTGGTATGGAGTCATTAGGTCATAATTCGTAACTAAAGCCAAAACGCCGGTATCCGAGATGTGGAAAACCCTCAAGTAAAACTCCGAGAAAGACACCAGTAACAAGGCACGCCAACACCCAATCCCGTTCTCGTCCCGGAAGACATCCTGGTATCATTCTAAGACAAGAAAAAGAAAGGAAAACTAGGAAATAAAAAGAGAGAGAGGAGAAAAAGAAAATGGGAGCGGAGAAAAAGCAGGACCTTCCGAGTGGTTCGTTCAATACCCCATACCCGTGACGGCGCCCACGGCCAACACTTCAATGCGCCCGGCATATAGCCTCATCATATGCGCCACGGGGTCTCCCCACACCACGCTCCGGAGTTGTTCATCCGTGACTGTCTGCGCAACGACCCCTTCTTGGAGGCGCTCCTCGACCGTTGTTTTCTTGCCGCTGCTGCGCCGCAGGCGCGAGGCTTTGAGGTCGCCGGTTCGAAGGACGACGAGGCGGCCGGCACAACTGAGGGTCGATACGGGGATGGACCAAGTTGGCTTAGAGGATGAGGAAGAAGAGGATGATGATGATGATGATGAGGTAGAGGTGGTTGTGACGATGGTCGAGGAGGAGGTTTTGCCTGGTTTCGAAGAGACGGATGATGAAAAGGAGGAAGCGGATGGGGGTTTGCTGCCATCGCCTCGGTGCGATTTTCTTCTGTGAACTCCACTCCCACTCCCACTATCACTGTCAGAAATGGATCTGCGTGACGAACTCGGTAGACGTGGCGCTGGCGCAGCAAATAGCTCGAGCAGGCTCTTGACGTAGGCCTTATCGGCACGTGTGACCGGATCGCCCTCGTTAACAAAACTCAAAAAGAGGCTTTTGCGCAGCTGGGGACACCGGTGGTAGTCGTCGGGCTTGGTCAGGGGGACTAGGCTGATAGGAGGTGTGCCAAACGTGATGCAGTGGATGCGCTTGAAGCAGCCCGCGACGACCCTTAGCTCGCTTTCGGCCTCTTTCGAAGTGGCAATCATGTGGCTGTAGAGCAGCGCAGCGATGGCGCCACCCGCGCTGTGGCCGGTGATGAGGAGTGAGTACGAGGCTCGCCAGGGGTGTTCTTCGAGGAGCTGGCGCAGGCGTCGGGCGACGGGCACGACCATTTTGCGCGCGGCGGAGAGGAAGCCGGAATGGCAGAGGTTCCCGGGATCGTCCTGAGGATACTGAGTTAGTAATTTTGCTACTAGTAACTCCTACGGGAGCGGTGAATCTCGACGTACTAAAAACCCCTCGGGAGACGTGGGCTTCATGTCGAGGTTTACCGCCCAGTCCATGAAAGTGGCCGTCCCCCGGATAGCAAAAACAATGGTGTTCATGGAGTCCATAGGGATTGATTTGATCACCATTGCCTTGGTGCCCGTTCGCCAGTCGGCGTCGATGTGAGCATCACGCTCCGCTCGCCCGGCGGGCGGCTCGTAGACTCTTTCGGAATACTGGGCTGCCAAGCAAAGTAAGGGGTATGTGGGAATGTACCTGGGAACAAAGTTAGCCGCAGTCGGCTCCGAGCTCCGAGGAAGGGTGTTACACACAGTTTGAGGGGTGGTAGATTCATGGGCAGCCTGGAGTTCGCATAGCTATCCACTTTTCCAAAGAAGCTACCCGAGACAGCTGCCGTCGCCGCCGAGGCCTGGACTTTGGGATGATCCTTGGTGTGGCTCTTCCTTCTTGACTTGGACGCTGACTTGGTTGTTGCCTTGCCCGCAACTGGCGGTTCGTATGAGATGAGTTGCCCAGGGGCTGACGGTGGCTGCCAGGAGTATATTTCCTGCTCCTTGCCGTTGTACCCGCCTCGGTCGATCATTGTCAAGACATTATCGAACCGTTGTGATATCTCATCCACCACAAAGCTGGTTTGGCTCACTATTTGTCCCCCGCGGCTGTGCCAGCCTGGTATTACGCCATCGAGCAGCTGGTCTGTCCCCTGATGGATCCGATTCGACACCTGCTCTACTAGTCCATTACCATGGTTTACCAATTGGTTCCCATAGCTGTGGCAGGTAGGTAGCACGCTTTCCAATACCTGCTCTGTCCCCTGGCAGATACCCTTAGCTAGGTCGGCGGCCGACCCGAGATTTAGTTTGCTTAATGATGAGCGCGGGGCGTATGAGGGCGGCGGACCATCATGAGCGGCTGGCGGCGGTGGTACACCCGGTGGTGGAGTTCCGAGGTAATAGTGATGTTGATTGACGATGATGGGTGGGTATGAGCCGGGTTGGTCATAAGGAGCGAGTTGTTGTGGTCCACCGTTCCATCCAGGAGGCGGGGGCAGAAGGCCGGCAGGACGGAAAGGCTCAGGCTGTAGTACAGGGCTTCCGGGGTGCCAGTTTTGAGGCACGGGTACGGCCGGTGTCGGGGTTGGTGATGCTTGTTGCGGGGATGCTCGTCCTCGGCTCTTAGATGACGGCGAAGGCGGCTCCTTTTTCACCTTTTTGGATCTGAGGAAGAACCCCATGTTGAAGTCGGACTCAGCATCGGATAGCTCACCGAAAACCGACCACCGACTTCCCAGCGAGACGCTGTGATGACAATAGGTCGAGAGGGCAAGATAGGGGGCCCGAGTAACTCGCTTAGGGGGGGCCTACGCGAAACACAACAAATACTGTTGACTGTTGGAAATATGACGCGCGACACTGGTCGGAAACTAGAAAACCAACAAAAAGAGAAACGCGCCCGCGAGTCTAGAGGGGCGATAGGGCTACTCTAAGAGGCCGGGTGACACAGGTCCGACCCGAGGCAAAGAAGGCCGTCTCCTAGGTCGCGGGGCGCGGGAGTGCCTTGCTGCTTCTGCAAGCCAAGCTGCTCAACATCCTAGTCAACGACTGTTTGTGCGTTTTCATTCGCTGTAATGGCCCTGCTTCGCCTCGAATCGCGATTCGCGGTGGCGGCTTCACAGACCCAGCGCTGGCCAAATGCCGGGGAAAAACACCAGGAAGCATTCCATTGCCCTCTCATAGCCGCCGACGTCCCGAAGCGTGGTGCGGGGTGGTGAAGATGACTCGAACATTTTGTTGCTGGCGTTCGGGGGTGGTTTGCGCGGGACCGCTCCCCCACGAGTCTCCATCGGGCCCATCGTCAACTCCAAGCGAATCGTTTCTTCGCCAGATGGCCACCTGCAGCACGCCGGCCACTCACAGCACGTGGGGCCCTGCAGCCCAGCCGCTAAGAGGTTGGAATTGGCTGGGAGTCATCGATATCGACATTGGGTCCCGTCAACCTCAAACTGCATACCGCCTCGACTTTGGTGACAGCGTGGCCGGTGATGCACGACGTTTTCTAGCGTTGCGACTCTGGCCCGTATTTGGCCCCCTGCCCGACGAAGCCCAACGCATGTTCAATGCTTGGACCCTGCAGCAGCCAACTCAGAGGGCAAGGTTGAGATTTTGTTCCGGAGGAACTGGGTTTGCGTGCGGCCCGAGAATCATCTTGCTTTGCCCACTAAGAGTTGCTCCGAGCGTCCCTTCCAGAGGAAGGTTAGTGGGCGAGGGCAAGCGCTGGGTTAACACCAGAGACCAAGTGTTTGCCGAGTTTAGAGCGAGAAGAAAGAAAACGAGGCGGACGGGACGAAGTCCGGGTCGTGTGAACAGATTCCGTCCAGAGTGAAACCAATGCGTAGTCAATGTCGGGGCCACTTTCCCGGGAGATTTTCTTCCTTCTGGTGGAAGTTGCTCCAAAGTGGTCGGGGACGGTATTTTCAAGAGACGCCTAAAATTTACGGAAGAGCGGTGGAAATGGTCGATCAACCCCACCCTGTCTCTAAGCGGGCTCTTGCCTAATCGAGTCCATCTGCCCAGCACCCACTGTGCCAAGTGCCCAAAGCTCCCAGCAGCGCGCGGTGTTGTCCCTGGCTCCAGCTGCCGCACAGCTGTCAAGGGTAGCCATTCACGGAGCTCGCTGTGGTCCTCGACACAGCGGCTCGACATCCGCGTTCCATACGGCGAAACTATTTCGCGACATCTGGAACACGGCATTTCATGCGCTGAGTACTCGGGCAACACGAGCTGCCGGACAGCGACGCCGCCGCTTGCACTACTGGGACTTGTTCCCGAGATGCATCCAAGGACGCCATGGATTTTGTAAGTAGTTGGCCCTTTTGTTGAAGTTGGATCCCTCAAGGTTTGGGGAGAGGGGACTCGTGCAACACCTTATCGCTAATCATCACGTCGTCTCCCCTTAGTGGTCGCGCCTCTTAGCACACACGCCGCTCTCGTCGGCCGGCTCCCGCAAGGACTTTGCCAAGGACCCTGCCCGTCGACTGCACCGATTCGAGAAGGAATACAGCCAGCTGCTGGTGAGCAAAAGCCCTAGTGGCCGACGAGGCCACCGCCCCTGTTCGGCCACCCCGCGCTGACTTGAGCTTGTCTAGCACGCATGGCGCAACTCGTCCAACCTGGCCCACGATGAGGAGGCAGCCGAGAATATCGAAATTCGACTTCAAGAACTGACGAACCTACTCAACGATGAATCGCGCCGTCCGTTGCCTCACCCCTGCATCTCGTTTGCCGCCGCGAAGCAGGTCTACATTCCTGTGGCCAAGATCGCGACGAGCGCCTTCAACGAGTGGATCATTAAGGAGGCCGTGTTGTTCTTCGCAAGCCTGATCGAGAGTGAGGAGGAGGCGTTTGTCGAGAACGAGGCGTTTGCGGCGAGCTTAACGAACCTGCTGGTCCGCATCACAGGCGCCAACAGCATCCGCCTCGGTGCCGACACAGAAGCCCGCGTCGTGGAGCTGGCCTTCAATATCACGACGAAGATCCGCCTGGAACCCGATATATTGACGGCATGGTTCAAATCACACAATGCTGGCCTGGCTGACTCGCGGCCATTGGGTCAGCGCGAGCGGTTTGCCGGGAGGACCCAAAAGCAAGACTTCCCGCTATTTTACTTATTGATGGACTACATACATCACGAGGGCAAGATTGGCGATTTTGCGAGGACTGGCCTGCTCTACATCATTGAGGCCGCTTCGAGCTCCGTCTCACTGGAACAGTGGATTGTCGAAAGCGATCTCTCCACGTTGATGGCGACTGGCTTGGGCGCTCTGTATAGTCAACTGAGTCGCAAGCTTGTTATCGATCATCCACCCAACGAACTTCCGCCTATCCTCGCGTTTTCCGACTATCAACACCCTAAATCCAACTACGAGATCGTCAGTTCCTGCTCGTTTCAGTTCCAGGCGCACTTGGACACTTTCCTTTCCCACCTTCTTTTCTGGCAGGATGTCTTGAACCACTGTAGGTCGGTGGAGGTCAAGTCTACCTTGCTGGAGCATTTCCAAGTCATTTTCTTGCAACAATTACTGTAAGATTGGTCCATCCCCCTCTTTCTTCTGTCGAATACTCACTCACCCCCATCAGATACCCTTCGTTGCTTGAATCCTCGGATGTTGACGGTGGATCGTCTGTTGCCGTCCTGACTTACCTCCGACGGATTCTGGAGTCACTCGACCATCCTGACATGGTGAACCTTATTCTCCACTATCTTCTGGGTCTTCCGGATATTGTGGGTTCCGTGAAGACGAATGCGGGAGGCGCCGTGAGCGCTGCTCGGAAGCGCAAGTCTCTCGACCTTGCAACCATGATGGCGTCTAAAGGCGAGGCAGCTGCGGACCCACTGCTTTTCAACTTGGTGGATCTGATTCTGGCGTGTCTCAGGTCCCAAAATAACCAAACTGTTTACGTTACCCTCCAGCTAGTTTCGGTGATTCTTAAGCGGCATCATCGATATGCAGTCATTACCCTGTTGTACACGGAAGGTGTGCTGGGCGAGTCGAATCACCGGACATCCGGCGGCCATCAACAAGAAGTGGAATACTTGACCTCTCTCGCCGGGAGCATAGGAGGGCAGGATAACTTTGACGAGATGTACGACAACGTTCTCAAAGACACACTGGTGCGTTTGGAGAACCATCCTTGCTCCCTCACGCTAGTCACGCCAAAGACATCTACGCACAACCACAAACTACCGGCAGTTCCGGACACCCTTCCAGGCGCACCCAGGGATGTCCGGTCCCACACCCTTCACCCTAATGATCCTTTACTCAACATCGTCCTGGACCGCCTAGAAACGTTTTTCCTCAATTCCGTGGATACAAATTTGGCATTAACGGAGTCCGTTTTCGACCTTGCCGTCTGTGGCTTCATGCACCTTGAGGGCTGGTTCATGCGGAGTCCTCTCAATTACGCTTATGAAGAGGAGGATGATAGCCCGCCACTTCCCGAACCACCTCTAGACCCGGAGTCCCAGGAGTATATCGAGTACAAACAGATGCAAGCCATGCAGGAGTCCCGTCGGCGACCTAGGTGGATTCATGCGGATCTTCCTCGTTTGCTCAAGATATTACAAACTCTCTGCGACCAGGTTGCTGGATACCGGGAGATTATACCGCGTTTTGATGACCTCCTCCAGCAGCGCCGTGAGGCGTTCCAGATCGCTGATTGCGCCAGCCAACCGCTGCCGATTCACCCACCGCGTGCCAAAACGCCGGTCTCCTCCTCCGGCAACATCGGTACGCCCAGCACGGAGCGTGCGTCCATTTTCTCAGACGAAAGCCGGAATGTGTCCCGCGAACGCCCATCCGGTCTTGAAGGGTTTGCGCAGCGCCTCTTCTCCGAGCTCGGCACACCCACTCGATCTGGGACCCCGCGTGGCCGCAAAGAAACGAAGCGGCCAGTTTCAGATCGCTCGATCCCTAATCCTTTCGGCTCCCCAGATTTGAGTCTGCATCCACCACCCTCACGTACGGGACGGTCCTACTCACCTGGAACTGCTCCTCCTGCAAAATCACCCGTCATTCCTCCGTGGGAAACCCCCATAAGCCGCCCCGACGCGTTCTCTAGCCAGGCCAAAGCTTTCCAGGCTGTGGACCAGAGCATCCTTGCACGAAAGGTGGGCATCCCGGATACCAAGCCCGCGACGACGGCCGATAACTCCATCGAGTCCATTGCACTTAGCTTCGACCGGCAGCGCACGGCGGGTGGGGTTTCCACGGCGGATGAAAAGCTTGCCGCGGATGAGGAGGAGGCTAAGGCCGCCGAGGGTGGCGGCGAAGACGCGCTCCTCGCGCCGTCAGAAGACGGGGAGACAGACGACGAGCAGGTGCACGGCGACGCGGCTGGTGTGGCTGGCACATCAGGCGAGCCGGGCACCCCGCCATCGGAAAACAAGGCGGTGTCGGTTTCGCATGTGTTGACGAATGTCATTATTCTTCAGGCATTTTTGTTCGAGCTAGCTAGCGTCGTACAGGTGAGGGCGGGGCTGTTCGATGAGGTGAAGTTTGCTTAGGGAGAGCGTATGGGGTTCATCATAAAGCTGGTAATGGGAATGGCCAGACTAGGCAATGGGGTAACACCAATTTTGCTGGCGGTTAATACCCCACGAGACTCGAACTGGGTTGGGGCGGCTGGCTAACAGGGCAGAGGTCAATTGAGGAAGAGGGGAATGGAGCGGTCGATATTTGAAGTTGGGGATAATCTGAGAAAACTACTGTAATCCTCCAATTCCCAATGCATCTGATGGAGAGATACCTTAGCTTTGGGTGACATCAACGCTGGCATTGCTTGGGGCGGGTAGATGTCCAAAGCGAATGAACACTTTTGAGTCTAACCCCCCTTATTTTCTCAATAGGATGCTCGTGATCAACCTGCTCGGAAGTATACCCTTGTTGCTGCGGTACCCAACGCAGATTGAATAGGGTGCTGATGGTCTGACAAGATAAACACTTACCCTATTCGACCACCGCTGACGTCCAACGTCCAAGGCCTAGGACCTTCAAAGAAACCCCTAAAATAGGAACGAACATGCATAAATGAGAAAAGACCCCGAGGACGAGATGCGACGGTCCACCGTGCACATGAGATGACAGCGCTTTTGCGGTCAAAACGCATGACGGCCCGTCGGCAAAATATTTTGGTTCACTAACACTGCTGTGGGGCTGAAACCTGCAAGATCGACCGCATCCTCATCAGTCCGCGCCAAAATGCACGCGCTTGGATGCTATATGCACTGACGGCCACGGGAAGGCCGTTGCCGTACATGTGCGCCCCCTTGTTTGCGGGAACGGACGAGACGCGGTAGTGTGATCGGGGTAGCATGTTTGTCCACGCGCCAGGTTAAATCAGGGTCAACCGTAGGGTCAGGTTGAGATGGGGGGGTTTTTAAGTTCCGGATGAGAAAGTTCAGGGTCAACTCTCTGCTTTCTTGGAGTGTAAACAGTAGCAAATTTCACGAAATAAGGTGGGCATCATGAGACTCACCATACACGGGTTGTTACTGCTAGTGGCCGGCCTGGTGTCGGGCACAACCGCAACAACAACAACCAGATTAACAAGAAGAGCATCCGCAAACGAGACCAAGGACGGCTTACATTCGCTCATGGTTGCCACGGGAAAGGTATACTTTGGCACGGCAACCGACACGAACAACTTTGACGATGAGGCATACCAAACCATTGCGACGAACCGCAAGGAGTTCGGCATGTTCACGCCTGAGAACTCACAGAAATGGATGTCGACCGAGCCCTTCCAGGGGAACTTTTCGTTCGCACAAGCCGATCGTGTTGCGCAGCGCGCCCGGTCGAATCGCCAGCTCCTGAGGTGCCATACCTTGACATGGCATTCTCAGTTACCGCCGTTCGGTATGTTCTCCCCCCTTTCGCCCTCTACCCCCTTGCCCCCCTTTCGACACACCCAGCAAGAACAAGAAAAACAAAAACAAACAAACAAAGCAACGAAAACTAACCCACCCCAGTCCAAAATACCACCTGGAACCCAGCAGCCCTAACCGCCCTCCTAACCGCCCACCTCACCACCGTAATGCGGCACTACGCCGGCCGCTGCTACGCCTGGGACGTAGTCAACGAAGCGCTCGCCGAAAACGGCACGATGCGCTCCGACCCGCCCTCCGTCTTCCTCTCGATCCTCGGCCCGTCCTACATCCCGCTCTCCTTCACCATCGCGGCCGCAGCCGACCCGTCCGCAAAACTGTACTACAACGACTTCAACCTCGAGACCATCCCCGCCAAAGCGGACGGCGCGGTCGGGATTGTTAAGCAGATACGCGCGGCGGGCGCGAGGATTGATGGTGTCGGGTTCCAGGCGCATATGAACGTGGGGCAGACGCCGAAGAGGGAGGAGTTGGCGGGGACGTTGAGGCGGTTTGCGGCGTTGGGGGTGGACGTGGCGATTACGGAGTTGGATATTGCGCATGGGAAGGTTCCTGTTGCGCCCGGTGGGGTGGAGGAGGTGCAGCAGGCGAGGGACTATGCGGCCGTGGTGGGTGCGTGTTTGGATGTGGAAGCGTGTGTGGGTATTACGGTGTGGCAGTTCACGGACCGGTATAGCTGGGTGCCGAGTACGTTTCCGGGCAAGGGACAGGCGTGTATGTTTGCGGAAGATTATCGGCCAAAGCTGGCTTATGATGCGGTCGTCGGGTTGTTGAAGGAAACAGCCGGACTCGCGCCGGCCGGATCGGCGGAGTCTGTGTTTGGTAGTGACGGTGGCAAGGCGACGACCCCGAGTCCTGTCAATGCTTCTTCAACGACAGGGAGTGGTGGTCAACGGCCGACCAACACCCAGTTGGGATTTAATGGTGCGCCGAAGCTTGGGGCTGGGATGATGGTGTTAGTGATTCCGCTTATCGTTGCGCTCGCTAGTTGTGGCTGAGGGGTATGTATGTATGTGCTGGCTGTTCCTTGTGTTTGAGAGTTGGTGTGAATATAGCGATGTTGTGAATGTCAAATATAGAAGTGCACGTCGTCGGAACCGGATTGCTCGAGTGAGTTTGCTAGCTTCAGTCAACATAGTCAACCACACCTTTTACCGAAACAAGATAATTCCCAAAGAAGGCTCTGCCCTGCCAGTTTCCACATCGTCTATGTACATACATGTTATCCCTATGATATGCAATTTCCCGAGTCCCCAACTTGGGAGTCGTTATGCTACCCCTTTTCATGCAACTGTTTATCCGCACCGCTACTTGACCATTAGATCACCGCGGAGAAACACTCCAACACCCTCTCCCAGTCTATGCACGCCACCTATTCTGTCACACTGCTGGAAGAATACCCTGCGGGTAATGGAATAGATCATTCGGGTCCACACTCTTCTTAATAGCCTGCAGCCTCTCCAAGTGAGAGCCCCAGTAGTTCGCCTGGGCATCCTCCTGGTTGAGCCCCGAGTTCGGATAGTTGACATACATGCCCCAGTCGGCACGCTCCATACCCTGGGTGATGTTGGAAGCGAAGTTCTCCATGATCGTCTGCCCGCCGGCCGGGTACTCGCCGCTGTCGACGCGGTCGTACAGCAGGTACATGAGCAAGTAGTCGCGGTGGGCGTACGCGGTGTCGTCGACCGACACATTGCTTACAGCGGAGTTCTCGCCGCCGTGTAAATCGATCTGCACGTACCAGTCGCGGGTGTTGTTCTTGGCCGTGTTGAACCAGTAGCCGACAAAGTTTTGTAGCTGCGATTCGCTGAGCTCCTTAGTGTACAGGCTGGTGGAGTAGAATGTTTGGTGCTATAGTAGATGTTAGTGCGATTTGGTAAAGGAAGCTTCTCTGGGTCCACGGAACAAAACTAACCTCCGCATAGCCGTGTCCTTGATCGAGGTTCGAGCTGCCGCCAAAGTACTTCAACTGGGCCATCCAATCACCCGTCGTAGCCATGGCTAGCGTGGCATTGGTCTGGTTCAGCAGCGGCTGAAGCGCTGCCTGCAGGCCTGCCTTGTCGCCGTAGTAGAGCCCCTCAATGTTAGTAAAGCTGCGGGCGATGAACAGCCGCATGTTGAGCTCAGCCGGCATGGTCTTTGCGAACTCTTGGACCGCGCTCACGCCAATCAACGCCTTCTCCTCGGTCGCCCACCTAACCGGGGCGACGAAGTACGTGAAGTTACCCGCGGCATCGAAGGTGTCGAAGCGGAACTCGGTCACGATGCCCATAGACCCACCAGCACCGCGCACCCCCCAGAAGAGATCCGGGTTTTCAGTTGCCGAGCAGTTGACGACTGTCGAGTTGGCGAGCACCACCGTAGCCCCAACCACCCAGTCCAGAGCCAGCCCATGGGTGTGAGAGCTCAAGCCGTAGCCACCGTGCAAGGCGTGCCCACCAACACCAACGCTAAAGATGTCAGCTAATCGTCATAGTCAAGTCCACCGAAGCAGTTCTTCATCTCAGAAAGTAAACTCACCCAGGGCATGTCCCATGGCTGATCGCCCTCCCACCCTGGTTGAACAGTTCCACGGCCAGGTGTCCCAACCGTGTGCCACCCTCCACTGTGGCAATGCCCGTCGAGTTATCCAACACCACCTTGTTCATCCGGCTCATCTCAATGACCAGATGCCCATCCTCACCACCCAGCCCAAAGGAGGCATAACTGTGACCACCGCACTTGGCCGTAGCCTTGACGCCCGCCTCATTCGCACAAGCAACGGCGTCCTGAACGTGTTGTGCCGTCTCAGCTGCCACAACAGCCACCGGAGTGTAGTTGAGGCGAAGGTTGAAGGAGGAAACGTCGAGGTCGTAGTCCGTGCTGCCCGCCTCATCGAACGGCACGCTGGCCGCGGTCAAACAATCGGTCAACGCATCGACGCTTTCCACGGCCGATACCTGTGAGACCGCTGTGACGCCACCCAGCAAGGCGACAAAGGGGAGAGTCAGCCGATGCATGGTGAATGAAGGTGATGATGTCGTGGCTGTGGAGGAATGTCAAGTGGTGGTCAAGGGGTCAATTAACGTTGACCGCGCAACACTCTGGTCCGGTAACTCGGCGAGACGGGCCGGTTGTTGCCCTCTCTTCGTTCAACAAACAAGCAGTAAAGACAGTGGGTGGCGACGGGCACAGTTCTCCCTTCCCCACGAGATCGACGGGCGTCTCCGTCCACAGTTATACCACCTCCCCCCGCGCATCCGCCATCCCGCAGTCTGGGGTCAGCGGCAGCAGCGGAGCCATGGCGCCGGATCACTCTCCCTTTTGCCGGCTGGTCTTTAATTTATCTTGGGAGCATTCGGGCGAATAGATCGTAAGCCGCGGCTGATCCTGGGGATCCTTTTTCCTCAACTCTGGGGCGTGGAGGCTGCAGTCTGCAAGTCCGTTGAGAAGAGTGGACTAGGATTTAATCTCGGGATGCAGCTTGGCCGGGTCGCGCTTAAAGAGGAAGATCGCCAGAAGCGCAGCGTCCCGAACCCACCCGGGGGTTGTCTGCCCGGCCGGCATCTGACGATGGAGTGGAGAGAGAAGGATGAAGGCGTGCTTGGAGGTCGCTGGCGGCTTGTCGGGAAGCAATCTCTAACGAGAAAAAAAAGATCTGCATCGCTTTCCCCTGTTAAACGCTTGGTTCCCAAACCGCGGTAAAGGTGGGACTGGCGTTCTGGTAAGCCAAGACGGAATTGGAGGTTTAAATCTGTGATTCAAAGGAGCCTCTTCCGATCTACTAAAAAAATTGGCGGTTAACCCGGGAAACACCGTTTTTTCCATGCAACCGAACATTCCACGATTGTTCGTTCCAGCAGCTGGCAATGGCAACGCGCGTACAGCGCGGGCAGCGTGAGTCCGTTGGAATATATGCCCTCCATCTCCATCAGTCACTGAACAACCCCTGACAGTTCGAGATTGCACGGGTCCATATTATCCGGGAGACGGGTCCGAAAGCAACGATTGATCGATCCTGAGGATTTACAGCAATATAGCGGAGACTAAAAGTGTGTATATAACTATGATGAGCAACACGACGATCGTGCTGCCCGTCAAGATGGACGGTGAATCTTGCCCTTCGAGTGACTCCTGAAGTGTGCGGTTGCGACAAGCAAACAAAGTTTCATCGGGGACCCCGTGGGGCGAAAGCGATGATGCAAGTTGTGAAGCTTGTTGGTCGGAAAGAAGGGAAGGCTTCCGAATAACCAATTGAGAGGCAGATCTGCCAAAGGAACGATAAGCGACTGCGAACAACGGGACGACCGACGAGAAAAGGAGAAGTTGCAGTGGGGGTCTGGCGCGGACGTCGAAAACGCGTCAATCAGGCTGCCGGCTCAACATGCTTCGATTTATCCAGTGGGGGCCAGTCAGAAGAACACCAGGAGAGAAGGGCCGACCTCAAGAAGGGCAGGCACTGCCTCGCGGCCATTCCTTCCGGAACATTGCCGCTTTTGGCGCTGACAGACGATCAAACGGCGGGTCCACAAACACTCCGGCTTCCAAAATTTGGGACAAAACGGTTCCAGAAGTTTGACTTGGCAAAAGGGGAAAATTAGATTCCCTCATGGCATACATCTTGTTAGCCCCTGCAACAAGCACATCGGCGGAGTACTATTCGTGTAAAGCAACGCCCCCATCCCATTGACGGCACTGGGATGTGTTCTTAGGGATCCCAAACCGACTGGCAAATATCCACCAATCAAGAGGCCCGATTAGCTCAGCTGGTTAGAGCGTCGTACTAATACCGGTTCTCCCGTATATGGTATGCGAAGGTCAACAGTTCAATCCTGTTATTGGGCATTTCTTTTATCTTTTGCTCCTTTTAGCACCCCAAGTTGGTTGTTTTGTGGTGTTTTTATTCCCTAGGTCTGGATGAAATTGCTGTGGTGACGCGGAGGTGAGTTAGAGTTGGCGCCTCCTAGCATCCGCCCAACTTTCCGCTACCTGATTATAACAAACCACTGAAGACTGGACGCCAAGGGGCAACCGATTCCAACGATGGACATTTAGATTGGGCAAGGGTGGCCTAGGGTCTGGTAAATCATTACCATATCGTCAACTTTTCTGAGAATGAGAGCAGAATTACTCGAGTCGAAGGCATGATTGTTACAGGTTCACAGAATTTGATATTAAATTTCATATGAAAGACGGGTTTGGCCTTCCTGGTGACATATGGCCAACCGATCCTATCGGTCCTGGAGACTCAGCGGGTTGGAAAATGACGTCCCAATGTGATCGGAAAGTAGCTACGCTTTGCGGTGTTTGCAACCATAATACCTCCCGAATCTGCGTAAAGACATCATCCCATTCTCCAAGGCCCATTGCCGCAGCCGTAGCCCTAGCGGTTTGTGCCAGTGCCGGGTAATGAGGTGTCCCGGCCGCGGCCACCAACCCAATTCCGAAAAACCAAAGTCTGAGCCGAGGGTACGATTCTAACGACTCTTCCTTGCCAAGAAAGAAAATAAATTGGTGAAGAATTCGACTAAATATGACCGCATGTGTAAAATACGTCGGGCCGTGTATTATAAACATGTAGAGTATCGTTGCGTAGCGGACGCATTCGGTGAGTTGGGACGAATCGTTAGTGGTGCTACTTGCTGGTGGTAGAAGTCGGTGTATGACGAAACATGTCAGATCGTGCAACCGAGTCGATGTGAAAGGTATCTGTTCGGCCCTTTTGAAAACGGCGCGAAGTCGGAGAAATATGTTCCTGATTTCTGGGGCAATCCCAAGATTGCCAAGCTCGAGTAACCCTTCACTCGCAGCGGCAGAGCCGAGTTGCCATTCCGGAATAGGGGGTATTCCGGGCCCGGTTCCCGTGTCGTCCTGGGTCCCAAACTGTGGGGAGCCCATGATGAGCATTGATACCCTGGTTGTACGTGTGAGTCTTGGAAGGATGAATATGACAAGAACCTGCGGTGCCTTACCAGCTGACCATTCTGGCGGTCAATGGGCTCGTTTGCCTTACGGAGCTGATCCCACCCCTGATATCGACGAGTCTCTTGACCCCGTTGACATGCATCTCGGCAATGTCAGTGTTACCCTTGCCAAACTCGATAGTCGCCAGTGTGATGACAGAGTTTAATGTCCCATCTTGAACGGCTAGGGTTGTGTCTTCAACTTTCCGTCGGAGCAGCGCTACGGAATCGGCCATGAGAATTTCTGAGTTGTGGAAGCCCCTTTGAGCTAACAACTCTTCGTCGAGACATGCTGTTTGTAGAGACACATGAAACAAGGCTGGGTCTCCTAGGGCTATTGGCCACCAAGAAACAAGAAAGGGGTTTGTTGTTGCGCCGAGGTCAAGGGGGTAGTACTGGAAGGCAATTTTGTGGAGAACTAGGCCATGTTAGTGGAGAGCCGGGGGGTATCTGTGAAAGCCAAGAGTTAAAACCTCCAAACATACAACTGTGGATGAGGCGCTGGACATGAGCTCGAGGGAGTCTTGTCGCGGGGTATGACTCGAAAGGGTCAACGGGTGGGAATTTGTAGGCAACCAAGGGTCCGGAAGAGCCGGGCTCTTCATGGGGGGAGAGGGCCGCGGTCAAGGGTTCGTTGGCATAGACACATTGAACTTTGCGCTTGGTGCAGCGAGAGCAGCGTGGCGTGCCTAGATCACAGCTGTGTTTAGATTTAGCACACGCGGCACAGGATCTCCGGAGAGTACGGCGCATCGCAGCTTTGGGGATTGCTAGATTGGTGACTTGATTCAAGTGAGAATAGGGGGACAGTGATGTTCCGGTGGATGTGGGGGCAAGAAGGCCCACTGTGATGTCCCATGTGTCGTTGTTTCAAGCTACTCCAAAATATGATCTCGATTCTCGGTGCTCGAATGAAGCAAAAGACGAAAGGCAACTAGCGGTGCGATACAGTGTTGACCGGGAACTCGCCTTGCGATTCAGGAGAAAGAGCCAAAATCGAGAAAGTCGTGGGCGGTTGGACCACAAAAGGGCGAGAAGGGAAAAGACTCTAACCGAAGTAGGACTAGTCTCCGCCGTTTGAAGATGTCGACGCTGAATTACTCACAGAAGGCGGAGTCTAGTCCCAATCGGGCATATAACACACATTTTGGATGCGTCCCAGCAACCTAGAGGACCCCTTTCACGAGAGGAATAGGAATTCAAAAGAATTCAAAACGCAGAGAAATTTTCAATTTTTGGTTATTCTTGGAACTTGCAATGTGAGGCCGTCCACTACTTTTCACCATGTCGACCAATATTGCCAACATCACTGGGAATGCTTCCCTGGACGTTCTCGGGAGGTCCCTCGAGACAACATCAGGGCGAGGAAGTTTCACGTATTCAACTTTGAACTGGTCTATTTGGCAGTATCTGATAACACTTCTCCTGGGGCTTGTGTTGTATGATCAAGGTAAATCTCTAACATTAATACCTTTGGGCGGCGAGACGTTCAGCCTAACTCTTTGTATTAGTCGCATACCTGCATCGAAAGGGCTCTATCATCGGGCCTCGATTCAAGATACCTCTTACGGGACCGTTCATTCACGCACTGCATCCAAAGTTCGAGTCATACTTAGCGCAATGGGCCAGCGGGCCCCTGAGCTGTGTATCCATCTTTCACAAGTACGTCCGAGTGGAAGCAGACCCCTTCACTGAAAGATGAGAAAGTGTCTAACGCATAATGACCGTCACAGATTCGTGGTCCTCGTCTCCGACCGCGATCTCGCCCACAAAGTCTTCAAATCCCCAACCTACACCGAGCCATGCATCGTCCCTCTGGCAAAGGACATTCTCGGTCACAAAGCATGGGTCTTTCTCCAGGGAAAAGCCCACGCTGAGTACCGTCGGGGTTTGACACCACTCTTTACCAACCGAGCCATGGAAACGTACCTCCCGGCCCAAGAGCGAGTTTTATCCGACTACTTTGACAAATTTGTCACCGCCAGTGAGGCCAACCATAACAAACCCCAGGCGTTTATGACCCTATTTCGCGAGATCAACTGCGCCCTTTCTTGCCGTACCTTCTTTGGCGATTACATCTCCCCAGAAGCCGTCAAGAAGATTGCCGAGGACTTTTATCTCGCAACTGCCGCACTCGAGCTGGTCAACGTGCCCTTCTCCATGCACATCCCTTTCACCAAGCCGTGGCGTGGAAAGCGAACGGCCGACACGGTCCACGCCGAGTTTGCCAGGTGTGCTGCGGCCTGTAAGCGCAACATGGCCTCGGGCGCAGCCCCAACATGCATCGTTGACCACTGGGTATTGCACATGTTTGAGTCCAACCGCTACCGCGAACGCATCGCGGCAGGTGAAGATGCGCGTAAACCCACAAACCTAATCCGCGAGTTTACCGACCGAGAGATCTCCGAGACGCTATTTACTTTCCTCTTCGCTTCCCAGGACGCCTCCAGCAGCGCCACAACTTGGTTGTTCCAGATCCTCGCCCAGCGACCGGACGTCCTGGACCGACTGCGGGCGGAGAACCTGGCGGCCCGTGGAGGTGATTGTTACAAGCCGTTTGACCTCCCCATGTTGGAGTCGCTGACCTACACCGCGGCCGTGGTGAAGGAGCTCCTCCGTTACCGACCCCCCGTCATCTTCGTCCCCTATCTCGCCACCAAGTCGTTCCCCGTCACACCCGACTACACCGTCCCCAAGGGCGCCATGGTCATCCCCTCGTGCTACCCGGCGTTGCATGACCCAGCGGCGTACCCGAATCCGGACATGTTTGACCCGGATCGGTGGATTACGGGAGACGCGGAGAGCAAGACGAAGAACTGGTTGGTTTTTGGCGCGGGAGCGCATGATTGCTTGGCCCGGCGGTATGTGCCGCTGACGATGGCTGCCATGATTGGGAAAGCGGCACTGGAGCTGGACTGGAGGCATGTGGCGACAGAGGAGTCGGAAAAGATTCGTGTATTTGCGACCTTGTTTCCCATGGTGGGTGACGTTTGTTCTGTCTGAGATACCGGCATTGGCTAACAGCTTTTTAATTAGGACGGGGCCCAGCTGGTGTTTTCAAGACGTCCCTAGACGGTTAGGATGTGAGTCTAACTAAGACTTAGTTCGGGCGGGTGAATACTGGTATAATGATGGAGTAATGGTAGAAGTACAGGGTCACATTTGTTCTGCAACCATGGATGGCAAAATTATCATAACCCGACTTTAATTTAGTCTAATTTCCAGTCACTATCTTTCTTTGCTTTCCCTCACCAGTACCGCTCGGAATCAACTCCTCAGCCGAAATGTACTGCCCGTTCCCGGTGTACCGCCAGCGTGTGAAGTAGGCATCCGGCGTCTCGGAGGGACATTCGGGTCCCTTTCCGGCCCCGTTGCACGTCGCATATACCCCGATCAACGTCCCGACGAACGAGCCGGATCCTCCGCTCAGCAGTTTCACTGACCCCGTGCCGAGCGTGACCTTATCGTCCTTTGAACCGTCCGCTAACGAGGCAGAGAAAGTGTACTCTGTACCGGGCTCGGCCAGCTTGATCTCCAATCGTACCGTCTTGTTCTTCCACTTCTTCGGCACCGCCTTGGTTTTAACCTTGCCCGAGACATTGAAACGGAAGCTCAGTTCCCCATCCACGTTCGCCAAGCCCAATTGGATGTTGGACATCTGCGTCAAGAATGCCGTGACCCCGGCCTCCTGGCCATCCTTCTTGGGATCAAAATCCAGGTCCACGGAATAGGTAAACAAGCTGTCGGTCTGCCTGCGCCCAATGAACGAGATGGCCTTCGAAGCCGGGTCCGAACCGCCGGGCTCTCCGGACAAACTGGTCCTCCCCGGCACCAGGCGGAGTCCCTTGCCCTTAACCACAGAAACCGCCCCCTTTTTCGGCACACGCCAGTACACCAAATTCCTCGGAATCTCCCCCTCCTTCCCCTTCTTCCCCACTCCCTTCTCCTCCCCAAAATCATAAACATCCGGATCATCCACAAACGGCCCCGTCCCCGGCACATCCCTCGTCGGCTCCGGCAACTCCCACCCTTCCATCTCACCCCGCACCGGCTGCAACACCGGCCACCCGCCATTGACATCCACATTCCACGTCGCGGGATACAACACCGTCTCCCTTCCCATCGGATACGACACAAACTCCGGCCCGGACCGTGTCGCGAGCGCCACGCCCCACCAGTTGCCTTTCGTGTCCTGGAACAGGTCGCCATGCCCCACGGTCTGGAAGTACTCGTTCGTGCCGCGGTTGGTCAGGATCGGGTTGTTCTCAAACGCCGTGTACGGCCCTGTGAGGTTGCGCGAGCGTGCGATGGTGATGGAGTGGTCCTCGGCGGTGCCGCCTTCGGCGATCATCAGGTAGTAGTAGCTTTCGTTGCCGTGCTGGCGGTGGTAGATGTGGGGACCCTCGGGCCAGACGCCGCCGGTGCCGTTCCAGAGGGGGATGGCGGGTTCGCTGACCTCGCCGGTGGTGGTATCGATGGCTTGGAGTTGGACGCCTTGGGTGGCGACGTAGGCTTGGCCGTTGTCGTCCCAGAATAGGTCTGGGTCGATTTTGGGCGCGGGGAAGGTTACGGCGTTGCTCCAGGAGGCGTCGTCGAGGGGGTTGGTGGTGGTGAAGATTACACCGGCGTCTTTGTTGGCGACGCCGAGGTATTCACAGATGACGTAGAAGACGCCGTCGCGGTGTCGGATAGTGGCGGCGTACATGCCGTTTTGTTGGCCGGCGGTGGCCCAGCTATAGCCGGGAAGCTGGGCTTCGCGGTTCCAGACGTGGCTGACATGCTTCCAGTTGAGGAGATCGCGAGAGGCGTAGATCGGGAGACCTGGGAAGGAGATGAAGGTGGAGGTGACACAGTAGAAGGTCCCCTCAACTTGGACGCAGGAGGGGTCGGAATGCCAGCCGGGGAGGATGGGGTTATGGTAGGTAGAGTTGGCCGCCCATGCTGAACCCGCTAGGGCCAGGGCCATAGAAAGGAACCTCATGGTAATTAACTTTTTGGCCCAGAGCAAGCCGGCGTAAAAGTTGAGGTTGCAAGAGGGAGCGGAGAATGTCACCTTGAGGTAATACCGTGAGGCCTGGTGGTGGTCTATCTGTGATAATTATATCGAGGAATCGCCGCTTAAAATCGTCGCGTGGACGGACTCGTCTGGAACCCTGGATTCTTGGTCGCTGTGCATGGTTACATCGTTGCTCCAACATCAGGAACGGTGCATCGTTGGCGTGCCGAATACCTGGTCAGCGTCCACTTGATTCGAGCGGATCTCAATGGCTTCGGAAAAGTGCTGGCTAAATTGTCGGAGTGGCTCTGGGCATTCCCCGGATTCCCGGAAATAGCCATTCCATCAATGGGCTAAAGCTTGAGCTCGGCGGCTTGTTAAGCTTGTCACTAAATGAGTAAGGGAGATCATGTCTTCTTTGTCCGCAAAACATTTGTCATTTCTGCGATGATGTTTTCTAGAATTAAATCGTCATGATGCATCCTATCCTTGACCACTAATTACTTCCTCCTCAAAGTGGCCAAAAGATGATCCGCACAACCCAGATGCTGCTCCTTCGTCGAGAACCCGTCAAACATGAGATCCACCCAAACCTGAACGACTTCGTCACTGGACTTTGCGAGCGTCGCGTCGAGGCCGCCACCGAGAATCCCTTCTGTTGACCGCAATTCCAACAGCTCAAGCGAGTCGGCAAAATTGGAGGCGAAGAATGCCCGAATGTCGTCAGGGCGAGTATGGAATGACTGCACCGTTTGGCCCAACCCAGGCTCTGATTTCTCATAACGGCCGTCGATCAACTGGTAACCTCGTCAGTAGGGCATATCGTGTGTATAAGAGCTTCTTCCCGTGTTTGAAAACATACGTATTTTGTGTAAAATTCCTTCAGGTCGACGACTTTCCCCGGGTTCCGCATAGCGACGTCCCTCAGATGCGCATCGATACTGATAAATGCCACAAACACTAGGCCCCCGTTGGGCTTCGCGAGATGCAGCGCATTCGTGACTGCACTCGCCCGTTCCGGCTCCTCGAGGAGGTGATACAAGGGGCCTAGCAACAGGACGGCGTCATACAAGCCTTCGGCAAGACCCGACTTGTCGAGTGCGTTTCCCACGGCGATGCTGCGGAGGAGTGGCTTGACACCGGCAGATTTACGCTCGTCTTGCTCGGCTTGGGCGAGTTGGATCAGGTCCGGACTCAAGTCGACAAGGTCCACGTCGTAGCCGTCGTCGGCAAGGGCAAAAGCGATCTTGCCTGGCCCGCCACCGATATCTGCAATTCGTTTGCCTGGGATGGGACCTAGCTCTTTGCGTATCGCTCGCAGAGTGATTTCGCGTTCCATAGGATGCTCGGCCAGGCGTTGGTTTTCGAGGTCGGCGATCCTGCCGTACAGTTTGGAAACACTCTCGGTTGAGGTAGGCATCGTGATAGTAATGAGGGGGTTGAATTCGGGGGTGCGTGTTGGGAGTTCGACTCATTCCGGCAGAGCCGGGCGAGTCCCTTTTATGTGGCATCAAGAGTGAGGCTGTGAACGTCCATTACAGGTTTTTGGCACGCCAAGATGGGCCATTCAGGGGGAAAACGAAGCATGCATGAAGACTAATGGCATTAATCCCTCAGTGGTGTCTGAAGGGCCACTTATTTGAGCTTAGAGGCACTCCGAGGACATAGGGAATTTGACAACAATTCGTAATTCCCGCCCCTAGCTGCTGAGGGCAACGGAGCTTCCCAACAGGGGCGTCGACGAAACCATCTCACTGAGGCTATTCAAGGAGGGGCACGATCTCTCAATTAAATCCTTGAAATCAGTAATCATTTGGCAATGCGGCGTTAAATGCACTCCGAGCTCCGTTAGGGACAAAAGTGCGAGGAGGGCTGTGCTCGATGACCGAGGTAGTTTGTGGACGATCGGGGGTGCCGAAATCGTCGTCTATCAAGATGTTTGTTGAAACCTCAAAATTACAACGATAGTCACTTTGGCGGAGTGGTTAACGCGCTGCCCTGCTAATTAACAGTTAGCATGTTAGGCAGTTCCTTCGGGAGCGTAGGTTCGAATCCTACAGGTGACGGTTCATTTTGCTAGAGAGAGCAAATGACCCCTTTTGACTTTTTTGAGCCCGCAGGCGTCCGGTGTTTTTGCTCAGAAGCAACGAGTTATTTGTCGGAAAGCACATGTATTGGAATCAGAGTTCAATTCCGACCCATTCGTTGTTGAGCTGGATGCTCCACATTGTGCTTCACAAGGTGACAAGGCATCCTCATGGAGGCTTTGGAGGGGATGTGTCCACCCAGAAAAACACCGATAAATTATCAAGCGAAGGAGTTGTCATTGGAACTGCCCCGTTCTACCCATAATAAGCAGGTATCAAAAAAGGATGTGGAGGCAATGCCAAAAGAAATACACTGCGTCAGCCGCGAATCGAACGCGGGGCCCATCGATGGCAACGATGGATTTTACCACTAAACCACTGACGCTTGTAATGTTACATGGTTTGGAAATACGCCTTTTGTTTTTCTCACAACAGCGACATCCCTCTGACAGACAATAGTATCTAACTAACGGAACCAAACATAACCCATCGAGGAGCTTGACATACTTTAGTTGGCCCCGGAGGCCTTTTCCTTCTCAGCCTTCTCCTTCTCGGCTTTTTCCTGCTTGGCCTTCTCGGCCGCTTCCTTTGCAGCCCTACGCCAAAACTTCGGATACCCTCTCTCTATCCTCCAAGCCTCCGCATCCTGCTCGACCGCAGTCACCAGTGCCTCTCGCCACGTCCCGATCATGTCCTGCCTATACACGATGGGACTCCCGAATGCCCACGATACAGCCGTCTCTGCCCGTGCACCATCCGGAGCGTCGAGCAGGCCGACCGCCACATCAACCAGCTCGGATCGATCGTCCGCCGCATAAAACAGCACCGCCGAGCACCGGCCGCAAAAGTAACGCTGCACCTCGGGCGAGCTGGAGTAGTACGTGATCGTACCAAACCGTGGGTCGCGGGTCGTGCCATCCGCCGCATCCACAGCGGCCCGAAGCCCCAGGGTGTCCTCGGGAAACCCGCCCTGGTCGGCCCCGGCAAAAGAGATGTGCTTGACCAGCGCAAACGTCCAGTTATGCAGCTCCGATCCCACAGCCAGACGACACGAGTCGCACCCATCAACGGACCCAATTCCCTTATACGTAACCGGGTCTGCAAACCACGGAAGCTCCTTCCCACTCTTCTGCAACGCCTCAAACTCCCTCTGCGCCTCGCCCGCGCGCAACACCAGATCAATACCGCCACAATGACACCGAATCGGCACATTGCCCGCGTCACCTTCAGCCCCCTTCAACCCATCCTCAAACTTAGCCAACGCCTCAACCGCCGGCCACCGCACCCCCTCCGCCACCTCCTCACTCCTGTTCCTCCCACCAAGCCACACCTTCGGCGCCGGCTGACCCTCGCCATTAATCCCCCTCAACCACGGCAACGCCCCGCCATCGCGTGTATCACCCACAAATATGTGATCCGCATACTGCACAACCTGAACCGACGTGATGGGAGGTACATCCGCTCCCTCGGGTCCTTCCGCTGCTGCGGCGTTCAACGCACCCGTGAAAACGGCATATGCCGCCTCCGCACCGCTCTTCTTCGCCTCGGCGTTCTCCCACTCCTCGAAGAACAGCTCTGTCCCGCATCGCGCGCAAAAGAGGACATTCACTCGCGGAGAGTGGCGGTACCGGGCGAGTTTGGCGTTTCCGTCGTTGTTTTTCTCGCCGTCGTTGTTGTCGGCGTCGTCGCCATCATGACGAGGCGGCTCCCCAGCGACGCGCACAATGTCCGCGGTAGGCCCCGGCCAGACGGCATCGGCGGACCCGCGCAGAGCGCCGGTGACGTGGCGGCAGGATGTGCAGTGGCAGGAGGAACCGCGGAGCGGAAGGGTGGAGAGCGGGACGGAGTGGGTGAAGGTGTGGGCGCGGCAGAGGCACTCGGCTTTGAGGATGACGGTGGACATTTTGAGAAAAGTCTAACAAGTTATAATGAAAAAGGATTGAGAATGGGTTCGAATGGTTGCTGGTCCAAGTTTCGTGCGGGGTGATGATGTTGGCCTTGGTGGTTGGGTAAGGCCGAGATTTGGGCGGTATTTAATACCTTCGGTGCTTCGTGAGGTACTCGAGTAGTGGTACTGAATCCAGTCGGAAATACGGGCGGCGGTTTCGATTTCTCGGCCCGGCTGTATCGGTGATGTTGTGACACCCACTGAACCTGTTGTTGAAATTTGGGGTTGGAGAAATGAGGGGTTGTGACTCCTTCGACGGCGATCTGTTCTCCCGAGACGCCCTTGAGCTGACATTGCCGTCGATGAATGAGGAAGCTCGTAAGCTCGATACTGTCAAACCATTTTCGAGGATGCGCTGTTTGCCATCATTCGGTCTTTAGCGCGTCGCTGCCTGGGCTCGGCGCGTGGATCCCTGGTTTGGTCGACGTCATTAACGCGCTCATTGAACAATGAAAATTGCATCCATCCTCCCTTGTTTTGAGGTCTTGGTCGACGGCTGGCCGGGCGACGATTTGAAGTATGGACTGTTCATTAAGAACTCTAGAATGGGATGGGAAACAACATAGCCGCTCCGCGCTACTCAATGGAAAACCCAACTCCGACCCGACCCAATGCAAAAAGCACCAAGGAAATAAATACCCTTTCGACGTTATCTACCGAACCTTTCTGGGATTGGCCCTTTTTACGCAACACGGTCACTGTTCCGCCCCACGGTGCTGGCCACCGTGCTTGGGGTGTCCGGCCCATCCTCGAGCCCGTCATCCCGTAGGAGTTTCCGCCTCGTAGCACGCTCTTCGTCCTCATCGTCGCTGACCAGTCCGTCCAGCTCAAATTCGTTCACATCCCGCAGGCGTGCATCATCGCCCCGCACCGCGTGTCCGTTTACAACTGGCTTGGGGAGCGGGTTGGCGCGGTCGTAGATCTGAAGTAGCGCCATGGTGAACAAGAAGACAAGTGAGGCCAGGCTGTAGAGGATCAGGACATATGCGACATGGTCCATACCCGACGCAGCCAAAAGCGCCATTTGCTCCTCGGTAGCACCCATGAAGAGGAAACCAGCGGCGTATAGAAGCTGTGGACTATGTCAGCGTGGCGATGCGGCCAGAGCGGTGGAAGTTAACTTACGAAGACAGGGATGAACTGGAAGCTGTTGATCTCGGTCCCATCTTCCGAGATACCGGGCTTGTCCCGGAGGATGAAGGACACCTCAATGATACGCGTGATGCCGGCTGCCATCAAAGTGTACCCAAACATCTTATGGGTCATGGCGCTAATCATCAACTCCTGGGGGTGCGCGGACATACCCCAGCCAGTAATGAGGATAACAAAGCCTGGGATGAAGTTGCGCTTGGGGGCGCCGTGCCTGTCCCTGCTGAGCCACACACCCACCAAACCGGCACTCCACCAGATGATACCCATGGACGTGTGTTGCCAGTCGTTCCTGACCCAGGCCGTGCCCCAGCGATGTTCCGTGAAGGTGTTGACACAACCCCAGGCTGCGATGACGGCACTATCGAAGAATTCCTGACTGCGGCCCGTACGACGGAGCCAGATCTGGCCAACAAGCAGAAGAATGGTGAGCAGCACGCCGTAGGCGATGAAGGCACCGCCCATGATGAAGTGCGCCAGGCACTGGCCGATATGGTCGCCCTGGCAGAAGCCCAGGGCCGTGATGCCGCCAAAGACCATCTGCACCCACGCATAGACGGGGAACGCCTTGCCGTTGATGCTGTGCAGGATTCGGAAGACGGGCCGGATGCGGCCGTGTATTCCCCTTTCGAGGTGCAGCTTCAAGTAGAGACCGAGCACAACTTGGGCTACCATGAGGAAGAACAGCGGGGTCGCAGCCTTGACGTGTACGTTGTTCGAGTTGAACTGTCGGCCGCCGTGCCAGTAGCCGAGAGCGAAGCCGAGTACGGCGAGAGCAGTGCTAAAGATTTGCACCGGGACGTGCCACCGGCTTTTCACGATCTGGAAGATATCGACAGTCAGCCTTTGGCGATCTTCAACGGGTCTGTCTCCAAACTTACTCCGAGAACCATCCCGACGGGGAAGAGAATGCCAAAGGCAAGCATCTGCACGAAGATGTGTACCCATAGCGTCGTGTCCTGTGTATGTTAGCCACAGCCCAAGCATACCATCCCATCCCAATACCGCCGCAAACAACATACTATCGGATCCAGGGAGATGGCCTCCCCCTCTGGAATCTTATCCATGTGGTGTCCTTCGTGACCCAGCGCTGTGGGTAAAAAAGCAGCGGCTAACGCTAATGTCGCAGTAGATTGTGAAAGTCGAAGTTGAAGAGGTCGTCGTACTGGATGGGCGGCATCGCCCGGTCCCACGTGGAAGGCCATGGTGGGGGGTGAGGTCGTGCAGAGCGAAGGTCGAGTTACAAGACGGCGAGCGTGCTGGATCGGTGCCTTGTTCCCCTGGGTTCCAGCGATCGAACCCAGCGCAGCACGAACCACGGAAGGGCGCGCAAAGAAGAAATCGGAAAGTGGGACGGTGCGATCGGCTCGTGCGACGGAGCGGACCGGTAACGCAACCAAATGGTTCCCGTCGAAAGGGCCGGAGTCAGCTAGTTGGTGTTGGTTGTGGGATGAGAATCTGAGGAAAGTTGAGATTCGGCCTCGTCGGAAGGACGCAGACTCGTGCAGCCAAAAGGCCCCCTAGACTTGGCTCGATGGGTACGTACCAATTCCCTCATGCATGATGCCGAATCCTGCTCTGTGATTGGACAGAAGAAGGGAAAAGTGGGACTTAATCTCGCATTCGCTGGGCCACGGCCTGGGCCAGCGGCCATTTCACTATGCACCACCTTCCCACCTCATCGGTGGAAAAATGTAATTATTCAAGAGAGAAGGAGAGTACGTTAAGTTCTAACTAGACACGATGGCAGAGAAGATGAACAACCCGTCACAGAACAACCTACCCTTGCCTGAAATCTTCATTTTTCCCTCCCAATTTCTCCGCAACCAGTTCAAGTTCAACTGTGAGAAGTGTTGTTCAACTCCCGATCTTCCAATTATGCGGATGCAGTCTTGCCTTCTGCAGCGTCTTTCATATCCGTCTCCCACTCACTCCTAAGCCTCTCCGCGAACTTATCATCAGACAACACTTTCCACCCGACCACGGCCATGCCTCTACCGCATTCCAACGCCCGCTCATACGCCTCTTCAGTCCCAGCAGCCGCGGCAAACCCCTTAGTGTGGTTTGACTCGCCCTCATTCGTGCCAATCCCAAAAACCCCATGGAAACCGGGGCACTGGTAGCACACGTCGCCCATATCGGTGCTGCCCCCCAAGATATCCGCCGGCTCGTTCCACGACACCGTCCCCGCAGGCATCGCCTCAACATATGCTTCACATAACCCCCTGCTCGGGCGCACATCCGCGTACGAATTGAGCGGTTCCACGCGCATCTCACACCCCGTCGCAATGGCACTCCCCTCGAAACACTTCTCCACGCGGGCCCAGAGCGCGTCAGCCCCGCGCTTGGTCGCGCTCCGGCAGTAGTATTCGACCGTGCAGTCAGCAGGCGTGACGTTGGCCCGGTTGCCCGCCGCGCGAAAGACACCGTGGACTCGCTCGTAGGGCCGGATCTGCTGGCGCAGCATGCTGACGGCGGTGTAACCGAGACAGACGGCGTCGAGGGCGTTGACACCCTCCCAGGGGGCGATGGCGGCGTGCGACTCGCGGCCGGTGAAGTGTACGCGCATCTTGACGTTGGCGAGCATGTTGACGAAGGCGACGCCGCGGATGGGAGCGGTGAGGTTGTGGCCTGGGCCTGGGTGAACCATTAGGCAGGCGGCTGCGTCGCGAAAGGCACCGTTCTCGATGAGCTTGAGTTTCCCACCGCCCCCTTCCTCCGCGGGTGTGCCGAGTAGGCGGACGCGGCCGGGCTGACCCGAGGCTTTGAGAGCGGCCACGGCGCCGAGGAAGGCCGCGAAGGAGGAGGAGGAGATGAGGTTGTGTCCACAGGCATGGCCAATTCCCGGAAGGGCGTCGTACTCGGCATTGTAGATGACTAACCGGCCGCCGGAACCGTACTCGGCGGAGAAGGCGGTTTCGAGGCCGAAAGCGTGGGGTGTCACTTCGAAACCGAGCGACTGAAGAGCCGAAACAAATGCATCGTGGGCCTTGTGCTCTTCGTAGGCGAGCTCCGGGTTGGCATGGATGAACTTGTTAATGGATGAGATTTCAGCGTTGCGGCTCTTGATCTCGTCGTTGATGACGCTAGTCATATTGTGAGCCATGGTGGGCAATGCTAACAAGCTGATTTAGTAGGGTGAATCCGGGCTTGGTATCGTTGTTGAGGATCCGTCGGACGTTGGTTGATGGTGATGACGCCTAGTTTGTTTCCCAAGTTCTCAAAGCGTGGAGGTTAGCTGTATCCTTGGAGCCAACGCCCCAAAGATCTCCAAACCCCACCATGCACCTGCCGCAGCGACCCCGCGGTTGGGCTGCCGTACTTGCATACTACGCAGAATACCTAAACCTTTCCACCCCCCGATCACTTCGAGATTTGTTCCGGAATCGAGCCTCGACAGCTGGAGATCAACGGATCTCGATCAACGGCTTAGCATCACGAAGGTTCGGTCTCCGAGGTTACGGAACGGGCCACAGCCGTTATCGCAGCCGACTCCGTCCTCAACCTTCCACCCGGTTGTCAACGAGGCTAGGTCGGACCCTTTTTGGAGTAGTTCACTTCGAAGAGAGTCAGGGACACCCGCGAGCTCTATGATCCTTTCGGTATTTGTAATCGCGCGCTGGCGAAGACTTCGGGTCTGATCCCCAGGTTTCTAATAATAATGCGTGAGCATTCTAAATCGACCCACTTTCGCATTCGGATTCAAGCAATTAGTTGAAGCTGGGCCGAAACCAAACTTTACTTTGACCGTGTTTGGAGGTTAATACGAAATACGGGGAATTATTGTCGCCCAAAGTGGGTTATGACACCATGCCCAGGCGATAGGGGTCTCGAGACGGGTCGTCGAGATTTTGACAAAGCGAAATCGGCGTGGGGGAACCTAGGCAGAGGTGTTGTTGCGTTTGCTGTAGAGTTTGTGGCGGCTGCGTCATGAGGGCGATGCCTCGATCGCCTGGGACATAGGCTTTGACAGCGGCGATATCGCCGATTCGGATATTGAAATGTTCGGAAAATGCCGTGTTGCTGGTGTACGAAGTAGATGCATTGCTTGCAGTGCTCGGAGACATCCCGAGGGGCAATTTTGAGGCCTATTGTTGCTGAAACAAGAACCCGACTTGCGGAACAGAAGAATGCCGATTGTAAGTTTCTTTTGACGGAGATGGGACAACTTGGAGGGTTTTTGAGCACGTCTATCCATGTTGAAGAGAGCTAGAAACCTCAGTTATGGTGGTGTTCAGTAATCGCTGCACCATCAACAAGTCTTGTTAGTCGGAAGCCACGCCATATTCATCGAGCAGCCGAGGTTCACGGAGCGCCCAATTCGGCGCGCGGAAACAAGAGTCCAGCCGGCGGGGCGGGTCGTTCGGTGGGGCCGGCCCCGTGAAAGGGGTCGGCATTCAGGGGTCTGGAGGTCTGGGGGGGGGGGGGGGGGGGGGGTGGAAGTGATTGATGCCGGAGACAAAATGTGTGGATCGACGGAGGAAATGATTATGGCAAAAATCTCCCCGTTGATGTTCCTTGAGGTAAAGAAATCCGTCGAGGTGTTGTAAAATAAAACCAGCGAGAAAGAACCACCATTCCCGCGATTGTCATGATCCCCTGAGATATTCCAATTCATCGATCCAAGTCTCATCATTTTTTTTCGTCTGATCCCGGGCTTGTTTCGACTTAGATCCGCCCATCAAGACCCTTCCAAACTCAGAACATGGGTGCCCCTTCAGATCTTCAGATCGCACAGCCGCTCACTCTCAAATGCGGCCTCACACTGCCCAACAGGCTCGTCAAGGCCGCCATGGCCGAGCAGCTTGCTGGTAGTGGCCAGCTCCCCGATGAGCGCCTCCGCGCAATCTACAAGCATTGGGCCCAAGGTGGCTGGGGCATGATCATTACCGGTATGAATCACGATCAAAACCTTATCCTAGCCCCCCTTTTCCTTACTTTAGACCAATCTCATGTCTAACATCATCACTAGGTCACATCCACGTCGACGATGCCTACCTAGGCGCCCCCAACGACTCCGCCCTCCCCCCTTCCCTACCTCCCTCCTCACTCACACCACCCTATTCCGCCCTCGCCCGCGCCAGCCAAGGCCTCGACCAACCCGACTCAACCACCACCACGCGACGCACCCCAACCATCGTCCAACTTAACCACCCCGGCCGCCAATCCCCCCGCGGAGCCGGCACCCGCTCCTTCTTCTCCCCGGCCATCGCCCCCTCCGCGGTCCCTCTCTCTCTCGGCCCCGGTTTCATGCCCACCCTCGCCCGGTACCTCGCCTTCGGCAGCCCCCGCGCCATGACCGTCACCGAGATCGAGACAGTCATCAGCCAGTTCGCCCGCGCTGCGCGCATGTGTGCCGAGGCGGGGTTTGACGGGGTAGAGATCCATGCTGCGCACGGGTATTTGCTGTCGCAGTTTTTGAGTGGCAAGGCGAATGTGCGGCGGGAGGAGGAGGAAGGGTATGGAGGCGGGGATGCGAGGAGTCGGGCGAGGGTGTTGGTGGAGGTGATTCGGGCTGTGAGGGAGGAGGTGAAGGGATTTGAGGGGTTTTGTGTCGGGGTGAAGTTGAATAGTGCGGATCATCAGGGGGAGGAGGCGTTGGGGGAGTGGGTTGAACAGGTGAAGGCGGTGGTTGAGGCTGGGGTGGATTTTGTGGAGGTTAGTGGTGGGACGTATGAGAATCCGAAGGTGGGTTGTTTTTTTTCTTTCTCATTTTCCCCCTTTCTTCTTATTCCCCCCCTTTCTTCTTATTCCCCCCCTTTCTTCTTATTTCCCCCTTTTTCTTTCTCTGCGTTCCCCCTTTTATGAGTTACGAGTAATGCCAGGAAGACGGCTAACAAACCGTACCTAGATGATCTGGGGCAACGACGGTCCCGATGGTGCCGCCCAAGAAGAAAAGTCCGACCGCACCAAGGCGCGCGAGGCGTTCTTCCTCGAGTTTGCCCAGGTTATCCGCAAGCAGTTCCCAGAGGTGCCACTCATGGTCACCGGCGGTTTCAGCACGCGCGCCGGCATGGAGAAGGTCGTCGTGGATGGAGACTGCGACCTGGTCGGATTGGGTCGGCCTGCTGTGCTGAACCCTTTGCTTCCCAACACCGTCATCCTCAACCCCGAGGTCAAGGACGAGGATGCGGCGCTGTACCGTAAGAAGAATAAGACCCCATGGTATGTCAAGGCGATTGGGGTTCCTGCTGTGGGCGCGGGCATGGACAGTGTAAGTCAAGTTTTGAACTCTTCTTCCTTCTTTTCCTATGCGGGGACTTTAGCGCTAATATTGCTCAGCAATGGTATATGAATAAACTCCATCACCTTGCAAAGGTGTAGTAGACGGGCTATGTTGGGCAAGGATGTTGTGGCGAGGTGGAGTTTGTGCCGCGTGGCCTTAATCTGTTATTAGTTACCTGAGGTAGACTATAAATTAACTTTTACTGCGATGATGCTGCTCGACAAAAACCCCGTGGCAAACAGCCAGGCCTGCCTGGGCTCTTCCGTATTCTCCGGCTTGATGGGTACCAAAACCCCCCCGCTCGCGCTCCTGAGCCTGGCCCCATCATCGTCAAAGAGAACCCTCTTCTTCCAATGGCCGGGCGAGACGGGGCGCAGGTACGTGACCCTCGCGGCATCCTTGCCCGCCGGGTCGCGCATGGTCTGGACTATGTCTACGGCCCGTGCGAGTCCCGTCTCCAAGAAAGCGCTCCGGTCGTCATCCGGATTGGTTGCGTACGGATCGGCAAAATAGCTCGGGTTGTCAGCGAGGTGGTCAACCTGGACAGATTCGACGAGCGTGATGTTGCCAACACCGTCTTCAGGGAGCTTCCCGATGTGGAGAACGCCGCTGCTGCAGCTCGAGATGAGGATTTCGTCTTCGGAACGCCCGTGACCGAGGCCGTTTAGGTTGTGCATCCAGGACAGGGCTTCTTCCGCTATAACACCTGATGCCGAACCCCTAGTGTCTCGGTGGTTGAGCCTCACGTGCACAACCTCGGTCCACTTCGCACCAGAGTACAGGTCCTCGATTACTCGTTCCCTCCCGGGCAACCGGTGTCGGTGATCATTTGTGACGTAGATAGACGACAAACTCCTTGCGAAGATGTCGTTGGGTGTCTTGATCAGGGGGTGCCAAATCGAGCGGATGTGTCTGACCGAGGACGACCCAATGATATGGTGAAAAAGCTCGATCTGGGAGCGGGCGTACGGCCCCTTAGCCCCAGAGGGTTGTGTTTCGGGGACATGGTTAATGGCAAAAATGTAGACAGCCTTGCCGTTAGGTTGGTCCTTGTCGGGAATCACGTCAATTCCGTGAGTGATGAAGGGACCTGCGAAATTCTGGAATTTGAGTCTCTCGGATTTCATGGTCTGGGGTATCACGTCAGTGTGCTATCCGCTCATTTCTCAGGTGCCCAATTTACCTTGGGGTCAACAACATGAATAGAGCCCCGGCTGCGGCTTGCCAGCTCGGGATCATCAAAGTTGGCAATCGGAGGAAACCATTTAAACCGGGTATCAGGGTCGTCCTCGCATGCAGCAAAGACTGTGCCGCTGGAAGCATGGTAGTGCAAATCCTCGCAGTGCACCGTGTCGGGTATGGCGATCACTTCGGTGTCGGTGGTGGCGCCATTGGGGTACTTGCGTAGGAACCCGAACACAATTACCGTCTGATAAATAGGACGGGCAACGGTGTAGAGCCCATATGCCAGGAAAGCTCCCATAAGCGAGAGCAGGAACAACCTCATGATGACCCTCAAAATGTGCAAAGATCCTGCTCCCTCGCCATAGTGTTTCGGGGACAACAAAATACCCCAACGTTACTTATCATCCCATCGTTCAACACACAGAGACCCGCCTTCCCCCACGTCATGAGAGGGGTTTCTGGGATCTCATTACCTCGGCCTGTCAGAATTCCGGGGGCGGGGCCGGTTGGGCTGTTTGGACTTGTTTGCCCACGGGTGTCCCTTCCAAGAACAAAAATTTTGGTGCAAGGGAACAGGGGGGGTCGGAATGACACTCGGGGCGCTGCATTAGGTCGTGTTTGCTGCATGGTTAGTGCCGGCATCGAGGTTTTGGGGCCGGCCGCCGCTTATTCTTGAGCATTACTACTGATGATAGAGCGCAGGGGGAACCGCGTCATGTTCCCGACGACCGCGCTTCCGGTCCGATGTTCAATGTTGATTCCGGCCATTCAAGTCCGTGAGGGGTCGGTGTGGCGCTCGGTCCATGCGCCCAAAGCGACGGGAGTCGGATTAAAGTTCTGACAGAGCAGGGACGACCTCCGGGTGTCAACACTCGAGCATTGAGGTCGGCTGGCAGCTTTACAAACAAGGTGCCATGGGGTTGAGGTGCTCGTCACATACCTACATAGTATGCAAACAAGTCCGAGTCGTTGTTTGCCTGCACTTAGCCGGGCAGTGAGCCATTCGGCAAGCCTCGGGCCGCTCCTGCATGCAATTCGAATGCCCCGTCCCCGGGAGTGGCCCCCATCATTCCTTCCGGCATTCCCGCAGTAGCCCCCATTCCCCACTGTGCCGTAGGGCCCTGGGCTCGGCCTCCTCGATTTCTGACCAACCTGTCAAGCTCGCTGCGGGCAATTGACCCACACTCATCATTTCCCCCAACGCATTCCAAATCAAAGATCGAGGCATTCCCATTGCGACAAATCGTGGGTTGCAGGGATTTTCTGACAATAACGATGGATTTGGACCTTGTGTTCCCCCCGCCGCCCCCATTGCGCAGGAGGCGGGCCTCCAGCATTGGCTCTGGGCACATCACCGAGCATCCGTCTGACCGTCAACACGCCTCGTCCCTCTTTGCAAAGCTTCCTCCCGAGCTGCGCGCCATCATCTTCACCGAGCTGTTTGGGAAACGCAGAGTCCACCTCGCCTTTATCAAGCACCCTATCTTTGCCGACAAGGCGGGCAACCGGACGAGATGGCGGCACGCTATATGCGACATTGACTTGGAAACCCCGTTCAGGACAGTCGTTACCGGCCAGCACTACTGTTTTCGTGCTACCCACCGTATGGTCCTTGATATTTCCATGTTGTTTACTTGTCGTCGAGGGTGAGTAGAGTCAGTCTATGGGCGTTTGTGGTGGCCCCCTCATTGTGTTCACACATCTGTTCTGTCCCTACAGGCTTGCAGAAAGCATTGCGGTTTTGTATCACAGCAACACCTTCCTCCTCCACAATATCGATGGACGGAAATTGCCGGTCAATGATATCCGCAGCCTTCAGGCCAAAATACCTCGGCATTGGCCCCATATTCATTCACTTGAGATTAAATGGCAGCTTGCCCCCTTCGACCGCAACACTGCTCGCATGGTTCCTCACGACGGTGGCCGCAACGATTACGAAGCCTTTTGGGATGCCCTTGCCGACATGCCGGCCCTCAAACGCCTCCGAATCGCTATTTTGATGCCGGGATATCCTCAGGACGAATCTGAACCATCGGTGCCTGGGCTGCCGGCTCTCTATCTCGACCCCATCCAACGGCTCAAGCAGCTACAGGTTTGCCAAGTCATATTACCGACGTCCTTTCGCTTGGCTTTCCCCGCCGAAGAGTGGGATTTGTGCCTTTCTCGCATTGACAAGGACCAACACTTTATATCTTGGCTTGATGATAACGAGCCTCAGCCACGGCCCGCGCAGTCTGTCTCGCCTGCGAATGCACTGGCTTCGGCGTAGTATTTATCCCATAAAAGGTTTTATTTGCTCACCGAAACTCGATGAACCTGTTGCAAGCCCGGTAAGCTACACCGAGTTGATTCGCAGAGTACGGCAGTACTCAGGATGTGGTAGCGACTGTCCGACGAATTAGCGACCGAATCTAGTCATTATAACGACTTCGTCTCGTAATTTGTATCGATGGGGGGAGCGGAGTGTCCGTTCACGAGCTTCCGTTACTTTTTTGTTTGTTATAAGTCATCACCAACAGTGCTATTTAGCTGCAGGAATTGCAGACCCATCACCATCAAACACCCCCAAATTTAGTAAGTTCAATTGTCGATTTTCAGCACGCCCTCCTTCTCAAGGATTTGGGGGCGCTTTGCGGGCGATAATTTTAGAGGATGTGAGGTTCTTATGTTGTCTGACGGAGGGTGGGACAAACCGCACAGCCAGTATTTGGCTTCGCCTTCTGACGGTGACGGAAGTCTGACTTCAACGGCACAGACCTCATCAAAACACACCAAAAATAAACCACGCCGACCGAATCGCACCAAAGTTAACCATTGGTTCAACTGTTGTCTGTTTACATTGTTCAAGTGCTCGGCATCTGATGTTGCCTCAGTACAAATGGAGCCCCCGTGGCCGCCATGAGGACGGCTTGTGTTCTCATACCTGCTGCCCCAGATCAAAACTCACATCATTTCCCGCGTTTGCCCATCATGCCTGGAGAAGAAATCCAGTGGTGGCCACGTCGCGCCCTGGCCTTCTTTCAGAGCTTTTTCGAAACGCCTCTTGATTGGAGACTGCCCAAGTGCCCAGATAAACTCGCCGTCAAGCGCCCTACCCATCGAACCATCCTTCAACATCTCTCCGAGAGACAATACCTTACACAAACAGCCCCAGATGAGGTCGCGGACGTTCCACTACCTTCGTTTGACCCGGGAATTTTCGACAATGAGTTGATGAAGTTGAAACTGTACCCAACAATTGATCCTCGTAACCCTTCGGCCATCCAGGAACCTGAGGGGAACATTGTCGAGGGGACATATCAGGGAACCCAGGTGGCCTTGACTCAAGCCTATTCACGGATAGAGCAGATGTAAGGCTTCGTGTTTGCCGGCATGTTTTCTTCATTGCTTATTCTCAACTCCAGGTTCACCTCGTTGTTCGATGTGCTTGGAATCGAGGCAACATTGCCTCGCCATCGTACACTACAAGAGCAACGCAACCTCTACCGGTTCTCGGCATACCCCCAAAATCCCGATGGAACACCAGCCCAGTATCCGCCGCATTTACAGCATGTGCCTGACGACCAGTCCATCAACGTCTTTAGAATCTTCAACGTTGCCGGGCTCGTTGAGATGCAGGTCCTGCTGCAAAAGATTGTCCCCAACGAGGGTGGTATACTAGGGCGTACAAGAGAGTGGTTCCTTGAAAAGGCCCGGGCTACAGCGTTTGGTGGCGATCCTGAAATGGGAGTCACTATCCAGGACGTTGTCGACTACAACAAATATCACCGCAAGTTCGGGACGGACATTGAAGCAGGAGGCAACATTGGGCTTTTGGACGACTGGTTCAGCGACCGCCGGTTTGCTGATCAACAGTTTACCGGTACCAATCCAACGACCATCACTCAAGCTACACAGAGATGGATTAGAGATTTCATTGCCGCCGCAAAAGTCAATAACTACCTGAAGTGGGCCGATTTGATCCAGAAAGCGGACCCAAAGTCCTTCTTTGTTCAAGACGGGAGCTACTTTCGTAGGGCGGTGGGCGTGTCGGACCCTGCTGCTGTCCTGTCCCACCAGCAGCCCGGGAGCGATGAGTGTTGGACCGTGGGTGCAGTGAGTTTGTTCCAGCTGCACGAAGATGGCAAGCTGCACCCCGTTGCAATCTGTATTGACTACAGGGGCTCCCTGCGTGACTCTGTCACCATCTTCAACAAGCGCTTATCGCCCCGGGATTCAAGCAGCCGTGAGAAGGATGACTGGCCATGGCGGTATGCAAAGACCTGCGCGCAGTCTACGGACTGGATGCGCCACGAGCTGGCGGTTCACCTAACTCTCTCCCACTTTGTTGAAGAGGCCATAATCGTGGCGACCAACCGCACCATCCCCATGGACCATCCGGTGTACCGCCTGCTCTACCCGCATTGGTACAAGACGCTCTCGTTGAACGCCGCTGGCCGCTCTACCTTGATACCCCAGATCGCAGTCGACATTGTGGGAGTCAGTCCAGATCAATGCTACAGCTTTCTCCGCGACGCCTACGACACGTACGACTTCGTTGGAAGTTACGTCCCAAATGATCTCAAACGACGAGGATTCCCCAGCACCCAACAGGGTCTCAACCAGCCGCGTTACAGGAACTACCCCTATGCGAAGAATGTACTCGCTCTCTGGACCACCATCCGCACTTATGTCAAGTCGATGCTCCAGATCCACTTCCCCACCGATAACGCCGTCTCCACGGATGTAGCTATCCAACGGTGGGCGGTTGAGGTCAAGACAGCGGGGCACATGCCTTCATTTCCCGACATCAAAACAGTTGACGCGCTCGTTGACGCCGTCACTATGTGCATCTTCATTGCCTCTCCATTCCATACCGCCATCAACTACCTTCAAAACTTCTACCAAGCCTTCGTCGCCGCAAAGCCGCCGTCGCTGTGCAGCGCCCCACCGGTCACGCTGGAGCGGCTGCAGCAGTATAGGGAGCAAGACCTCGTCGCTGCTCTGCCCATCAACAGACAGCGGCAGTGGCTTCTCGCTGCCCAAGTGCCGTGGTTGTTGAGCTTCAAGGTGGAGCCCGATCGGAGCTTGTTGAACTATGCGGCAAGTCAGTGGTGGGTGTACAAATACAAGGGGGGGGCTGACGAGGTCAAGGTTAGGGACGCGAGTGGTCAGTTGTACGGGGATCTGCAAAAGTTACAAAGGCAGTTTCACCGCAATAGTACGGCGATGGATAAGGGAAGCATTCCGTATATGGTCCTGGACCCGGGGTTGACGGCGGTGTCAATTCTCATTTAGGACACTCCTGTCTCTTTCGGCTCGTGGGGGAGTGACCTGGATAATCAGTCTTTTATGTTTGTTCGCATCTGGTGTCAAACGATGAGGTTCGCTGTTAAAGTTGTTGTAATGGCTTGGTTGAAGTTATATAATTTGTAATAATGGCGCGGGCAAGGAGGATGAACTAGGGGACGACAAGTCCACGACCAACCGTTTAACACACCGGCAACAAGATACCTTTGTCACGGCGGGCAGTGATGGAGGCAATCTGTCTTCCAGTGTTTTCTGCGGCCAAATCACCTAACCTTGCGGTTAGCCTGTGGCCTTACTGCCTCGCCCGCTCAAATTGCGTACCTTCCCCGGAGGTATAATATAACCCAACTTCCTGCTCCTCCTGCCACCGCCTCCTCCCAATTGAAGTTCGAACACCGGTTTAGCTCAGCGGTATTGGGAGGAGCTCCGGCCACGCCACTTCCGTCGTAAATAGAAATGGCTCTGGGTTCGATCCCCAGGTCAGCGGAGCAAAACTTGGGTTTTCGTAACCACCAACGTTTATCCCTCCGGATGGGGATAGGCCTTGGCGGTGAGCTTTTTGTTTGCAATTGATGTTGAACATCTCTTTTTGCCTAGATTATTTCTCGTCCGGTATTCTTTAATTTGTGCTTTTTTACTTGTCATGATTCGTCATTTTGTCGGTTGACATCAAACAAACTTCGGTGTTGTTTACACCGAGCCCAAGGAATGTCACCTGCCGCTTCTGGGGTGCCAGCTGTTGGCAGCCCGGCTAATGCCAAGAGGTCCCACTAAAATTTCCAATCCGCAAAACCTCGACTCTGGGCGTCTCGCATAACGTATTTTCCGGACCTCATGATCTTGATACCAGCAATCCCTCAGGTATTATACGAAGTATAGCTGCGCAGCACACGGGATTTCTAAACCCACTTTACGATCAAAGCTTCAGGGAGCCCTGGCAACACAAATCGGCAACACTCGAAAACAGCGCTCGATACAGACAAAATGCCATCTGTCAAGAACCCAAACGCTCTCTCCAAGAACCGCCTAGCTGCCCGCGCCGCCAAACAACGTAAAACAGCCCGACAAGCCTCAAAACAGGGTCGCCTCGAAAAACGAGGCGGCCTCGTCGCCAAAGCGGATGCCCGCCGTGGGGCCCGCCCGGGCCTGCTTCCGACCAGCGGGCCGCGCGCGGCGATCAGCAAGAAGAAGGCGCGCAAGTTGGAGAGAGCATTGGGGCATGCGATGAAGCGAAAGATGGAGCAGGAAGGGGTAGTGGGGATGGCTGTGGGTTAGTGAATACCTTTCCTTACCATTTTGGATCTTTTTTTCTTTGGACGTTCGTTAACATGTTGTCTGCGCAGATACGCCAGCCGAGAAAAAGGACGAAGAGAAAACCGATGCCAGCGCCGGTGCCGAGATGGACATCGCGTGAGACTCTGGAAAATCCTCAGTAACGAACGAACGAAACAGAATCAATGTGTGGATGGTCCTTGAGGTGGTAATGCTAGAAACGCCCACGGAGCCAAACTAGACCTATACCGAGGCCGAAAAAGTTGGCGTCGATCTTGTCCTACTGCTTCACCCAAGGGGGTTCCTTTGGTTGCGGGGAGGCCCTGATGCTCGAACATGGGTGGCCAGTCTCATAGTTATCCCTCTCGCTGACGAAGCCCGACCCCGAGTTATGTAGTTGAGGGCATCCAGTTGCCGGGCAAGCCATGGTGGGATTATTTCTGGATCACAGCCTGGTTTCGAGGGTTAGGGGTCGTCTGAGCTCCTTAGATAATCATGAGAAGGGATGGTTGGCACCAGGGCGTGTGCAAAATGCACGAAAGGCGGCTCCGCGACCCCATGGCAGCAAGTTCTGCAAATTGAAGACCACTTTCAATGCCAATTATGAACCAAATTGACCCACTTCCAGCTTGCTCTCCTGCTTCAAAGACATGTGTCGCGCAACTAACGGTGTGATGGAATGCCTGAGGAATACGTGTAGGATGGGGATTTACATTTCAAGGAGTTCAATCCCCATCCAAACAACGGCAATCCATACTCTCTCGCGCTTCCTGAAACTCGGTCGCTCGACTCGGCCCCTTGAAAGGCCCCTCCTTGCTGCATTGTCGATCAAGATCGCCAAGAAGTTATGGATGCAGGGTCCGCCTCGGCGCCAAGATCAAGAACCTGATCAGTGATAACGAATTGTCCAGAAAATTGTCGAAAGCAAACACAAAGGGTCTGACGGCATGCTACGTCATAAGGCGACTGGCAACATTGGAATTTTTAACTGGATGATATTCACGATTGAATGGAGCTGCGCGGTATCTAATCAGTTCGATTGACCTAATTACTAACGTTATGCATTGTCATCCTCCAGCCCACCGAGGGCGAGTCAGTTCCTGGTGAAATTACAAAACTGGTGAGCGATTTCAGGGCCGAGGTCCTCTCTCAAACCATCTTCTGGGGTGGCAGAAACAGAACTTGGAAGTTACCAGCATTCGGGCTCCTGAATTATCCGCAAGCTACACTAGTGAAGAGAGTCATTACCGATTCGATAGAGTCGTATCGCGAGCAACCCAAAGAAATTAGCAAACCACCAATCCGGCGTGTTCCAGGCCTGTTGTGGTCGAGTTTGTTGGACGTTGATGGGATGCTCAACTTGGAACATGTGTGGACGAAAGGAGGTGGTGGAGATGTTATTGGGGCTGTGCAAGCCGAGAGACAGGGGGGGCCCAACTCTCGGGCGCGTCATCCGGGGCACAGGCTCGTTTCAAGAACCAAGCATTTTTCCAAGACGGCCCCAGTCTCCCCAAGCAAGCCGCCGACGATCCCGATGAATCAACGAGCGGAGATGGATTCTGGGAGGCCAAAAGTAAGAATTTCGTGTTTTGATACCAGCGATGAAAGACCGACCCGAGGAATGGCGGCGATGTGGTGAAGACCGTCGTGACCGTGAATTGTGAGGAAGGACTTGTAGCAACCTTGAGATCCGCATGGCCCGGAAGTTATTTCTAGGGACCGGGCAAATGGAACTGCAAAATAACCTCGAGGTTTCATTCTTCCTTGAGCCGTCACCAGCACCGAGTGATATCAAATCTAACGCAACTAACTATTCGCTCCTAAGCCCAGTGAGTCGATGTTTCCAGTTGAACTCCTCTGTCGTCGGGTCTCCAGAGAGAGGCGAGAGCATTCGGTTCGTCCGCAAATTGGCTCCCCTGAAGGGAAACGAGATGAGGTGGGGCGGCTCACGCGTTAGGGGCAGACCCTTGAATGCGACCAGCATCGCAGCGCGTTTTGCAGCGTGGCGGGCCGATCTGCAAGTACCGGCGTAACTCGTCCGAAGCTGCGTCAGCTCCCCTGCTCTTTCAGCCAGTGACCGTTCCAGATGCCAAAGAACCAACAGCCAGAACCCTGCGGGCGGTTCCACCGCCAGTTTCGCGTGTGCAAGTGCAGGCTGTGTCAGGGGAACAGCACCGTCTCTGGAAGGACCGGGGGTGTGTTTTCTTCCTTTTGAGCGATACATCCCCTGATCCAGCTTGACCTCTCGCTTTTCCTACTTCAAGTCTGCAGACACCTTTTTCGCATTTTTCTAATTCTGAGTGGAGGGACCTTTGATCGCGTGCCTTTCGCTACAACCTTTTACTATTCTGACACTCGTTGACACCAACCTATTTTGTTTCTTTCACAACATCCAAAACTAATTGCGCCTTTGCGCATCCTCGTCGACGACACAGACAAACCAAACCATTACACATCGAAACCACGAATCACTCATTTTCCCATCTTCAACCAGATCGCAAAGTAACCACAGGCCGTCGCCAACATGCGCGCTAACACCGCGTCCATCCTTTCGGCCTCGCTCCTTCTGGGGCAGGCTTCCGCCGCTTTGCCTCCTATCATCATGAAGGTTAATAACAACCCCAATGTGATGAACAGTTTGATAGCCCGAAACTGACACCCCTTTGCAGGGAAGCAAATTCTTCTACGAGAACGGTACCCAATTCTTCATGAAGGGTGTGGCATACCAGCAGGACAGCGCCGCTGCGGGTGAATCTACTGGCAGCACCAAGTACGCCGACCCGCTCGCCAACGAGGCCGCGTGCAAGCGCGATGTGCCCCTGTTGAAGGCCTTGAAGACCAACACGATCCGTACCTACGCTATCGACCCCACAGCCGACCACTCCGTCTGCATGAAGCTTCTCGACGATGCGGGTATCTATGTTGTGAGCGATCTCAGCGAGCCGGCTCTGTCCATCAACCGCGACACTCCCGCGTGGGACGTGGACCTGTACAAGCGGTACACCGACGTCGTCGACAACTTGAGCAAGTACAGCAACGTCATCGGTTTCTTCGCCGGTAACGAGGTGTCTAACAACAACACCAACACCATGGCGTCTGCGTACGTCAAGGCTGCCGTCCGCGACACCAAGGCATACATCAAGCAAAATGTGAAGCGCTGGATGGGTGTCGGTTATGCCGCCAACGATGACCCCTTCATCCGCTCCCAGATCGCCGAGTACTTCAACTGTGGCCAGGAGGCTCAAGCCATTGATTTCTGGGGCTACAACATCTACTCATGGTGCGGCCAGAGCAGCTTCGAAAAGTCTGGCTACGACACCCAGGTCAAATTCTTCAGCAACTTCTCTGTCCCGGTTTTCTTTGCTGAGTATGGTTGCAACCTGCCCGATGGTGCCGAAGGCCGCACCTGGGACGACACCAAGGCCTTGTACTCCGACAAGATGACGGGTGTCATGTCAGGTGGCATTGTTTACATGTACTTCGAGGAGGCGAATGATTACGGCCTGGTTGAAGTCAAGGGTACCTCGGCCTCCACCATGAAGAACTACGACGCTCTCGAGAAGGTCATGGCCACTATTCAGCCCTCCGGCGTTGAGATGGACCAGTACAAGCCCACCAACACCCCCGCTGCCTGCCCCGCCGTTGGCAAGGACTGGAAGGTCAAGGGCGGCTCTCTGCCCCCGCAGCCGGATAGCTCGCTCTGCGACTGCATGTTCTCGTCGCTCAGCTGCGTCCCCGCGAAGGACCTCGCGACCAAGGATTACGGCGACATCTTCGGCTACATCTGCGGCAAGTTCCCTGAAGTTTGCGCCGGAATCAACGGCAACACCACCACTGGCGTCTACGGCGCTTACTCGATGTGCGGTGCCCGCGAGAAGCTCGGTTACGCCCTTGACCAATATTACCAGGCCCAGCACAGCGCTGCCGACGCCTGCGACTTCAATGGACAGGCCACCATTCAGTCCGGCCAGGAGGATAGCAAGTGCAGCTCTGCTCTCGCCAGCGCCAGCCAGGCCAATGATATTGCTGCCACGGCCACGGCCGGCGCCGACCCCTCTGAGAGCAGCAACGCTGCTGGCGTTAGCGGCCCGCTCCGTGGCGGGTTTGTGCTTGGCGAGCTTGCCATTGGCCTCTACGTCCTCGTTTCCATGGCGGTTGGTGCCTCCATGGTTTTGTTGTAAGGGGTATCTGAAAAGTGGAGGAAGCGGAGCGGAGGGAAAAGTGAGGGATGTATATGTCAAATGTCGGTTGCTAGTTATTGCGAATGGTTGAAACAATGTCCTTCTTTGCCCTTTATGTCCTGGGTTTATTTCTATTGTAGTTCTGTAATGTGAGCTCTTTTCTGGTCGCATCTGAGTCACCGCAATGCGTTATGGAGTTGTTGAATTCATCTTTTTAGTTATACATGATGCTATTTTCGAACTCCCCGAGCAACTTACGTCTATGCTGCCAGCGGGATGAATGAAATCTCCGGATACTCCTCGCTCGGACCGCCTAACAATCCCTCCCCCTTCCCCTCCAGGGCGAAGTCAAAGAAACTTGACAAGTACGCACTCAGAATCTCCAACGTTCGCTGCCCCGTAATCTTCCCAAACACCAACCCAACCAACTTACTACCCTCTCCTCTCAGCCCAGCCACGTCCCCCATCAAGCCAAAATCGATCAACAACCCATGCACCGAGTCCGCCACGCTCAACTCCTTGATCCACGCGTCCTGCGCCACCGACGCGTTAAAGAATGGTGTCCACGTCGGTTCAGTGGTTGAGTTGTGTTCTGGCGTGCCAAACGTCAAAAACGGTCCCGCCACGCCGACATCCACAGCCGGCCCAAACATGATGCCGTCCATGTTCACGCCTGCTACCACGCGAGCGTCCTTAAGCATCGCGTCCGCCGCGGCCGGACCACCAAAGGAATCACCCACGAAACCGACCTTGCCGAATTTGTGTCCCTCACTGCCGCGAGAAGAAGATGAAGGAGGCCCGCCTCCGGGAACGCCCAAATAATCCAACACCATCTTCGCATCCTGCGTCCTGGCGTCTAGCGCATACGCCAGTTCCTCCAGCGCTTCAGGGTCGCGCGGGACCCGCCCGCCGTAGATCACGGAGCCATCGGGGAAAACGACAGCATCGGTGTCGTAGGGGTGGTCGACCACAATGACTTCGTAGCCGCGGGTGGCGGCGAGGTTTTGCGCGGCGGCGGAGTATAGCAGGCGGGTGGTGTTGAGGCCGGTGTCGTAGATTATGGTGCGGTGGTTCTTGTTATGGGTGGGCTTGTTGCTGCTGCTGTGTTTGCGCACCTTGCAACACACTTCCAGCTCGAGATCTGCTAGCAGCCCTTTCGGCCACCCGATATCATCGCCTAGGAAGGCGTCGAAGATGGCCTCCTCGACGGAGCCCATGAAGGACGACATGTAGGGCACGTGACAAGTTTTGAGGCAGTCGCCTTTCGAAATGGGCGTGAACTGCGAGAACATGATGCGCCGCGAGTGAGAGGCATTGTAGGGGTCTGGCCGGTTGGCGTCGACGAGCTCAGTGGAGGTCCATTGGACTTGGTAGGGGGCGTTGGCGGGAAGGGGGAAGACCAGGGCGTGGGCGAAGGGTGTGGTGATGGAAGAGAGGAGGACGGAGAGTTGGAGGGGTTTCATTCTGTCTGCCCGTATTCTTTTCTAAGTTCCTGCTACTTTCTGTGCGGTTCTTGTTGGGCTGGAAGGAGAGCCGAGGAAGAAGAACGAGGGAAGTTCGAAGTTGGCATGTCGCAACGGCGGGAAGAGCAGACTTCATGAACTTTCTTTTTCATGACCGTGAAGAGCATAGCGAATCGGCCTCGTATCCCAAAAACGTCAACGACCTGCCCAATCGAGCGTTGGAGGAGCTCCCCCAAGAAGCTTGGGACCCAGGGTTGAGGTTACACTGCGGCTAACTTTAAGCCTGCTTACGGGTTTGCCAAGCGTGAGCCGGGTTGTTGACAACCCCGCCTGCACCCATGAACTTGGGATCTTTGGTGATGGTCGGCCAGCCGGTGCAAGTCCGAATTCCGTGATATCACCAAACGATGGTCCCTCGAACGTGCCTCCCCATAATCCTCCTTCTGAGGGTACTTGGTAATGACGGTCGGTGATAAAAACTGAAGATTGATTCAATGTCAGTTAGCAACCGTTTCGGGATAACTCAAGCTTTGGTCACAATCCGCGGAAGCCGAGGATTCAGTTGGGATTCTCTTCATTCTTGCTGTACGAGCGTCGGAAGAAACAGATAATCATCATTACCGCGGGGTCAGGGAGGCCGTGAAAGACTAAGACTAGGCACCTAGACTTACTTAAGAATATAGGCGTAATCCCTCGAGAAAGTAAGGCTTCATTCGAGTGCTCGCATCGGATACCACCATGTTAGATACGACGATATGTCGGTATAAGTATCACGCCTCGAGATGTTGGGCGCTTACATACTAGTTAACGTGACGACGTTAGTGCTATTAACTCGGGATGTTGGGGATAAAGCAGTGGAGGAAATTGATAGAGATTGGCTCAGACTAAGATATAATGCCTGATCATCGTATTCTGCTCAGACGATTCTGATCCTGACTTAATCATCGCCAAGATTGATAGGAGTTTCCGCGTTGACCCAACATCCTTTTTGATGTATACGTACCCATGTTTCGTGTGAAACCCCCGGATTCAAGCCTTGACCTGCCACGATATCAGTATACATTGGTAGTGGCTCAAGTTCTCGAATAGCCCATTGTGGAAGGAGTAAATAATAAGTGGCTCAGACAAATAAAGATAATGATGGTAATCAGGTTGGTTTCTACGTACCGGGACAATTCAACGACTATGTCGCGCGCAGGAGGCTGGTTCCTGTAGAAGTTTTAAGCACATGTGCCGTCATTAAGTCAGCTCAATGCAGCTCGTAAGAACAAATGAAGAATGATACAGCAATCGAAGAATCGAGGGAAATGGCTCAGAAAAAGAACAATAATAGAAATCCTGGCGTTCTGCTCATTTGAACCAAGCTTCTCATCATCGCCAATGCCGGTATGATTAGAATTTGACTGACCTCGATATCAGAGTGAAGCAGACTCATGTTTATCTCCACTGCTCGGGAATGTGTGCCCTGGAGAGGTTCCTCATGGTGTTCAGCGGTCCATTGGGTGCTCAAACCTTTCAAAGTGCTCGACAGGAGGTAGACAGAACGGTTTATGCAACCATGTTAGAATCCCGTGGGGCTACTTGATCGAGATGTGGGTTCTTGGTGTATGGGTGTATGGGTAAGAGAATTCTGATGTCCCCGAGACGAGGGAATTAATGTCTGTACCGTCTGGTGTATGATTGGAAGTTATGTCTGAGATGTAGACTTGTTAGCCCCTGCCTGAAAAAACGTTGATAATATTTTTCGGGTGTGAGGGTGAGGAATCAGAACAACGTTGAGTGTGCTTCATGAGACGGACTTCACATTATATGGTGCTCATCATATGGATGGTGTAGGGGTCCGGAAACAGTATAAAACTTACGTATGACTGAGAAAGTTTAGGTTTGGTCTAGTGACGCATTGGGTGAGTTGTGTGCCGGAGTATTAGGAGTAAGAGGCATTTCTCAGGTCGTTTGCGCCGTATTTCCTAGGTGCTTTGATGTGGTATTAGCAGGTTATCCTAGCAGGTTGTATCAGGGGTGGTTTCGTTGTTGAAGAGAGGTCGGTGTCAGAATAAATCCTACGGAAATCATTGAAATCTCTCATGCATTACTATATTTCATCATCATCACCAGGGGGAGAAGGTATTGCGGTGGAGCCCGGGGCGTTGACTTGCCTGCTATCCAGAGTTTGGCGAAAGCTTGGAGCAAAATTCAAACTAACGGGTGATTCTGACAATTGTGGTACTGAGCTTGGGAGGTAACTAAAGGCCGTCGAAGGTTGGATCAGTGACTTGCTTAGTGGGGTGTTGGTGTTGGATGGTATTCATGATCGGAAGGTCAGAACAACGTCGAGAAGGCTGGAGGTAATTAGAGTTTAGAAATGCAACTCACCTTAGCAGAGACTGTCGATCGATAACCCGGTGAACTTCTGGAATGGGGTGTGTGGGTTGCGCCTGGGTAATCAGTGTAATGAAAATTAGCAAGCCAACCAACCAAATGAATGGGTAGTTTTCTGATGGTTCATCAGGGCCACAGATCAGATTAATTGCAATATTAACATCAAGGACTCAAGCTCAGAAGCACAAACGTGGTCATCATGACGGCCGGGGGGCGGGGGAGTGGTTTGGATCGGAGGATGTGCTTACCGCGTCATAATCTGGCCAAATGCTTTCCTACAGTAGATTTAGCATCGCCCATAGTTTAGCTTGACCCGAGGAAAAGTAGTACGGTGTCTGGAAAGAGTTGATAGAGGGGGGATTAGGAGATTGGAGGGCAAGGAGAAATCAATTACTTACTCGCCTCGTAGGGCGCCTTGCTAACTAGCCTTGCGATTATTGCGTGGCTAGGTTCTAATATTATCCATTCAATTAGTAAACGGTCAAAACTGGGTTGAAGTAGAGAGGGATGATCGAGGTCTGGGTAGTTGGGCGTTGGCCATCGTGGTAGTCTGACGCGACACAGCGATGGGAACCCGAAAACGCGAGTCGCCGTCACCGGGTCGCTTCAGCCAGCAGTACGCAGCTAACACTGGAGTTTTCGCGTTGGAGAAATGATTGAAGATAGAAGAATATAACGAGAAGAGGAAGATATATCTGCTGGTTACGGGGTGAGGGGTGGCATTACGAACCTGTGCGGAAGATGTTTGCGGGCCGATTTGTAGACGCGAGCCGACGCCTTCCCCAACGCCGTAGCTTTCTGGAGGTCTCGTTGAATGCAAGACTGATATTTTAGGAGTGTAAAGAGGGAATAGGGAGCGATTAATGTAGATATCTTGACACGAACCGATGTTGATAGGTTGTTGATGGGAGATGGAAGAAGAAATGAAGAGGAAGATCGGTTGGAGGGGCGGCAATTGAAGAGGAGGAGAAAGGTTTTCAAGTTTGGAAAAGTCGAGAAAGAGAGAACAGAAGGCGGGCTGTAGAGGAGAAAGATGGGCGACCTGGTGACCACGGACCCGCGTGTCGTGAGGACAGCGAATAACACGACTCGATTTTGAAAATCTATCAACATGATTATGTCGTCGATTCTTGACACGCTCTGAAGGGCTATTGAGGTTCCTTCCCGCAAATGAACAATCATGAACAATGGCACACAGTCGAGCGTTCTGCATTCTCCAAAGGTAAAGAGGTGCCCGAGGGTACGTTAAATATTGTCAACACATGGCAACAACACCCATTTTTGGGGTGGAGGACTGAGTTGAGGCACTTGACTAGACCTGTAAATACTGCAATACCTCCTAGATGGATGTAACACTTTTCTGTAAACTGCACTTGGGTGAGTTAAAGACCCAACTCAAGGTCTTTGGCTCCAAGGCCGCCGTAAATCCTGTTGTTCCGCCATACAATTTCCAGGTCATGTCGAATATGCTGCTCAAAGGAGTTCTATGATGATGAGGTACAAAGACGAATCAATTAAATGGGCGATTACGCCCCAAGTCTGAACATAGTGGTGAGCAGCCCGGAGAGTAATAACGCCCCCGTGTTTCGTCATGTCTGTCTCCCATTCACAAATTTGCTTTAAAGCGTACTCATACTCTACTCTTTTCCCTACCACCCCCCCAGCCGGGGACAAGGCATCTCGGATGTTCTGTTGAGCAGGCAAGCGAAGTGAGAAATAATTAGACGTCACCAATAGCTTTGTTTTGCCACTCATGAAATGATACCGGCATCCATTTAGTTTTGGAGTGATTGATTGACGAAGTAGTAGTTTAACTTTGACCTCCTGTTTTTTAGCTCCATCCAGAATCAGGGGCTGATTCATTCAGGGGCATGTCAACAAACATCCTTGGCCTCAACCCGAACCCTGGAATACCCTAACCCTCCAGCATTAATTACTGGAGTCAGCACTAAACAGCAACAAAAGGCACCGGACGCATTTCTGTATTTTTTTCCTACTTTTTCCAGCCTGGGGGATGACCATAAGGGTATTGGGATTGCTTTCGCTCTGCCACTATTCCATGGCTGTCCATGACCGGCATCGCCTGGACCCCTCAATCAGCCTCGAAACGGCCAGACGTCATGCCAAGCACAGCTCTCGGCGGAACTTTTCAGGTGTTGATGGCATATAACACCGAGAAATACCCCGCAACGGCGTGGAGAACTGACTCGGGCACATCGGTCTACTGTTTGCGGCCTGGTCTCATTAATAATCGACATTTGAGTCAATTAATGTTTAAAATCACTTCATCACCGTTCCATTGAGGTTGTCAATTGCTCGTGATATCTACCAAGAAAGTTTTCGAGGAAAAGGACAGACGACAACATGGGCGCGAAGCAGTTCAACGTCGCTATCGTGGGCTACGGGTAAGTTACCTGCTTGTATCTCACCTAATAAGTCGAGACCCGTCACTAAGACAACACCCCCCCTGCAGCCTCTCAGCCAAGGTCTTCCACATCCCCTTCATCGCCCTCACCCCTTCTCTCAAGCTGCACTCCATCCTTCAGCGCTCCCCAGCACCCGGCAACTCAGCCCCCGAGGACCACCCAGATGTCAAGCACGTCACCAGCTTCGACGACCTCCTCGCCGACCAGGACGTGCACGTCATCGTCCTCTGCACCCCACCGCAGATCCATTACCCGTTCGCCCTAGCCGCCCTCGACGCCGGCAAGCATGTCCTAGTCGAAAAGCCATTTGTCCCCACAGCCGCCGAGGCCGACAAGCTGGCCACACGTGCGCGCGAAGTCGGCCGCGTGCTGTGTGTGTACCAGAACCGCCGCTGGGACTCGGATTTCCTGACGGTGCGCAAGCTCATCGGCGACGGCACGCTCGGTCGCGTGGTTGAGTTTGAGACGCACTTTGACCGGTTGCGCATTGCGGCGCCGACGGCTGGGTGGAAGGCCTCGACGGGTATGGCCGAGGGCGGCGGTGTGCTGTTTGACTTGGGCACTCACCTGCTGGATCAGGTGTTTGTGCTGTTTGGTATGCCGAGTGGGGTGTATGGCAAGTTTGTGCGCCAGCGGGAGGGGAAGCTCGTGAAAGGGGTGGCCGGCGAGGCGGATGAGCCGGATAGCGTCAATATTGTCTTGAGCTACGAGGAGACTGGGACGATCGTGCATGTGAGGATTGGTGTGGTCAGTGTGGAGTCCCAGCAAGTGCGGTATTGGGTCCGCGGCAGCAAGGGAAGCTACCACAAGACTGGATTGGATCCTCAGGAGGACCAGCTCCGCAGCGGCGGTAAGGCGACGGATGCGAAATTCGGCCGGGAAGATGAGTCGAAGTACGGGCGGGTGTCTCTCTTGGGCGAAGGCGGGGCGGTCACGGACAGTGTCTACCCTACGGTTGAGCCTGATACATACATCAAGTTCTACGAGTTGTTTGCAAAGTCGCTCGAGACTGGGAAGGAGGAGGATGTCCCGGTTCCGGCGACACAAGCGGCTCAGGTGTTGAGGATCATTGAGGCAGTGAAGGAGAGTGTCAAGACGGGTAAGGAGGTAGCACCTTGAGCTAGCGGCGAACAACTCGTGGGGTAATTATATATGTACCTCCCGCAACTGAATAAGTAGGGTGGAGGAAACGTGTATCCAATCTTCTACCAACATACAACTATCAATGTAGTGGACTAATGGGACTAAAGGACCCTGAGAGTATGTTCTACCGGCTCTAATCCAAGTTGAATAGAGTGGCCCATAATTAGATCCCCCTCGAAACTTTGTGCACCGGAAAACTCCAAACCCTCGCATTAGTAACTAAGTCTTGAATTTTCTATCTTCCATCCTTCGTGAATGCAACCCTGATATCCGAGTCCCTGTGCGCGGTATGCAAGTAGAACTTGATGCAGTTGGTGCGCCTCCCATCCGCTCCCCTCGCGCTTGTTATCCCGAGAACCGCTACCGGACCTGCCAAAAAGGAAAACCGAATTTTAGTTTAGTGCTTGGGCTTCTGGAGCCTTTGTTCGACACCTTGCTAGCAGCTTTGCTAGCAGCCTTGCTTGAAGATTTGTTGCCCGCAGTTGCGCCATCGCTACCGTCCCATTCGGAGTGGATGAGTTCGGTCCATGATTCGGAACAAGGGCTTCCTTCGCTACAAGAACCGGTCTGGGAGTGCTCCTTGGCGACTTCTTTCTTTCCCTTGATCTGAGCCAGCGCAAGCTTCTTTCTCGCGGACGTTTTCATGCCAACAAGAAACTTCAGCAACCTTTTGGGGGAACTGGTCGTAGATACTGAAGTCAAGCTCCAGATCAGTCCCATGCTTGAATTCCGAAGTGAGGCTCTCAAGGTGCTCCTTCTCTTGCTTGTGGCGAGCCGCGATATGGGCTTGGATGTCGGGATGCCCGCTGGCGTTATCAATGAGAGTGTTGCAGACGAGGTCGAAATAGTCAAACTTGCGCTTGTCTCATTGCTTGTGACAATAGTCACAATGAAGCCCCATTTCTCGATTGGCCTGACGCCCGGTCTCGCAAAAAGGGTTGAGGGTCTGTCCGAAGTGATCGATATGCTCCTGTTCTTGGGGGCAGTACTCGAGAGTCGCATCAGCTCCATGGCCGCAGGGGAACACGGTGTAATAACGGATGCAAATGGTGTCGATGTTAAACGGCGCTTTGTATGGGTTTGTTGGAGATGAATTCTTGACAAAATTCGTTTCGCGGAGCGGCTTGGGAGGTTAAGGGAAATGGCGAAATCTGTGTTCTAAGGGCTGACAGCTCAAAGGATTGGTGAGAAGCTGAGGTGCAAGATAGAGAAAAAGACTACGTAATGAAGGTGTGATGGTGGGGGAAGGCCGGCGCGGGAGTTGAGCCCGTTATATGGTAGTTTACTACAGCACGCTCTGTCATCTAGTGTTGATGCCGAGGTGACATGCTCTCTAGCTTATTACAAAGAACAGTAACAATCTTTGACCTGAATAGGGCGAGCCGTAACCATTGGGCCTTGCGTTGTTCTTGGCCATATTCTACATGTGCGATATTTGGTATCTTGTGGTAGTAGGATGGGAATTGGTGCTTTGTTGGCACACCATGGGAGAAAACTACACGATCATGGGAGAGGTTCACGTGAAGTACGGGCGAACAATGCCTCACTTGTGAGACAATCCAATCACTCTTTATAGGAGTATAGTCTAAACACGAGAAATTAGATCACACGGGGCTGGGACCTTTGTCACTGTGGCAGCGTGGCTTATAAAGATTGCAGGTAGCCGGCCATCGTTGAGCGAGGTGCGGCTTGCTTGGTTTTATCACCGTGCCCAGCCCTGGTGACAAGATGAGCCCCTTCCCGCGCTCAATAGCCCAACCACCTTATGGTGCAGGGTATAGTTGAACATGAGTGAGGAACTCAGACAAAAGTCTAATTGTTGATTTATAGAACTGGGCACTAATGGGCTGGGGAACTGGTTTTGAGATTGCTGACATAGAGGTGGTCGTGGACATGGCAGACTTGCTTTGGAGATATTTGTACGAAGTAGACGGAATAAGTTAAACGGAATATTCCGGAGTTTCTCAAGACTGAACATGGTAAGTAAGTAAAAACTACCTGGGCCTCTGGGGTTTCGGTCAGCGGAGATATGAAGTCTTCAGATTTTGAGGATTGATGTAAGGCGGCTAACTAGGCTTCTCGGTAGTTATTCCAATTATTATTGCCAAAATCCGTTAATATTTGATCGAGTGTTGTCAGATTGGACTTAAGCTATCTGTTTCGGTCTGCCGCTTCTTCTGTTTAAAGCGAGCTTACCTCTCTACCCGAATTATTGTTTGGGGGGCTGAACGTGCCAGCGCAGCGCAAGCTGATGGGACCTTAAGGGAGTTGCGTTGTAGGTGGGGCTTGCCAAGCCTCAAGATCAGGGGAGCTGCGATCGTCACCCTCTGCACGTCATCGCCTTGGGCATCCCTTCACCATCATCAAACGGTGGGAGAAGCGTGAGTTGGCATTCTTGGGCAGTTTTTGTATCCCTTCCAGAAAAAGTCACCTCGGATTTGAGAGAAGCCTTAAACTCTCGAGATCCTCCTAACTCGATTGCATTGCATTGCTTGCCGTGTTGGGCGTTCCATCGCATCACAGCTGCTTACAATTAGTTACCCAAACGCGGCAAACAGGACGAGACCGCAGCGAGCCCACCATGCCTCTCCGTCAGACAGCTGCAAACTGGGGCGATTTTGCCCTTCACCAATTCGACCGTCTTGTGCCTCCGCAACAGCGTCAAGATGCTTACGATAGAGCAAAAGCCTTTGCTAGAGAGCGCCCGTTCCTCTTTGTATGTCACTTGCTCTCGAGCGTAACCACGCCCTTGACCAGTTCCCTAACCTTGTAACATTAGGCTTTCCTTCTCGCCCAGGGCTTTTTCTCCGCCATCCCACTCATCGTCTTCACCACCTTCACCCTCTCCACCCTCTTCACCTTCGCCACGATCTTCCTCTGTGCCACCCTGTTCTGGATTGGCATCGCTCTTCTCGTCCTAGTCCCCACCCTGTTCCTCACCGGCAGCCTCGCCTTGTTCATCTGGAGTTTTGGCGCGACGGCGTTCATCACCAGCCGGGCGGCGTATGCGACCTTCCTAGTTATGACCGAAGCCCCCAAGCTAGAGCGGCGGGAGCATCGTCGCGAGGTGAAGGGGAAGGAGGATGAGGCGGGAAGGGACGGGGACGGCAAGCCAGATCAGGTTAGCACCGTGCCGTCTGCGACTTCGTCATCCGGGGCGTCATGGACCCGTATCGAGAGCCAAGAGACGCGGGATGTCAAGCAGGAGGGAGAGGAGGATGGCCCGCCGGGACCAAAGGGGTCAAGCGAGTAATTGGACTGTGCTGCTGCCCTTCACGCCGGATGTCTCGGGGAACGAGGATGCGAGTGGTTTCGGATTGCACGGGTACTCACTCATTTATGATAATGTTGAGCCGCGAGGAGAGGAGGGAGCCGATGGGGTTTAAAGATGTAATATCTAGCAATTACGGAGGTTCTGAAGCGAGAGTTCATTGAGGAACATATTGTTATTACTCTTAATTGATGCACATTTCCTTCAACAATGACACGCCTCCCCCCGCCCTTATTCACGCTTGGGAGACCGATCTCTACCCGTTCAGCCCCTGCCCGCCTTCCAAGAGTTTCAACCGTTGAGTACCGCAGCAATGATGCCTTTATCATCCAGATGAGTCCTACGAACCCAAGGCCACAAATGAGAAATGTATCTTGACAAGCTCTATACCTGTTCCCATTAAGCTACCGAAGCTAGAGAGGAAAAAGTAAAATGAACGCAAGGAAAAAAGGTGAAAAGTTATTCGCATGCCCATCAGCCCATCACGCTTTACACTGCCAGTGCCGTCCATTGGCGATCCCTTTTCTTCTCCCAAATACCACCTGACCTAAGAAAGTCTTTCCCCAGTCTCCCGTTGAAGGTCCGCACATGCCAGCCCAAATGATCAACTCCCATTTGTCCCCTCCCCAATCAATCCGCCCAGCCAACAATCGATTCCCAAGACGGGAAAAGTTATGAACAGCAAAAAGACAGGATGTTCTTTTTGTCCGGCTTCCATGCCATGTATGTTGCTGTGTATGCATGTGATCGGAACCGTAATGCCCTAGCATAAACAATAAAAAGAACTTTAAGGAAACACTGACTCGCTCCATGGGCCTCCTCGCCCGCCCAGATATTCTTACAACATAACGCACCGGATGTGCTGGTTGACCGTCGAGCCCCCTTTCTGGGTGGCTACCTTGGTTCCAAGGATGCAGACTAGAGTCCACATGCACATCGGGTGTCTCCTTCAATACTTCTTCCATGCGGCCGACGCGCCATCATCTTACATGTCGATCTCACCATCGGCAATGGCCAAACGTTGCTTAGCGGTCTTGGCCTTCTTGCCGACCATCTTCTTGCGCTTGCCGGTGCGACCGTCGTCGGCGACTGTGGGCGTTGCCGTGCCCGAGCCCTTGTTATCGTCAAAATGGCCTTCGCCTATTCAGGGGGAATATGGTTAGCTCAGGTTATAGTATTGGGGTTGACGTAAGGAGATGTGCGGACTCACCTTCATGATACATGTCGTCCAAACTAACATTAGCCGAGGCTGCCATGACCTCAGCAGCGCCGGCGCCTGCCCTCTTGCGCTTGCCACCCTTCTTCTTTTGGATCTTGTCATACTCTCCGCTCTCAAGTAGCTCCTTCTCCCGCCGCTCAATCAACTCCGCTTGCTCATCGTCGGCAAGCCACATGGCAATGTCGCGGTTGCGGTTCTCTGGCGCCCGACGGCCTGAGAAGTCGACGCCGCCGCCCGCAGCCGAGGACCCGCCCGTGATGACAACACGCTGGACTTCCTCCTTTTGCATCGCGCGCTTGCGAATGCGCTCTTCGATGGTGCCACGCGTGATAAGGCGGTAAACCGTGACTTGCTTGGTTTGACCAAGACGATGGGCGCGGTCCATGGCTTGGGAGTCGATCGTGGGGTTCCAATCCGAGTCGTAGAAGATGACCGTGTCGGCCGTTGTGAGGTTGATACCTAGACCACCTGCGCGTGTGGACAACAAGAAAATGAAGATCTCGGGCCGGGTTTGGAAATCGGCAACGGTGTCGCGTCTGTCCTCGAGCTTGGTGGAACCATCTAGGCGGCAGTACTTGTAATTGCGGTAGGTAAGGTATTCCTCCATCAAATCGATCATGCGAGTCATCTGGAAATACAGCAGGACACGGTGGCCACCCTCCTTGAGTTGGCGGAGAAGCTCATCGAGCTTCGCAAGCTTGCCGGAATCGGTGACGAAGCGGCCCATGGACGGCACAGTGATGTCGGTGAACTTCTGCTTCTCGTTGTCCGGGGCCGGGAGTAGAGCGGGGGCGGGATAGAACTCAACGGGGACCTTCTGCGTGACGAAGGCCTTCGCTTCCGGCGGTGTCGGGCCGTAGAGAGCCTTGCGCATCGGGGCGTTGAACAAAACATTCTCCTGCTCGATGACCGATCCACGACTGTTGCACGAAACATCAATTGGCGGGGCGGACGCGCGTGAGCGTGCAGCCTGCTCGAGGCGGCCAAATCCGGTTTCGTCGTAATTCGAGCGCGCCACGTTCAGAAGGTTGCCGAGCACCCCTTCGTCCGTGATTTCGGCCAACGGCGTACGATCCTCGCGTTTGCAGATCTGGAAGAGAGCGTGGGCCGGTGTCCAGTCCCTCTCCTCGGGCTCGTCGTAAAGGACCTTCATGGCCCCGAGGCGGTTCCCCCTGGATGCTAGGTCCGTCGCACGGGTGAAGACGTCTTGATGGCCGGCTCGGTAAACTTCTTCGGGGCTGGTGTCCGCAAAACGAAGCCATGAAAAATTGTCGGTGCCAGTAAGGCTTTCGCGAACGTTCTCAGGCGCCCAAATGTTCATCATGTGATCCAGATACCTGTTACGGAAGCCGGCCGTGGCGTTGTCGGGCCCAGCCTTGTAGAGGCGCCCACCATCACGCCACACCAAGCGCGGCAACTCGTAGTCGATCAGACTACGGGTGGAATACCCCACAGTGACGTTCGTCCCTTCTCTCACAAACGAAGCCGTCTCCGCAAAGTAGCCAAAGGAGTAGGGCGAGGAGGTATCCGCGCGCTCAAATAAGTCGGGGTGGTTGCAAACCTTGCGGAACTGCATGACGAGATTCATGAGACTAGCAGAGTCATCGTCACCCAAAGTCGCCTTCTCAATGAGATCCATGATGCTGATTTGGTTGCGCAAACTCGCGTACAGGGCTCGCTGGCGGTAGGTCAGGTCGCAGAAGACGTCCAGCTCGATCTTGTCTCCCAGCTCTTTCTGGACATGTTTCTTCACACGACGAAGCATGAACGGCTTCAAGATCATGTGCAGACGTTTGAGTTGGTCTTCGTTCAGCTTCGTGTTGCTCTGAGCGTGAGACTCGATATCCTTGGAAAACCACTCGCTGAATTCGTCGTGGGAGTCGAACAAGGACGGCATAATGAAATGCAGAAGCGCCCATAGTTCCTGCATGTTGTTCTGAATGGGGGTACCGGTGAGCAGCAGCCTGTTGCGGCAGTGGAAGCCGAGCAGGCACTTCCAACGCGAACTTTGGGAGCTTTTGATGGCCTGCGCTTCATCCAAAATCATGTACTGCCACTTCATCTTCTGGAAGTAGGCGACATCAGAGACAACAAGTTGATACGAGGTGATCATGACATGGAAGGGCGCGTCCTTCTTGTAGGTTGTGTGCTTCCGGTCCCAGAACTTGCGGAGGACCTTACGGTCCGCAGCAGTACCCCAGTACGGCAGAACCTTGAACTCCGGGACAAACTTGGTGATCTCCTGCTGCCAATTGTGCAAGGTCGACGCAGGCGCGACAACGAGAAATGGGCCCCAGATGTCGTACTTTTCGGCCAAGTATGCCATGACGGAGATGGACTGCACCGTTTTGCCGAGACCCATTTCGTCGGCAAGGATGCCGTTGATGCCCTGTTCGTACAAGTTGACCAGCCAGTTGAGACCCTTGAGCTGGTACTCCTTGAGTTGGCAATTGAGAAGTTTTGGCTGCTCAATCTCAACATCGCCCATACCAGTTGGGTTCTGGAAGTTCATCTCTCCATCTTCGTCGAGATTGGTATCGTCCTTGTTGAACTCGCGCGCCTTCTTCTGGGCTTCGGCAATGGCGTTTTGGGCATTTGCCATGGCTGCGGCGCGCAGATTCGACTCATCCTCTTCGTCGAAATCGAGATTTTCGAAATTCGTGACCTTGGTGCCGACTGGGCCTGTTGGCTCATCGATGTCGAGTGCGTTGTCGGCACCATGGTCCTTTTCTTCCGGAGCCTCGTCGGGATGGTCGGTACTGCGTTCCACCTCGTTTGTCTTGATCTTCTTGCCGATGAAGTGGGAGTACAACTCCGTCTGGGAGATAAGGAAGTTCAACTTCCGTTTCTGGCGGGCAGCCTCGCGGTCGGCTTCTTCCTTGCGGGCATTTTCAAGCTCTTGTTTCTCGGCGGCCTTGCGGAGGTCGCGCTCTTCACGCTCGTTCCGCTTCCAGAAACCCATCATGTCGCGCATGACACGCTTCGCACGTGCCTGGAGATCTTTAGTGCCCTTGTTGGTCTTGAGTTGCCAACGCTTAGCTTCCTTGGACGCCAGGATAGCGGTCTTTTTGAGGTTGGAAGACTTCGTCGAGTAGGAGTCGGTTGCCAGTCTGAAGACCTTGTTGACGTCTTTTCTAGCCAAGTCACGCCAAATCTGGTCGTAGATCTGGTTGAAGCCCTTGGATTGGAACTTCATTTCAAGCGGATCCTTCGGCTCTTCGAGCGCCTTCTCCTTATCCTTCGAATCCCGAGGCTCCTTGTTTTCCTTGTCGGTGTCGTCTTTATTACCCTTGGACTTGCTGAACTTGATCCGGATCTTGGCGGTCTCTTCTCGACTGGGAAGCTCCTCGCCAGCGTCGAGGGCGGCCTGGGCGGCTTCGGCCGAATCCTTCTCCGCCTGCTTTTGCTCCTTCGACTTCTTGAGCCTGCCACCAGTGCGACCCTTGCCCTTCGCCTTGCCAGGCTCCATGTTTTCGGCAGAGAAGGTCGCCATGGTACCACCCTCCAGGTTGGGTTCAATCGGGCCCACGTTGCGGGCAGGACCCTTGAGACCTTTTTGAAGGATGTACTTGGTCTGTTGCACTTTCTTATTCGCACGTTCCGCTTCGCGCATGTACTTTTGGCGCTCCGCCTCGTCCTGCGCGGCGGAAGCCCTGGCAAGCGCGGCGGCTCTTTGATCCATGGTCGTGGCCATCGATTTTTCGCGGCGTCTTTTACGCTGCATATCCTTCTTGCGTTCCTTCTCAGCGAAGAGCTCTTGTTCTCGGACCTCCTGGAGCGCTTCTTCGTAATTGATATCAAAGTAACGCTTCTTGCCTAATTCTGCGTGCTCCTGCAGCTTGTGTGCCTCGACATGGGCGTAGTCGCCGCGCCTGTTCTGTCGGTGGGTATCATCTCGGCGGTTCATCTCCTGGCGTCGGCGCAGGGAACGCTCCTTCCAGGATTGTAACTCGTCCTCAAAATCCGTCTCACTGGTCTCCTCGGTGTCCAACTCTTCCATAAGCTCTCGGATCCTCTTTTCTTTCTCGGCCGAGAAAACCTTGTGCTTCGGCAGCCCATTCACTGATCGCTTGGTCGGAATACGGATTGAAGACGAGGGGGTTTCCGATTTGGCCGGCGCGGGTCGTCGGGGAATCTTGGGAGTCGACTCGGCGCCTTTGATGTCGGAGATGCGAGACACCTTGATGCTCTTGCGATATTGCCTCTTTTCCTTGTCGCCCTTCTCAGGCCTCTCCCGGTCCGTGAGCACGGAGGCATCATCGGCGGGGATTGGCGAGGTCGGTCGAGGTTTAGACAAGGGCTCGGCGTTGGAGAGGATATTGGAAAATGACATGACGCCCGCGGCACGGCTCGGAGTCTACACGGAAGTGTCAGCAGAGGCAGAAGGAAAAGATGCAGTCTGAGCGAATACGCACGCTCGCAACCGGTGTCTTGGATGAAGGCGCGGGTGATTCGTTCCGTGCCAGCGTGGACAGCACGGACGATGCCCCATTCGTGGTTGCACTGGGCATCGTGATGTGTCTTAGACTAGGCGATGTGGCGAGCTGTGGCCGAGATGGACTCGTAGGTCCCACGCTGGGAGAATGGTGGTGCGCGATGGGGCTTCGCGGCCGATAAGGCGCCGTAGTGGGCGATGCGTAGGCCCCGTTGTTATTATTATGATTGTAATAATCCGCGGGAGAGCGCGAGTAATTGTAAGGGTCGCGAGTCTAAAGTGGCGTTGGAAGAAAAATGATTTCGCGTTAGAGAATCGGCGAGAAAATAAAACGCGTGGAGAATAGAATTGGGGGGAGGCAGGAATTGAAAAGTCACGCTTTGTTGGCGTGCTAAAAAATGGATGCCGGATTGGCGTGTTGGCGATTGGAGGGCGCGGGAACAGGGAATGGGAATGGGGTGATGGTGGAAATCTGGTGATGGGGCGGAAGGTGGTTGTTGGTTTAATGGGGCAAGGGAGGATGGATCGTTGGTTGATGAATGGGCTAGGGGACAAAGAGAAAAAAGAAAGTGGAAAGAAAGTGTGGTGCCTGGCGGTATCGTCGGGGAGGCTCCCCCAAAATTGAGATTTGCTTGCTTACCTTTGGCGGAGAGGCCTGGGCGCTGGTACGCCAGGAGCCCGTCTCAGAAACCCGGCGTTCCCGTTCGCGATTTGAATCGGTAGTCGGGTCGTAGAAGCTGCTAGTGCCGGGTCGGTCGCGTGTTGATTCGCGATCTCGCGGGTCTGATGGATAGTAGATCGACGGGGCGTGCAACGGCGACCGCGGCGGATGTTGCAGGCTCGATGTTCCTGCTGCTGCTGATGCCGCCGCCGATACAATGTTTGGTGGAGCTTGCAGTGGTGGTGGTGGTGGCAATGCAGTGCCAGAGCTGGCCCCAAACGGATTGTTCAGAATTGAGCGGGATCCTGATGGCTGGCCGCCCTTACTCGACGGCGAGGCTGCGTAGGCGGACGGATGGTGATGGTCAGATTGTTGCGTTGGGGACCGCAAGCTGAATGACGACTGTGGTCGAGGCGGCGCAGGCGCCCCCGGTGTTGTGGGTGCCTGTGTTGTCGAGCTCACGGGGTTTAGGATGTCGCGCAACCCCCCGCGTGGGCCTCGATCTTCTCCATTGCTCCCGTCCTCATCAAAATGAGGCGGGCGCTGCAGCACAGTTGACAAGTGGTCCATTGTTAGTTGGTGGCCAACTCCCGCTAGCCCCGTTCGCCGGAAAGTTACTCGGTCGCTTTTACAAATTATGCGAGCCCATCGGGGGGCACTCTAGGTCGGTCGGCGCGGTCGTGGTCACGTCGGGTCCCGGCACCGTGCGAAGCCCCGAATCCTATCAACTGCACCGCGGCGGTCGCTGTCGACTACGATCCTCGGCCGTGCGTGTCAAGAGGAATGGGTTTTGGGATGTTGTACAATCGCGAATTGAGTGCGCACGGCGTGATCGATGGCGAGAGCCGGGCGGCCGGGCAGAGGAGGGCCGGGCAGGCTCGAAACGATGGTAGCCGCGCTGGAAGGACGAGACGGCGGGTGATGGTGATGGTCTAGTGGAGATTTTCGGGCCAAAAAAGACTCGATCGGTAAAAAAGCACGACTTCGGGATCGAGAGTTACGCGGCGGTGTTTGCCTCGGGTAGAGGCTGCAGCCGCGCTGGGCACGACAGAGCGAATCACCGGAATGGACAATCAAGGAAACCGGACTTAGGCCCCGACAGTCGTAGGGCGGCACTGCCGACGATGTGGTGATGGAAGTGTGCGATGGTGGTGGGGATGGTGATGATGCGAGGAAGAGAGAGCGATAGGGATGGCGGTGGTGGTTGGGAATCCATGAACCAGGCCGGATCGCTCTCCTCGTTTTGGCCACATCTGCCTTCACTACGTTGGTGTGTGCCGCGCAGAGTCTTCCCCCAAAATGCCCCTTTGACAGCCGCTTCTTTCGCACCTCTCGCGAAGGTGATCCATCCAGCGGTCCACCCGGCCGACCGATTGAGCAAAGTAGGTGCTGCTCCACAAGAGGTGCGTTACGCGCTAGGATCACGCCTGTACGATGTTAGTGCGTGCGATCCCACCTCTTCATCCATTTGAGATTCAAGTTGGCGCAGCCGACCCTCAACCGTGGTGAAGGAAACTTTGAATTGTCTGGCTCGAGTAAAACTCATCTAGGCCACGTTAAAAAATAAGTAGCTTCCTCACTTTTGTAACTTTCTGAGCTATTTTCTCCCATAAAACAACCTCATCGAACCCATCTGGATGCTTCCAAGTTGTTAACATGCTATATTCACACCTCCCCTGCAGACACAAACAACAATCAATCTCAGCCCCCGGCCAATTACCCGCCGGGACTGCGCGGTGGTGCGTGCATCCAAGCCACAGATGGGTTTCCATCCCAGTGTCCACGGAGCCCTGGATTCTCCCTTCCACAGTTTCGGGCCTCGAACCAACCAGCACCTGCAGAAGCGGCCCCAAAAACTCTCGACTTGGCGTCCAAGTCGCGCATGAGGTTGAAACGCGCATGTATGAGCTGGTGGCTGGCTGAGGGCGGACATCCTTGAGCCTAAACTGGGGCCATGGCGAGGGTTTTCTGCCCGCATTTTTATTCGGCTTCGCCCACATGATGATAAATTACCGTTCACCTTGTTTTTTTGGACTGCTTGCAGAGCGCAAATGGCGCTTAATGCGGATGCAAAGCGAGTTGTGGAAACAGGATGCAGGTTTTGGGAATGGCCTCGGGAGGCCCACATTTGGCCTGCACCAAACGAACAATCCGAACCTCCCGTAGTCTATCATCAATCAATAGTCCGCAACCCGGCCACAGACAAAACTGATGACCAACCTTGGCAGGGCCAGCAGATCGCGAGCCTTACATCTAGCTTCCCCATTATATCTCAATCTCTAGTCCACAAGAGGTATCAGGGGTGAATAACACATGGACATGGGTAAAAGAAGACATTTAAGACCAAAGTTGTTGACAGTCTATACCATTCCACCAGCCTCAATGGTAGTTCGCAGAGTCGATCACCGCTCAACTCATCCAACCTTCTTTTTCCGACCCGATCCCCGCCGGTGCCCCCCTCGTGTGGATTATCTCAGCCCCCCTTCGGCGAGAGCTTTTCTCCGCCAGGCCGGCCCGCAGCACGCCGCGTGTGAGGCGGACTGTCTCAGGGGCGTTGACACCTGATTTGCTCTCCTGTTTCATGAATGCAAGCCGTCCTTAAGCATTTCAAACGGCACCAGCAGAAATCATCTTCTTCCGCAGGTAGTTCTTGTATTCAGAAATAGTACCATCCCACTGCTTGATGGTCCTGTTCTCACATACGAGAATCTGCTTGGCAATCTTGTCCAACAGCCTAAAAGACACTATCAGAATGATGCTACGAATATGATTAGGGGGCTGCAGAATACTTACCTGAAGTCGTGGCTGACGACGACAACGCCGCCGCTGAAGGCGTTGATAGCATCTGCCAAACTGTCGATGGTAGGGATATCCAACCCGTTGGTCGGCTCGTCGAGAAGTAGCATGTTGGGGCCGTCAATGGCAAGGAGGGCGAACACAATACGACTCTTCTGGCCGTCAGAAAGGGTGCCGATCAAAGAAGTCTGGGCCTCTCCAGTTAAGCCGTAACGGCCGAGTTGTTGGCGCCAGTACTGGTAGTCTTGCGACTTGTCCTTGTACTTGTCACGCACAAAGTCAAGGGCAGACTTGGTGAGATCTAGCTGCTCCGCGGAATGCTGCGAGTACAAACCGAGCTTCAAGTGGGTATGCCGTGTCACGGAACCGGCCGTGGGCGAGAGCTTACCCGTCATGAGGCGCAAGAGCGTGGACTTGCCAACACCATTCGGGCCAACAAGAGCGGTACGCGAGTCCATGTCGAAACCAAGGTCGATGTTGCGGTACAGGTCATCCTTGGGGTCACCCGAGTAGGAGAAAGTCACCGCGTCGAACGACAGAACCGGGGGTGGAAGCTTCTCAACGTCGGCGAACCGGAAGGTGAAAACTCGGTCCTGGACAACGGGCTCGATGAAGCCGTCGGCCTCCATCTTGTCCAGAATCTTCTGGCGGGACTTCGCCTGACGCACTAAGTTGGCGTAGGTACCGGCGCTGGCGATGAACTTCTTGATATGAGTAATTTCGTCCTGTTGCTTCTGGTAGGCTTTCATCTGATTCGTCTCCTGCTCGGTCCTGGTCTTGACGTAACTGTCATAGTTACCGCCATAGTAGATGAGCTTCTTTGCCCTCATGTCGATCATGCTGGTGCATACACCATTCAAGAAATCCATCGAGTGAGAAACAAGAACGAGTGTCCGGTCCCATTTCTTGAGGTACTCCTCCAGCCACACACAGGCTTCCAGATCCAAATGGGCGGTAGGGTCATCAAGGAGCAGCAAAGTCGGCTTGACGAAAAGGGCCTTGCCGAGGGCGACGCGCATTCTCCAACCACCTGACATATCCTTGGTCTTCTTATGGATTGTGGTCTTGTTGAAACCTAGACCTGTCAAGATCAATGATGCACGAGTCGCGAAGGTCGAAGGGTCCATCGCCTCCATATGCTATAAGCTGAATTAACACTAATGGACCGCGCAGCAAACCGGGCGGCATATAGCATGTTTTGTGCATACCTCGTAAAGATCCATCAGGATAGGAGACTCGGGGCCTTCCTCCTCGAGCAACTTCTCGGCCAACTTGTCGAGACGCTCCATTTCGTTTTCGGCCTCCTTCACAACCCACTCCAAAGCACCCAGCTCGCTCGGAGGGGCACCTTCGTTGAGAAGATAGATGTCGACATGCTCGGGGATGGGGTATTCGCGGGCAGCGATAGCCTTCAGGATGGTACTCTTGCCGCAACCGTTTTCGCCCAACAAGCCGTAACGGCGACCCAAAGTAAGTTCGAGGGTGGAATCGGTGATGAGAACCCGTCCGTGGAACACCAAACTCGTACTGGTGATCTTGACGTCCTTACTGGCCGCGGTCGACGCCAACACACCGGTAGTAACACGATCCGAAAGACCGTGCTTGTCCATCTGCTCCGCCAGACGTTTCACTTCATCCATTTTGTCAGCCGAGGTAGCGGGTTCATCTGACTCGATCGGGTTTCCGTGGGCGTCGAGCTCCGGCTCATCGCCGTTTACCGAGCCGGTGGTGCTGGCATTTTTGGAGTTCGCTTTCGACCGCGAGGCAACCGTCTTTTTATCCTTCGCCCCGCCGGCGGCGCGCTTCGCGAGGCGCTTCTCCTTAGATGCAGAAGGCGGCATTATGGATGCGGATAACAAAATATGCGATAGAAACTCGAGGAACCCGAAAACAGAAAAAAAGAAAGTTTTAGGGTCAACCAATCTATCGGGAATGGAAGAAACAAAATGTTTCCAGATTGTCTCTGACCAAATATGATGAAGGAGGCGAATCTGAGTCGCTGCGCCCTGTTGGTGGGTTGCTCTTAGAATCCCAAAGGTGGGGTGTTGAATTTGGTGGGGCAGGATATTCTTGAAAAATTCTGATAACCGATAGCGGCCTGATTAACTGTCAGGCACCGAGGCAGAAATCCACATCTCGCACCTCTCAAAGCCACCGACTGATGATTCTTATTCTGGAGATCGCCCTTTCTCAACGAAGAGAGGAATAACAACACTAATAGCACAGAAATCCGAGCCACCTCCGCATCGAGCCTCAAGTTCAACCATCCAACACGGATCTTTCGATATCCATCTAGTGGTGCTTCCCTCTGCTCTCACATCTTTGGCCCTAACGTTACTGCCCCTCTGCAATTTCGCTGGCGGACTCATGTGCTAAATTTTTGTGACGGTATTTTCCAATCACAGTGTTATGGTTTCGGACATTGACGGCACGAAATCATGACTTCTGTTGCTGGCGCGGGTGGCAGGATCGAGAGTATTTTCCTCCTCACACGAAAATTTGTCTTTTGCAGGATGGGATTCATCCTGCGACACCCCTCTTGAAGCCCCCGTTATTTTTTCACATCGTAGCATACCAATAGAAGGTATACCGGTTAACTTGTTTGCAGTTGGCGATCAGCCGAACACACATTACAGACAGCAATTGGGAACCGCCATGAACGCTTCAAACCTGAGATGCGCTCTGCAATGCGCGGTTAGCCATGGAACTCGGTGACACCAGCTAAAGAATTTTATGCCTGAAACCTCTTGAAATGGGACTTCCCGTAGGAAGGATGCGTCCCTTTAACTCCGTATTCACCGTGTTGGGACCGGATTGGAACACAGCCAAAGCATCAGAGCCAAATGTGCCCATCAGCACCGTGGTAATGGAATACTTCCGTGAGAATCCGGATCTTACATACAACCACACTACTATGTAGTAGGACGGGGGCGCGCGGTCGTCAGCAACTGAAACCCGCCGCCGAGCCCCGGAACCGAGCGAAGGAGCCAAGACCATGAGAGATCGGCACCGAAACTGCCCACGGCCCGGGAGGGACGTTGATATTAGCGCTTGCGGGAGCGAGTGGCCCCGCTCGACGGAACTTCCGCGCTTCCACCTCGAAATCTGACACCCATAGTAGTATCTCGCATGCGTTGTCGCCATGAAGCACGAAAGGGCCCTACGAGCGGTACCGACCAACAGGAGGCAAGAATGCGGCTCTTCCAATAACTATTCCAGTTGGTAGTATTCTGGTGGATTCCAAGACCCCTGTCGCTCTCATGGGGCGGCCAGCCGTGGGATCGGACAAAGCATCGGTAGCGTGGGACAGGGGGCTTTCCGCGGGTGCCTAAAGGCTAGTGAGCTCTTTCAGACACCAACACACAAGCGCGCGCCCACGCCCCCCTGGCTTACCCCCGACGGCCCCAGGGGGTAAGGGGGTTAACTTGGTAATGTCCGCCTTCTTTAAGTACCCACGAACCGCGAAACACGACCTTGCTCAGACTCCAAGCCCTTCCCAGGTCATATCTCCCACGCCCAGACCGTGTCGGGCACTTCTGGGCTTCAAGTCCCATCCTCGGAGTGGCATGGACGTATGTGGTCTTCCAACCAGTTGAGACTCCCAGTCCACGGGAGAACAGCGTCCTTTCCCAGCGAATCCACCTACCTATCGAGCAGCTCCATCCATCGACCAACGACAGCGGTGGAACGCACAAAAGCTGCTGGTGAGGCGGCTTAACCGGCCGCCGTCCTCTGGAACACTCGACTCGACTCTCAGTTCTCGGAAATCGACATGCTACGCACCAGCGTCGAGGGAAGAGTCGTGCTAGTCCCCCCAGCTCCATCATAGGCCATCGACCACGCCTTTCAATGTGGAAGATCAACCTCCCGAAACAGCCGTCCCGGCCACCACCTTCTTGCGATCCCATCGTCGAAGCTTGGCTCGATTCGCTCCCAGCCCCTGCAGCAAAACCCTCATGTAAAGAACTCCGTCAATGGCGCCTCACCAATTACCTCGGGATCGGTCGGAGCGTATTCGTGGTGTGTGTCATCCTCCGAGGTGTCTCACTGGCAATTGCCCTGTCAGTCACAGGCATTATCGCATCCATTGCCGCTGGGAGACATGGCCCGTTTATGGTCTTCCAACGCCTCGTCCCAATTCTCGTCGTGGTTCGTTGCCCCCGATTCCTCGATCAAACGGCAGTTTAGACCACTAACATTACAGTTGGCAGTGCCCTGTTGTCGCCCTGTGGAACACGGCTGAGCTAGTTGCCGCGAGCTTCAGCCGACATGGCGGAATCCATCCCAACATACACGTCGTGATTGACGGTATTCTGTTCCTGGCGGTGGCCACAGCCGCCGGTACGCTTCTAGTCGACGTCATCTGCGGCCTCACCGACTATGGACCCCGCTTCACCACGGCGGGACAGGAGATCACCAGTGTCTGTCTCCTGGTTGTCATGATGTATGCTGAAATGCCACCCAATACAATCACACCAGTTATAGATGTGCTAACCCAAGACAACAGGGTGATCCACTCATTTCTCCTGTTCTTCTTCGTATGCAACTATGTCGAACAACTGCGAACAAAGTCAACGAAACCAGCAGCTAGCCAGTTTCCCGTCCCTCAATATGCCCCTGGCGCTGCTCCGTGGTCTTCACCCCTATCTGCTACAACAACTCTCCATCGAGCACCTACCGGACACGAATCCACGAAGTTCGGGCCGAGTCCCATTACCATGGAACTACGGAATTCTCCCTCTGCTCTGCGTCGCGAACCACCCGCCTTTGGACTATCCGTGCAGCCACAGCCAGCTCCAGCGGTAGCACTCTCCGCCGTCATCGAAAGTTCGGTTATTGCACAAGCAATGTCTGGAGTTTGGGATGCCGAAACGGGGTCTGGTCAACAGGTGGGACTAGCGCCACCGGCGTATGAGGGCCCCCTGGGGAGTACAGCCGCAGATCGAAGCTCCTCGTTTGACGGTGGGCGGTATGCGTAAGGGCGGGGAAGGGAGGAGTCGTCGAAGTGGGTTGGGTAGAGACACGGAAGCTGTGGCAACACACCCCCCAACTCACGCCTGCATGATTGGGGGCAAAAGAGCCACCCGGTCTGCGATGGCCGTGGCCATCGTCTCGGCGCTTACCATACGCCGGCGTGCACTGGGCCATGAAACGCATAATGTCTTAATGAGCGGCTTGGGGTTTCAACGGCTCAGAGTACCCTAATGAATTCAATTTGCCTTAATTTCATAATAACCTCCCCTGAAGCTCTCATCAATGGCACAAAAGCAACCGTGAGCTTCGCTGGGGCTCCATCACAAGATGCACAGCAGGGCGGGTCATCGGAAAGCTTCCCATGCTCGGCATCGATGGTCTGTCAATAATGCTTGTGACAAATCAACCTCATCCGCAGAGCGAGAACCTGAAGCTCGATCGTTTGGTGGTGGGCAAAATGGCTTGACTTCTTTGAGTGGAGTGGACCATGGCCAATCTCAAGCCTAAGAATTCGGGTGCCTAAACTTGGCCCCCAGCCGCTCTCTCGGATTGTGCTCGCTCCACAACATCCACGAACCCGACCGGAACAACGCTGCGCTGCAGAAGCCGAGATTGGCTCGTCATTGGGTAAGTCGTACAAGAAAAGCTGAATCGCGAATGTGCGTGCCATCGATCCTGGTTTAATAGGGGTTAATTATCTAGGTTTGGCAGTCAGTCGTTGAGAACCTGGAGCCGTCAAGCAAGGAGTCAGGTAATTTGTCTCAAATGACACTTGGATCGCCTGGTTTTAGGGCGTCTTGCTCCAGGCGGTCCGGCCCGACGGTGGTTGATTGACAGAAGGGAAGATCTGGGAGGGGATCGCCCATCTGTGGTGTTATTTTAGCAGCTGGCTGGTTTAGGAAAATCAATAACAGATTGGGGGACCCCTGTGAGCGTTGTCTACCGGTGTGCCCACGCCAGCGGGATGATAGAATGAAACCCTGGTTCCCGATCTTTCAACAATGTTGGGTTTTATTTTCCGACGGATGCCTAAAGGTATTTCCGTGAACAACGAACCTCATCTCGTTCAGCGGCATCTTAACTCGCTCCCCGGCCTAGCCAGACACCCGAGAAGGGCTGGGCGGTTGTTCTAGGCGGGCCGCCGGTAGGTTGACCGGTCGTGGCCGCCCATCAGAGGCCAGCAATGTCCTCGACCCAGCTCCTGACCTTCTCCGCGACCGACTCACTATGGTCTGCATGAATTTATGCACCGTCAGCAACATACTCAGCCAAGCACGCGATACGACATGGCAAAACCGCCATCTACAACGCTTTCAGAGAAAGACAAGCGTACGAGCGAGCGAACAGCCCGAGTGCCCGACAGACGACGAAACGGATAATCCACTTACGAATGCAAAAGGCGTGTGGCACACCACCTTCATCGATGACGACCCGTGTCCTGCCCTTCTCGTGCTGGCGTCTCCGCTCGATAAACTCGTCCCGGCACTCATCAGCGACCCAGTGGTCTTTTGTCCCAAAGTAGAAATAAAACTTGGCTGGGCTTTCCCCCTGCTCAGGCCCCGCTCCAGGTTGCTTGCCTTCGGCCTCTTGGATCTCCCACATTTCTTCTGCCCTGAGGTACTCAAACGTGTCAACGATTCATCATCCTCATATTGCAAGGTGTGATTCACGAGGGAGCAAAGAAAAAGAGCACAAGCCAAAAAAGGCTATAGACATAACGGTGGAAGTTACGAGTAGCAAGGACAAGACGAGAAGAGGGACAAAACGACGCGAGAAAGAGGGGAGAGAGAAACAGGACATCAGAGCACGGATTACTCACCACGTCTCCTCTCCAATAACCTTCATCTCATCTTTGCCCAAATGAAGTGCCTGCCACACTCCATCCCGCCCATTCAAAAACCCCAGCGTAGCGTCCGCTGCGTGCTCGGGGAACCCCAACACCCGCCGCACCACACCGCTTACGGCCCATCCCGGTAACACATCCAACGCATACCGTGCGAGGTGATGTGCCGTCCGGTCAAGCACGCCGATGGTCCGCAGCAGGTCCAGTTTGCGCCCACTGGGCGAACGGGCGATGTGGTAAACGGTTGGAAAGAGGAGGATGCCGGATGTCAAAGAGATTTGTGATAACGGCGCCAAGGTAGGGTTGGGTATCTCGGAGCTGCGGGTGGTCTGCTTGTCTTGAAGATGCCGGTGGAAGGTCTCCAGGGCAATGTAGGCCCCAACCGAGTGGCCGATGAGTATGACGTGATCGAATACACGGCCATTGGCAAGCGTGCTAGTTGCGACCTTCCGGACGTTTTCACAAACGCCGTTGATCTGGTCGTCGAGATTGAAAGGCTCAGTTTTCTTGGCGTCTCCTGAGGCATTGGCTGCCGAGGTTGAAGTCCCGAAGAGAGGCTGGTGGTCGCGGTCATCAAAGCCGAGCAGGTTGCGACCATAGATATGAAAAGAATGACGGCTGCCTTGGGTGGACTCCGTCTCATTGAGGAGTTGTCGGAGTGTGGTCATGAATGGGACATAGTAGCCAACGAGTCCCGGGTTGCCGGGGATCAAGTAAATCAGGTATTGGCGACGGTTCGCGTCGTCTTTGTGAGGAGATGGATACTGTAAGAACGGCACCTGGTCGTGTACGACCGCTGTCGGCCGTGGTGCCGTATCTTCCATAATTTTGGCTTTCTCAATTGTTGCTGTGAATGGGTTGTCCGTCAACAACCACTCACCGCATGTGACAGTGAGATCAAGCGCGCCGGAAAACTGGGCGACCAATGACGGCTGGCCGGGCTCGCAAACCGATAAATTTAAGTGGGGTGGCACCTGCCAACGGCCCGTTTCCTTACTTGGAAGTATGTTGATTCTGGGAGAAGCCCCCCTTCATGTGCAAATTAGAGAGCCAGACACCGTTAGAGTCCAGGGTTTAGTGTCCTTTGGTTCAAATCTTGCGGCCATCGTGTTGGGAATAGCTACCCAGAGATGCTGGCTGGCACAACCATACCACCCACGACATTTTCTCTCATATTCGTCCCGAATGTTGTGATAATTCCCAGTCCCACAAGGGGTGAGTTTTCGTGAAGGGCTCCTCTAGCTGTTCGTTTTCTTCGCCCTCAGTTGTGCCGACTGGGCGAGATAGATTCATGTTGTGACTTGGATCTTCCCGCCTTGCGATGCTCTCAAAGAGTACGGTGTCCGGTAACAAACTACCATTCGAATTATCTTCGTCCTAATTCAACCGGCGTTAGAGGTTACCTTCGGGTGCTACCCCTCCGCCTTCTTCTATAGTCGGGGCGTTGCTTGGGAACCCTCGAGTACCGCAGACGCTGCAAGAGACCGGTTGGAGATGGGAAATCAAGCAAGCACCAAGTCATACACTAATTGGTGTTTCTGTAGGATTTGCTTAGCTCCTTGGCAAACGATAACCCGGCACGATGTGAAGGGCAATAGCCGCCAATGGTTGAGTGGATCTGCTTGGAGGTTGCTAGGCAGTCAGCTCGGCCCAATCTTTAGAACGGTCCAACGGGGCCGTCCCGGCCGTGCTTTAACACAAGCTCCCCTATGTTAGATGATTACTTAATGAGTAAGTGGTTTGTATACAATTACAACCATTAACGTAACCCTGGGACGACCTCAGTTTCCCTGATGCTTGAAACTGCTTTTTCTCACCTTGACACCTCTCCCGACCCGGGGTAATCCTCTCACCACCCACGGGTTTATCTTTTCGCTTCAACAATTGGATATTTGACGAAGGGACCTCTAATCAACCAGCCTTTCATGTATGAACCCCATTTGTTTGGGTCTAAATATCGCCAACCAATCGCTTTGAGCCACGGAAAGTTTCGCACCAACCACGACGGCCCGTAACATAGATTTACCCGGAAATAGTTGATTAAATTTCTGAGATAGTCGATACACGCGAGGTCTATTATTAGATGGCAATATCGAAGTTCTTGGCCACTCCTGGCCCGATTCCAGAACCATGGGATCCTTCTGTTAAGGGCAATCAGCCAATATCACACCTAGAGGCTATCCGGGAAACCGGAACCTGATGCGCGCGCCAGACACCAGTCTACATATTATGACATCTCAAGTGACACGTTTAATATCCGCGGTGTTGATTTCCCAGCACAATATTGCAACCCTACTCCCGCTTCTGGAGTCTGGATCACAGATGCATTTACAGCCACATGGGCCAGACCCGATCGCAGCGCCGGGTTCCTGGGCTGACCCCTTCCCTTGCCTGTTCTTCCCGTCCTTAAAGGCCTCAAGGTTCCACGGGCGAGCCAAAGCCGGGTTTGATCAACAGCCCTTGCTTTGATCGACGCAATACCTTCGACCATTCGAACAATGAAGCTGACTGTTTCTGCTTTGGCTCTTAGCCTTGGGGCTTCTGGGGTTCTTGCCTCCAACTTTGTGGCTTCTTGCAAGGAGAGTACCATCAAAGTCTCGGGCAGAACTCTGACCGCCAGCTGCAAGAACATCTTCGGTAACTACAAGTGTTCCCACCTCAACTTGAACACCTGCTTGAAGAACCGATACGGCAGCCTCCAGGCTGACCCAGATGGAACGGGGTACGTCTTCCTCTAATTAACCAAAATCTCCCTTTCTGGCATGCGAGCCACTACTGATGCCACGATCATTCGGGATTCATAGTCCGCACTTGGATCAATGCATCAACTGCACCAACGAGGAGCCTGACACTGGTGTGATTGTTGATGGTGGTCCGTCGCTACTGTACTGCCAATGCGACCCGGGTACCGGGGCTGCCCAAGCCAACTGGCCGACAGCCATCTTTGACCTGAGTGAGTATCCCTTCAACCCGACGACTCCATCAGAGAACATCCGAGAAATTCTGACGCATTTTTATCTCAGACACCATTGTGGATAACCAGAACGGCATTTTGCATTGCTACGATGTTAAGGGTACGGTCTGCTGAGTCAAAGGAGGGTGGATTGGGTTAAGACAGTCGTTCACTACTCCAAGAAAACCAAAAATCCACGGAATATGAAGATGCGCCTCCTATGTTGAAAGCTAATTACTCATTTCTCAAACTGTGATATATTCACTCCACTTGAACAGACAATATTTCGAAAGATGCGGCTGTCGCGATTTGGGGTGGCTTGCAATTTTAGTCATTGCTAGGTGTGAGTGGCTAAAGAGAGAAAAAAAGAGAAACAGCAAAGAAAAAGAGAAACAGCAAAGAAAAAGAGAAACAGCAAAGAAAAAGAGAAACAGGAAAACAAAAAAGAGAAACAAGTAAAGTGAAAAATGAAAAAGGCGCAAAAAGCTCGCTGCCAAGGCCGTATCCCCATCCAAAGGGATAGACGTTGGTAGGTACGAAAATTTTCCGGTGAGGATTTTACTTCGCTGAACTGGGGATCGAATCCGGAGCCATTTCGATTTATGACGAGGGCGAGGTGCCCCTCCCAATGCCGCTGCGCCAAACATCGCTGTTTGGCGTATTGGGAGGAGCGGGTGACAGTGCGAGCGAGGAGGGGGGTTATATGGCATGGTGCAGGAAGGAGTCCCGTTTAGGTTCTAATTGACTGGGAGGATACCTCAGGCATTTATTGCTTCCAAAGTACCTGCATTGCAGCTCTAGAAGGCCTGGATTTCTTCCATCTCTCAAATAATCTTCGGTTATGGGGTGGTATTGATATCAAGTACAGATACGAAGTAGAACATACTTCCCTGGCCAAATTCCCACAACACCACAACCCTCTTCCTCTCAGCATTAGTACCTAGCCTGACCCACGGCGACATCGTTACTTCCTTTATTAATGCCTTTGTGCCAAATCACGCACCGTTTCCACATCCAGTCCTAATCTTCACCATATCCTCCGTCTGTAACACTTGTCCTTCTGAGCGTCTTAGTCTCCGTCGCGAATGTACTCGGCCCAATACTAGTGGTTGCCTTGCTGCTCACTTGAACCGGATCTCCGGATACGGCATCGCTCACTTCAGTTGCGGAAGAAGGGAAGACGGGAAGAAAGGTGTAACTTCCATAGCCGTAGCCGTCTCCGCTTCCCCCGTCACTACTGCTTGCGGTGGACGTGCTTATGAAAATAGGGTCGTTGGAGGCGATGGTGCGGACGGTGGTTGTCATATTGTTTGGAGAGAGTAAGGGAACTGAGCTTGAGGGGACTGTGATGTTAGTCGTGACCGGCCGGACGAACGGGGTACGGGGGCTGACTTACTGAGGAGGGTGGTCTGGTACGTCATAGTAGATTGATACGACGCCAGGGCCGTATGAGCTACAGTAGAGTTGGCCCCAGTGCCAAGACTGGGCCTGGATACTGGGGTTCCCGCCGTGGTAGATGTGACGATCGTAGAAGATGTCACGGTGCGGGTGAGGTGTATGGTCGGATGTTGCTGAGTGGCCGTGACACGCGTCGAGTTTCCCCAGAGGACCGAAGAGGTACCGATGGGCTCCGCGCTCTCGATGGCTGTGCCGACTGTACCGATAACGGTTGGATACGAGACCGGCGTGGTATGATTCCAACCAAGAGACGTAGAGAAGTTGCGGGGAGGAGTAATACCAGTGGGCCAGCTCTGTGTGCAAGGGGGACTTGGACCGGTAGTGCTGTTGGTCCATGGACTGCGAGTATTGTGAGTGCTCATGGGAAGCCCGGACACGCTGGAAGCATTGGAGGTGCAACTTGTGTAAACTGTGACTGTGATTGGCACATAAACCACGCCGCAAGCGTTGCCATCGCCGGTTGGGCTAGCTAGGTGCGTGGCCGTGACGGTTACGGTCACGTCAGGTGGAAGGGCCGGATGACTTCCATACATGTCGTTGCGGTGGAAGAGGTGCTGAGCCGGCACTAAGCTGCTAATTACATTGTTAATAAAACGGCCGTGGTAAATATGAACCGGCTTTAACGCATACCTTCCACTCAACAGAGGCAAATACCGCAACCTGCGAACCATGGTGACGGAAAAGTTTATAAAGAAAACCAGCAAGAGCAAAACTATGAAGCCCTGACCGTCGACCCTCGAGCAAACCGCCGACCGAGCATGATGGCGACATGAAGAACTCGATCGTGCCCTTTTATCTCTCGTTTACATTTTCCAGGTCTAGAATGGCCGAGTGTGTTTTGTTTGTGTTCGCCACCCCTGATTGTTTGGGTGAATTAGCGTCGTCCGTATGGAATCTCCCATTGAACTATTCCGTTGCGTGTCCGGCCTTGAGTTCTCATGATTCGAGCCGGGGGTGTGGAAAATAGATTACTAGGAGAGAACAAATAGCGAGAAGAGTCGTATCCGCAGGCCTGGCCAATTTCAGGAGGAAGCTACCCGAGGTCTGGGACTTTACAACCGTGCTCATCTGCTCCAGCAATGTTGTTTGGCGTCTGTTTAGGTGTTCAACATCATTTCCGCCATCGCGAAGCGAGTCGTTCTGTCTCTGAAAGGTTGCGTCTTTTGCGCGGTCAAGTTTCCTGGGTAGTTAATTCCGGTCTTGTGGCGAATGAGACGCAGGTTCCCGAGTCTTGTCCGTTTGAGTACCACAGGCATCACGTTGTGCGCAAACCGCACAACTGATGCTAATAATTGTCCGACAGGGCAAGCCGATGATCCCATCAATGCTTGCGCAACCCGAACTGTGATGGTTCTGTACCTGATGCGAAGTACTTGTGCCCTGTATCACACAAATTTACTAACGAGACACCACAAAGCTGCAAACGAATGGGACGGTCCGTTCAAAGGAATGCATATGGAAAAAAAGCTAGCTCATTAGCATGAGGCAACCTCAGAGTTCGGTCTTCTCCTCCGATCTCCCAGCAAACCGCTCCTCCGCCGTCTTCCAGTTGATGACGTTCCAAATATTCTCAACGTAGGCGGCTTTGCCGTTCAAGTACTAGAACCATCCGTCAGCACGAGTTAAATCAACACCCCGGAAAAGGCAAACCAACCTGAAGATAATACGCATGCTCCCACATATCCACCCCCAACACAGGCACCTGTCCGCCCACCACAGGATCCTGGTCCTTCGTCGTCACAATCCGCAACCTCCCGCCCTCACCCGTCTCTTTCACCAACCACCCCCATCCACTTCCCTGAATCCCCAACAGCGCAGCTCCAAACGCCTTCTTAAACTCCGCCAACCCGCCCCATACCTTCCCAATCTCGGCTACCAACTCCGGCGCTGCCTGAGCCGGGTCGGCCGTCTCAGCGGTCCCCGCAGGAGCCAGGTTGCGCCAGAAAAGCGAGTGGTTGATATGCCCCCCGCCGTGGAAGCGGATGGCCTGCTGCAGGGAGATTTGGGCAGCTACATCCCCCTCAGCGAGCGCGGTTGCGTGAGACACAAGGGCGGCGTTGAGATTGGTCACGTAGGCTTGGTGGTGGCGGGCGTGATGGAGTTCCATTATTTGTGCGGATATGTGTGGCTCGAGCGCATCGTAGGCGTAGGGGAGAGAGGGGAGGGTGTAAGTAGTGAGGCCCATTTTGGTGAGTGTTTCGGTGATGTTGAGGTTGGAGAGTGATGCAGAGGAGGAAGAGGGCAGTGGTGACTGCAGGGAGAGGTACTGCAGGAGGTTGTTAAAGTTGACCATGTTTGGCTTTTTGCACTTCCGGGCTTGTTTCTTGTCCTTCAAGGTACTCGGCTGTACCAAGTCCGGGTCTCCCCGCTTAGGTTTGTCAGACAGACAGATAGACAGATCTTGCCTTGGCACTTGCTTCGCTCCGCGCGCTACGAGTCGAGACGAGACAGTCTCAAAAACCTGCTCATCAAGGTGCGCACGTAGAGAGATTGAGCAGGTTGTCTGGGTCGTGTGGTGTACCTGAGTGGAGAAAGAGGATCGCGTTAGGTGCGGCTTGGGGAACGAGATGGTGTTCCTCAGAGGTTGCCACGCGTCTGACAGGCCGTTGAGGTTCCCACTCGTTTCCCGCGCAAACGTGCTCAATCGGCCGTAGTGTGGCCCGTGCTCAAACGGGTGCCAAGAGCTTGAAACACGGAAGCGGCATGTTCTGGCATCGTTTGCAGCGTGTGATTGGTTGATCTGGGTGCTCCTGTCTGAAGATCCGGGCGACTGGAGTGGGTCTGGATGCTCCTCTGGAACGGGACGACAGTTGCAGATCAGGGCACCTTGAAAGCCACCTTGATGGCCGCTTGGAACCTAAGTACTTTGTAAAACATGCTCAAAGTGGTCGAAAGAGATCCGGGGAGAACCTTGTGTGAGATGCCAGTATTCTCGAGCATGTGCATAGGTCAATAAATGAAGTAGATTTTCGCTCTTGTCGTTCCCAAATCCGGGCTGTAACTCTCCAGCTTTGCAAGCGTTCACCCCGAAAATACCCTCCACATCGGACTACAGAATTCGCGAAACGATTTCAACAAATAACACAAAATTCCATAATTACAGATATGTGTGGGCCCGAAACCCCATCTTCAACGCCGCGCATCGGCGCCCGCGTCAACCTCTTTTCTCCCGGCGGCAGTCTCGGCAACCTGCTCTTCCACAACCCCTGCTCGCCGTCCAGCTTACACGCCACACACGTCCGTTTTGTGCCAAACAGCAACTCCAGTGCTTCGCCGGCCACCACAGCCCCGGATGAAAACGTGTTGTTGTCAATTCAGTAAGCACAAAGGATCCTTCGTTATCTCGAGGTACCACCCCGCTGACAAACTGGCCTTGTAGCACAACAGGCGACCTGACAAAGCCGCTTGCCGACGCCGGCCTGATGCAGGAATTTACCGTGCACAGTGGATTACTCGCCGTCTCTGGCCCTGAACGCCGCCAAAACGCCGGAGGCGAAGGAGTCGAGATCCCACTGGGGATGGCGCTCTCCTTGGAAGTGGGGAACGATGGCATTATCGGGCGACGAGTGTCCATGAGGAGAGGCTGCGGAGAATTGTTGGCAGATGGGATTGTGGGGTTCAACTTCTCGCCAGCGGTTACGGCGTAAAAGTCTGTCGTTTGTCAAGGCAAGAAGCCTTTTGCATGGTTGGCGTTTGGCTGTTACGGTTATTGGATGCATGGACGGGCGTTCGCTACACCTCCCTACTGGAAGGTAACATTCACAGCTCAAGGTATACCTTATCATCCTAGGTTAGAGAATCGGCATAATATTGTTATTATCTTCGTTATATGATGCTTATGTAATAGCCCAAAATGCAATGCAAAAACGCTAGCGCAATGCTGAAAATGCGAACCGAACTTAAATAAACTCTCCACAACCATACCCTGCTCTTCCTCATCACAGCAACCCCTCATTCCAATCCGACCACCTCCGGACCACCTCATCCACCTCCGTCACCGCATCTCTGGATGCCTCCACCTCAAACCATTCACGATGCTCCCGCCCACATGCTTCACACTTGTCCCGGTCCGTCACACGCAAACCCCGGCCCTGCAGCTCAATGTGGACGAGCCGCTCGACCTTGTGGCTGTGCGGCACCTTGCGCGATGTCGTGTCGGCGGGACTACTCGACGGGATGTACGGGTAGTATCGGATCAGCGATATGTTGTATCCGCACTGGCGCTGCCACTCGTTGAGGCGGCGCTGGACGTTGGTAGCGCGGCCAATCTTGAGGAGGATGGTCTTTTTCTTCTTGGGCTTGGACTTGCGCGTCTTGGCTTGGCCCTTGACACCTCTGCTACGGCTGCCGCCCTCGTCCGCCGCATCATCTTCCGAGCTATCGTCGTCATCGATGATGGAGCGGGCAAAGGAGTCGATGACATCGCTGGGCCGGCGGGCGCGGTTGTCCGGGGTGGACGGCGGAGCGAGTAGCGAGCGAGCGGCTTCGACGGGCGGTGTAGCAGGTTCGGACTCGGGGGTCAGCCAAAAGATGTAAATGTAGCCGGCCTCGTCCTGTTGCGACACGGGCTTCGCAAGTTCGGCGAGGAGTAAGGACGCTGTTTGGGGGTCGCAATCGGGTCGGATGAGGTGCATGTATTGCGCCATCTGGGAAGCTTCGGAGCCATGGCGTGAGCCACGGCCGGAATGGCCGGTGGATCCGGGCACCAGATGTTGCCCTGAGGGCTTCTTTCCACTCAGTCTTGCTGGTGTTGACACCGAGGTTTGCTGGAGAGGATGGGGTTTCGGGCGCGGGGGCGGCTCGATATCTTCGACGGGGATACGGAAGCAGAAACAGAATGTGGTCTCCTTCTGCTTCGCATGATTCGGGCGCGACTGGTGTGGTTGGTACTGATGGTGCTGCCCACTGACGCTCGGGCGTCCGTTTCCTTTCGATGGCCTCGCGGACTGGGTCTTGATAAGACCCAGCCGATCTGCTAGTGTATCGATGCTACTTCGCTCCTCAAGAATCGGCTTGTGGGACATCCTAGGTCCCGGGCTCGATTTGGCTGAGGCGCTCGCCTGGTCCTTGTGTTGCCAGCAATACGAGTTCTCGTCGGCCGGGTTGTCGGTGCGGATGGGCTTCAAGCGACTGAGTGGCCCGGCCTCTTCGGCCGTGATCGGGCGCCGGCATGGCCGGCCGTTGGAGGTGACTCCTCTACATGTCGTCGCAGGATTTTTTGAGTCGGCGCGGCCGAGTCTCGACTCGGGAGTATTTGCGTAGATGGGCATCGCCGTCGGACAACTGCTTGGCTAAGGTAGAGAGGTTGTTGGATGGCAACGATTCAATGGAGCCGGAAATGTCAACCTGGACTAGGTTTAAAAGCGAGAAGGGAAAGGCGGAACCCGGTTCTCTGGCATGAGAGCGCGGGCGCGTGGCAGGACGACCAGCAACAACGGTGGGCCGCCATCATGGGCTGCCTGGTTTCGAGTCTGGATGACTCGGCCACGATTCCTAGGTGTTGGCCGGGGTTGTACTGGAACATCGTGGCTGAATGTGGGCCTGTGGGGTGCTCAGCCACGAATTTTCCTGCCTCTTGGTAGGCGTCAGCCACAGGTCCCTTGATTTTCACAATCCCCTGATTCCCCACTGCATCTATCCGATCTCCAGAAAAGGGGTCGCCTCACCGGGTCACCGTGAACACGTTGGCCGTTGAGTGTTGTTCAGTTCCTCGCCCTACACACGTGTGCCGTGTGCTGTCGGTTTTGCCTTGTTTCAATCGCTGCTGCCCGATTGCAAACCACACGTGCCGCGCTGCCGCGATGGGCCATTGGGAGCTGCAGTCGCACTCCCAGTTGGCGCACGGTGTCCAATCGAAGATCCGGGCTGGCAGGGCGAACCGGACCGCAACCGAATATCCGGGCGCATTTCGTGCCTGACTTGTACGTCCCGAACCCATCCATCCAGGAATACCCGGCAACGACTCGGGGACCGACTCGTTTTTCCGTTTGATGTACTTTTGGGCTCGGGCCTAATCGAAACTCACCTTTGCCTTGACCCATTCCAGGTCCAGGGCGAAGCTGTCCGCCAGCTTCCCTCGGTCAGCGTACCACTCACTGTCTCTCCCTACTAGCCGCTGGACAAAATGTACATGCCACGAAGATCCCGTCCCCTCGAACTTGGCACGGTGACCCCCCTGTCCGCCGGGGGGTTGGCTCACATTAGAGCAAGTGTACACTTTGTCTCGTAGGCAAGCAATGGAGCTCAAGAGTCACATTTGAGGCGTTAGACGTGTCGTGCCATATTGGCCCCCTATGTCTCATTCGCGAAGCTATTGATGCCTTTACCCTTCAGCTTTTGGGCAGCTCTTGAACGTCCGAGATTCCTAACCCATGGCTACTGGGGGTTCAATATATACTGAGCATCGCCAAAGGTCCTCCCCAACGATTGTAGGGGGTTGTCTGGTTTGTACCGCCAGGTATCAACTTGAAGTTGACAAACTGATGAAACGGGGAATATGGGCTCTCCAACCCCGCATATCCAACATCTCGTGCTGTGTAACTGGTGTTAGCCCCCCCGTAACGCCACCAATAAAAACGTCGAAGGTTCACCAAATCACATTGCAGAGTATGAACTTGCTAGAGGTTGAGCATTCTAGTGGGGGATGTATGTTCCGTTGGCTGATTCGCTGAAGCCCTCTAGGAACGTTCCTGTCACCCACTCCATTACTGTAGGCCCATGGCCACTCGGAATGCCGCAATGGCCGTATCGTCCGACTCCAACATCGTCCTCGGCTTCACGCAGAGAGAGAGAGAGAGAGCGTGTAGCTTAGTGCGGCAAACCTGCTTGATAGACAAAACACTCCACGTGAATGGCTCCACGGCCGTGTCGAGTTGACTGGAAGTTGATGTGGAGCTCAAGATCACATTTTCTAGCCAGCTTCCCACCAGCCTTAATAGCGGTAGCGTGGGGAAGATGGCGACATGTGTTTACTTTGTTTGATGGCATGTTGCTTGGGGGCATTATGCGGGCTTGTGGGTGCGGGGTATTGGGTATGCCGCCTGCATCAAACGGGCTGGGGCAAGTCTCTTGCTTTAATTAGGTTGCGAAGGGGACTTGGTCGCAATAAACCGAAACGATGGTGTTTTATACGGGAAGTTGAAGAGGGTTCGTGTATTCTATAGCACATGATCATATCGTCTTGTATCAAAGCGGCGAAACAAGCTCTAAAGAAAAACAGGGAAGTTGATAAACGTCATCTTGCGAAAAGGGGTATCCGCATCAAGCTCAACAGGGGAACGAAATAATCACCAAGGAAAGAAAGGACAAAGAAATCGCATTCATCAAATCCAGCCATATGCTTGTCCCACAAGGCAGCGTGCGGGGAACAAAAGGGGAGAAAAGTAAAAGGAAAGAAAAGAAAAAGGAGAGAAAAAATGAAAGGACAGAACATAAAAGGAGGGGAAAGTAAGGGGTGGGAGGAAGAAAAGGAGAGAATCCACCTCCTTCCTGCCTTTCGCTTACTACACAACCTCATCATCAGCTGAGCTGGAAACAGTCCTCGCCTTCCTGTCCTTTTTCCCAATGACCTCCACCGGAGTGGGATCATTCGAGCCCGTGGCGAAGGTTGTGATACCATGGGACGGCGCATCAAGTGGATCCTCCGCATCGTCTCTGTACGGATCGCGCTCATGATGGTCGTCATCGGCAAGCAAGCGTGAGTATTCACCGTTGCGGCTGGTCCACTTCGGGAATCCCCATTCACGCGGGCCTTTAAACCCTGAGAAGTTCGGCAGGGTGAAGGAGGGCAACGACGGCGCAGACATCGATGGGACCGTCACCTGAGGCAACGAGACTTTCGGACGGGAAACAGTTTCGTACCAGGGGATGGGCGGCAGTGAGTCGGGACGCAGCCGGTTGCCACAATGGGGGCAGTCAGCGGGAAGGGCACGCCACGCGGTGTACTCGACTAAGCCTGGGATGGCAAGGCCAGCAACAAATTCGCGTACGGCTAAGAACAAGTGGATCAAGCTACCAGCCTGTTAGCAAAACCCTTGTAAAAAAGGGAAGAAGAAAAAAAACAACGAGAAAAATGAGACTCACAAGTTTACCAAAAGGGGGATGGTACTGTAAGCCGCCAGCATGGCCAACTTGGGTCTCCTATCGCCCCCATTCCCAGTGCGAATCCATGTGAAGACCAAAACAACCATCAAGCTCGCCGCCAAAATGACATCGACGACAAACACCACAATGCGATGCGTCAACACCGTTCCCCGACGCCTCTCAGTGACCCGATAGTCGGTACCGCCCTCATAATAACCCTCGTCCTCCTCCGGTCTGATCCCAAGCACCCTGCCACCAGCCTGCACTTCTTCTTCATCACTATCTGGCAACCCGGTATTCCCAGCCAAGCTCTCCGTCTCCCCTTCCTCTGCGTCCTCCTCTCTCACCTCCTCTCCTCGGGTCCGACTCCACACCCCACTCGTGCTCGTTGCCTTCCGCTTCGCTCGCCCCTTCTTCCTGCCCCCTCCTCGTGAAAGTAGGATCAGGAACAGGGAGACGACAGCAGAAAAGAAGAGCGGGATGAGACCCACGGCGGGGACGACATTGTTGGAGAGAGCGCCGTGGGTGATACAGAGCGGGAGTGCGGGGATGAAGGAGAGGATCGCAGCGGTGCGGAGGAGGGGGCTGGGCAAGGTAGTAGGGGTGATGGGTTTGTTGTTAGATGGAGGCATGGTGGGTGTTTTGTTAAGGGCGAGGGTTGAGGGGTAGTCTTAGGGTTAACGGCGAGCGTGGGCAGGTAGTGGTCGATGATGCGGAGTAACGCTCGTGGCGGAGAAATGGCGGTGGAGACTCAATCTCGTGATGATGAACGGTAACTCCGGGATAATAACAATGATAAAACTGAATATTCACGCTCGGCTAGCCCGCCAGCTTCGCGTCTTGAGTGAGATGAACGACCTGAGACTCAGTACCTTTGTTGTGGAGTGCTCAAACGAGTCTCTACTTATGGAGTAACCTGGCTGGTGGGACGCGTGGACGTTGTTTGGATAGTGGGGTTGATAACAGTGTGAGCCAATCAGAGCGAATGTCCCCGTTTCTCCGCCCCCAGCCCCCACTTAGCTTGTACCCCACCAGTACTTGCCTTTCTGAGCGATGGGCCGTGTAAGAGCACAGTCTGTTTATCACTTCGACGAACCTAAGACGTCTCCCAAAGGTTACACGGAAGGAACACACAAGTACCCTCTTCTTTCCTAACTTCCTATGGAATCCCGATTTTGCCGCGCGAAGGAGTCCTAGCCCCATGTTTAACAGGCTGAGTTGAAAGAATTACGCGGACGTCGGTGGGGGGAGGGGCGCCAGAATACGCAAGCGTTTGGGAAACACGCACCACGGCCGGTGCCTGTTCACGCAAGGGGTGCATTTGTGCCGTTCTGTTGGATGTTTAATAACTCCGAGGGCGTCGGTACGGTGAAGGATTTAACTTCGGGTACCCTGCCGGTCCGGAGAATGGAATGCTCAACGGGAGCTGAGGCGCGGGTGGCGCCAGTCTTGCCTCGGATTTTGCGGGTTGTGCACTATCTTGGAACAGCGAGGGTTGGTGCATTCTTGGACTGGCCCAGATTTGCAGAGAGCAGCGAAATTCCGTAGGGTTGAGCTTCCGGACTTCTTGCAAACAGCGTGAAGCGGGATGGCGCTCCTTTCGATTAGGAATAAGCATCCCTTCAGCGACAAAGTTGAGAAGAGGGCATCGAGTTACTTTGGCCAGTTTGGCTGAGATGAAAGACCGCGTCCGTCCAGGGGAGGCCAGTTGGCTGAATCGAAGTTGGGAGGCCATAGCCGTATTCTAGGACAATGACACCCAGGGCCCAGATATCGATGCCTGTATCATAAAGTTTTTGAGCGAATACTTCGGGAGCGACGTACGGAAATGAGCCGATGAAAGTTTGGCGGTACGCTTGGCTGATCTTGGAGATGCCAAAATCGGCGATTTTGATGCGCAAGTTGGGTGCCGAGACTGCACCAAGATGTTGCCTGGCTTGAGGTCGCGGTGAAAGACTGGGTATTCGAGCCCATGAAGGTAATCTAATGCCGAGAGACATTGCGTCAACACCGCGAACGTCTCCGTAACGCTTAGGGGATCTTTAGAGTGCTGCTTGCTGAGAGATCCGAGAGGAACGTATTCCATGACCAAAAGGGGTTCTGGCTCAATTTTTGAGGCCTCTCGGAAAATCTCAACGACATTCTCCTGTTCTCCAAATCAGCACCGAGGATAACTGGTTCACACTGGTTCCAACATCAGGAAAGCGGCGGAAGATAATAAAACAAGACGGCTCCTTACGTAACTCAGTGAAGCCAAGATTCTGATCTCGTTGATCAGATCATGCTGATGGCGCTTTTCGTGCGCACGCTTTTCCGCGTAGTATTGCTCTGTACTAGCGTCCCAAACTGAGTGCACCTTACCGAAGCATCCCTCGCCGACATCTTCAGAAGGAAGTAGAATGGCGTCCCTCCTCAGCGTCGACGTCTCTGCGAACACACCGGCCGAACTTGACCCGGCCATGACACTCCAACCACCTATTCCCAGCTGGCTAGCAACCAATCTGTCTGTGCTGGTCTCACGTCCTGACAGAAAGAGGTCAACATTGGTCTTGTACTCCGGGGAATAGATGTCGTGCTTGGCCACGATGATCCGAAACTGGAGCTCCTTGTGTAACGAGATGACTATCGACGGGTTTCCTTCGGGGAACCCGGCACCAGAGAGAATCCACGTAAACTTGCAACGCCGTTTATCGTAGCCTTTCCCATTGTAAGTGACCATTGTTCCCCGCGGAAACCTCGACTTATTCTTGCTCCTTCTTTGTCCCTCCTCATCCTGAAGGTCTCGTAGAACGAGTTGTCCAGACTCGTTAAACGTGATGGCGCAATGGATCCCAGCGATGCCCTCCAGAGACTCTTTCCGGGGGAGAACGATGTCGCAGTCATCCTTGCTGGTTCCAAAGACGATACTCTTCCCGTTCTTTCGTTTGCTGTCAAAACCAAGACGAAGGCATGGGCTGTAATCGAACTCCTGGGAATCACCATTTCCGTCTTCACCCACCGACCGTTCACTGTCAGGGACACTCGAGTTGCCGCTTTCCCCGTCAATTCTGGGGCTTCGTGGCTCCGAAGAATCTTGGCTTCGATCCTCACGCTTGGCTTCGATGCGCATTGATAGATGCGAGTCTATCACTGCTCGTGCGTGCCCCAGAGAGTCCCCAGCGGGAAAGAGTCGAGCAATGAGCCGCGGGTCCTGCCCCGCCATCATGATTTCCACACGTCAACGTATCGGATTAGGGGGGTCTAGCTAGCACGAGATCGCCTCCGGTAAGTTGTGGCTTTCCCAGCTCGTTTTCGACAAACTGGGCCTTCCTACTAGCGTGTGTGAGCTAAGAACGATCTTGTTAATGCCAGCGGAAGTCACCCACTCGAGATATTTGGGAATAGAGTTGGAAAGCCGGAGAGTTTGGTGAGCAGCCCTCCACGCTCAGCAAAAAGAAAAAAGGAAGCAAGGTATTTGGCGTGACAGATGTAATGTGTACAAGAGGGTGATACAGGAAATCTCAAGTAACGAAATGTCAGTATAAGATTGTGGGTGTCCTTGAGAATCTTGGTGTTCCCAATGACAGTCATGTCATCGAGGTAGCTCCCAAGACCGAGAGCAATACTCGCTTTATCCACACACTTACACCCCATTTGCAAAGCCTGTCTCTTCATCATTGTACAGGAACAGGTCGTTGGGTAGGTAGGTAAAAACCTGCAGAAACGCCCAACCCGGAAATTCCCGCTGTCGAGAGACCCAACCTGAAGGCAGAATGAAGGCAGAATGAACTAGCTGCACAAGAAGCCCATTCATGGCTCATGCCGGGCGTCTCTTGCACAAGAAACAGGGCGGATGACTTGGCCAGTAAGGGTCGATACCGACGGCCTGCGCCCAGATAGGTACGTTAACCGCGATGCAACTAATGCGGGGGCGCGGGGTAAAGCTGTAACTTTTTCAGGAACCGGAAATGCGTTGGCAGGCTGGCATCAAGATCAGGTTGGTGGTGTTCGTTGGCGTTTGGCGATGGAAATGGGGCGCGGCGACTTCTTCGGGCGAGGCTCTGCTCCATGTCCAGCATTCACATTGTCTCTCACCTGGAAGCGGTGGCAGTCACCGAGTGCCAGATCAGTCTTATCCCCCGTACACGAGATGGAGGGAAAACAACGAGCCTTCAACAGGTTGAGGTGAGGTTATTAAATTGCTCAATCGCTCGAAGGGTATCTACGTGCCGTTTTCTTCCTCTCTGTACACGATTCTCTAGTTTTCTTGTATTCTCAAGAACGGATCTTGAAGATCGCAGACTGCCTGTTCGAGTGGTTGATGCCGAGTTCCGCCGAGTTCCACCAAGGTCAACAAAGACAACCTCTGACTTTGCAGGCCGAACCCACACTCAGGCCCCAAAAGTTTAAAACTCCAGAAACCAAAACCAAGAGTTGTAGGGTCGCGGTGAAGACCTTGGGAAGATTATGCTCCAACTTGCAAGGGGGGAAAGCTAATGTGCAGGGGGGGGGGGCTAATGGGACTCCTCAGATAGTACGTTGACAGACTGTAACTCAGGTACTTCGTGCTGGGTACTATTACAATGGGAGTCTTCGTCCAAGTAAAAGGCCATCATCGGTTGTTTGGGCGGATCCCAAATGACCACCCTACCTCACAACTTTGAGGATCTCTTCTATAAACGGTGGCCCGGTACTTTGCTTTCGTGGTAGCATTTCCTCCGCGAATATTGGTATCCACGCGAATGGAAACGCCCATCCAGTGGAGAATCAGAACGGGAGCTGTCTTCGAGTTCATTGTTCCGGACCGCACGCAAACTGGAATGTGGTGCCAACCAATAATTACTCGTCTACAAGTTAGCAATAACAACGGTTTGTGTTGGGAGAACAGCCCCGGAGAAGTTTACCAACGGAGTCCATGCCGCTGCGAAGTGCGAGGTTCGTCGACGGGCAACCGGTGAGGGAGACGTTGCCGACGACGAACACCTCCCCTACTGACCGACTGAGTGGCATCGACAAACTTGAAGCACACCGTCGGCGATATGCACGTTCAGCATAAAACAGCCGGGGATACGGCTCCTGCCCCCCGCCCCGAACCATCTCGGCTCTGCTTGAGTTCTCATGAAATAAGTGAACGCGTAAAAAAGCATCGAAGCAAAACGACGGTATTGGGGGATGGGGAAACAGAGCCACAGGGACCATGCTGTTGAGATTATCTTTTGCCCCGCTCACCTAGCTATGTGGTCTGCATGGAAGCGGATTGGCGCGAGTATCGGCCATGAGTCCTTCTGCATCTGGACAAGCATGGAACGTCGTACTCTGCCATCTCGCCCTGGCGACTCCCACATCTGTATGCAGCTTGGTGGAGCAAGCCGCCCCCCAACCAAATGGTTGTGTGGCTGTGTGCCAGCATTCTTCCTGGTATTCTTCCTGGTATTCTTCCTGGTATTCTTCCTGGTATTCTTCTTGGCGTTCTTCTTGGCGTTCTTCTTGGCGTTCTTCTTGGTATTCTTCCTGGTATTCTTCTTGGTATTCTTCTTGGCGTTCTTCTTGGTATTCTTCTTGGTATCCTTGCTCTCCCTAGCCTTCTCCCCTTTTCACTCTATACTCCAGGCATTCTTCTAGGTCTGCTACAATGCAACGGTTCCGCAGCGCCGTTCAAGTGGTTCTGGCCTGCATCCGGAATAGCGATGTGGCCACCGATGGTGCTGGATTCGGTGAGGAATTTGATCGCTTGCTTGATGAACTCCATTACAACGCCGCCGCTCGCAAACTCGTTGGAAACACGCTTCACAATGCTCTCATCTCTACTCAAATCCAACGTGCCGCAGTCTTTATGAGGGCCATGTGGGGCTTGACCCTAGCTTGGCATCTACCTGGCCGGAAGGGGCAAGATCTCGCTGATCTCTTGGCGGAACAAAGAAGTCCTCTGGACACGCCAGCACTCGGAGAATTCTCTTCCTCGACAGCAGGGGCCCCCCGCCGGTTACGAACCCAAGATGGAAAACTTACGAAGTATCACCCCGCTGATCCAGTGCTGCAGCTGCGGCTGAGGATGAGAAGAATTTTTCGCCCAGAATGGAGAACGGATCCGGCACGAAATGAAGAGAGGTAACTTTTTTCCTCAATGAAGAGACCAACACGCCCCTGACCCCTGTTCCTGAGTGTTTGACAGCTTGCGCCTGTGGACCCACAAATGGGGTGAATTCACAATCGTGAAGCTGGGGGGGGGGGGCACCCACGAGCCGGGTTGCCGGGTAACATCTTGGCATGGCAAGCCTGCTTGGTTACCGGCCCGGCACTTAGTCGCTTGCCAGCCGAGCAGGCATGCGAAGACGTTGAACGCCCCCTCCCCTCCCCCCCCGACGGCCCGGAGCAGGGCCTGGACTCTGCCCCGGTGTATCCAGCCGTATCTTACAATAAGCAGGGTATCATGATCGGTAAATTCAGAGATTTATTGTCCCCCCTCCCAACCCCTGCCCACCCCCCCTGACTGTCTGGCTTGTTGGGGGTACATGGTACCGAATACATACCCGTCCCTTGTCAAGCTTGGTAGTGTAGAGGTAGTCAACGAGTATCTACAGATGGCCGGGGGTTGGTGTTTTCTCTTCGGTAAATATCGGAACATTCCCGGCGAGCCCACTCGCACCGACTGGACAAGCAAAAAGAGCGACATGAACGTGTAAGACCCGCTCCACGACAGCAGACAGGAGGCACCCTCCCACGCTGAGCTCAACTGCGGCTGGGACTCTGGTAAACCTCCTGCAAAAAAGCCGCTGGGTGTGGCTTGCAGGGGTGGTTCGGGAGTGACGTTCACCAGGTTTCTGAATGGGGCATTCTGCAGGGATCAAAACTGTTGGCGAGGGCCTAGCTCTTTGCTGGGATGCGGCAAGGTGTGTCTCAATGGGCAGCAGAATCGGCACCGGCTGGATCGGCGAGAGATCACAGCCCTCATGGACAACTTTCGTCATCTATTGACGTGACCTACTGGCCAAGTTGCCAACGCATAATCACCCTCTATCCAGGCCTCTGAACGAGTATAAAGGGACCCGGGTGGGAACATCTTCGATGGTTGTGGTGTGTTGCCTTCTCAGTCTCCAAGAGCAGCAAATTGAACGGTCATCATCGGGTTCCCCACCATGTGTAAGTGCCTTCTACCCTCGTTACCGACGACAGTGAAGCTCCACGCCCTGGATATCTAACCCGTTTCAATGACAGCCGACAGTTTCCAAAACAATATGCCTGACGCCCCACTTCGCGTGATGGGCATTTGGTTGACAACGACCTCGCTCGATAGCATTGGGCCCATCCAAGTAGTGGTGATTAGCCCAGCCATATGTCCGTGTGCTTTCTCATCCTCACCCACTTTACCATGAGACACGAGCCTGCGAATGGCGTAGTTTGGGTACTGATGTACCTGAGTTAGGTTGGAACTGCTTTATTCCCGAATATTTGAGTGGTCTACTATGGAGCTATTATCCGCCAACCTCACAGGCCAGTGTTTATCTCAAGTTTGGGTATAGGTGGAATAATGCTTGGTACTGGCTGGAGTCCAATGGGGAATTTTCCATCGTTTCCGGATAACTAAAGCCTTCTGGGCGGAAACAGTGTCCGCCATGACGGATGCAAGGGGGGCTGTAAAAACACTTTTCGTTTACTAAAATTTGGGAACAAGGTTGAGAAACTGGGTAATATGCCAAGCTCCCGACAGACGTGAAAAGAAAGCCATTAACTACGGGGGAGCAACCAAATGTTCCGCAGTGGAAAGGCGAGACAGGGGCCTGCTGGGCCTTGCGTGTGACAATCTGCGTCTGTGATCACAAGAGAATTACGCGGGTACACATGCCGGGCCCGCTGGAGATCCTCAACCCCGATCTAGCACCCTGCTTTGTCTTGGCAGCAAAGCGCCACCCTTCCCGGCCTGAGCCCGTGGACCTGACCCGGCCTTTCCCGAATGTGAGCTGGAATTGCTTAAACACCGCTTTCTAGATCCTTGCCCATGTCCCCTCTTTTGTTGTGATGATTGTATCTTGTTACTGTTGAGGTGACAAAGGGATGGGCGCGGAAGGACGCCCGGTGCTTGTTGGGCCTAGGCCCTCCACCAGTGACCATTGCTTCCTGTCACTGCCGTCACGTCCTCTGTGATCTCTTTCTGCTTTCTCTCTCGGTAGGCCCCAAAGTGACAGGGGATGTCGCAGGTCTCAGAAAAAGAAACTGTTGCTAGAAGAATTTTTCACTCCCGACTAGTAGCTGCTTGCATGATCGCCCGTCAGCAAGCGGGCAGGTATCGCCGTGAGAAGATGGTTCCCATCTATAAAAACAGCCAGCCTAGCTGGCACCCTCATCCGTGATTCAATAGACCTCATGCGACATCAGTATTGCAACACGGTTTCTTGATCCCCACAGCCAACTAGTTCATGAAGCGCGCTGCGAGTCCTGCGTGTACTGTCAAGATGCGTAAGTCTCCGCCCTTTTGTGCCGTTCTCCCGTGTGACTGTGGGTAACTTGCGTTCGGAAGGTGGCTGGAGCTGACCATGGGGCCATGACCGAACCATTAGCTTTCATTCAAGGCAGCAATGAGGAGGTGACGACCGATGATATTCTTCGGGGTATCGGGGGATGGGTTGCCGACTCCCCGGGGCTCACAGCTGCGGTTGAGCTTGACGGGGAAGACGATGGCGTCTTGGCTGATAAACCGCCACATCCTGGTACGTCAAAAATCTCCTGCGTTCAATCCTGACGGATGGATCCAAGTTCTTCATTGTTGTTAACCCGTAGTTATTTGCCTCCTAGCAACGTAGATGCACAGAGCCAATCTGGGGCGGGCTGGGGGAAGGTGGCTTCAGATCCAACTAGTGTAAGACCTTCGAATTGGGGGAGAAGGATCGGGCCAAGAAGGGAGGCGCTTTGGCGGGCGGGTGGCTCATGCAGGTTGATCTTGAATAAGTTAATTGTGGCAGGGGCCGGAACCGGTGTGGCGGGCGTCTCAGGATACCGATTCACTGTCTTGTTACTGATTACATGGTTCTGGATCTTGATTTAGTGAAACATATCGTGCGTCAAGAACAGCATGGCTCCATGTCCCGGCTGAGAAATGGAGCGAAGGATATCGAATCGCTGTCGTGTGGCTTCGTAAATAAATCAGAGACGTCCTCATCAATCCAACAGTAATGCTGTGTGAGTCACGCTAGTGTGTGGGAAGGGCGTTTTGGTTCGCGAAGAATACTGGAAAAGCGATTGGTCTTAGTTTGTCGTGTTTGTTTAACTTTTGTAACTTTGGACCCAATCGGAGCACAGTCGGTGAGAGGCGGCGGAGAACGGTGGCCCCTTGCTTGATGATTCATTTCCTTCTTGTGTTTCTGTTGAGTGTTTGTGTTGCAGGTGGGGGCTGAGAGCTGCGAGCAGCGCGAGGCTGGGCTTCAGCGCCAGGCAGAATGGAAGTGGCGAAGGCAGTGAGCAGGCCCCCTCTCCTCTCCTCTCGTTTCGTTCCTCTTCCCTCTTCCCTCTTCGCTCTTCCCGTATTCCCCTTCCCATCTTCCTTCCTCTCTTCTTTGTGCCTTCCTCTGCAACATATATCGTCGTGCAACTTTGTTGATCCTCGAGGCACGAGGGCTTGTCTGAATTTTACGACAATGCCGTAAAGATGGAGTCAAAGACAATCTACGAGAGGATTGGAGCAATTTCGGTCCCTCAAAAGCCCGACCTTCATCCCTCTTGCCCATTTATACCACAGCCTGCTTCGATATCCTCCGGAACTTGTCAAAGTCTAGGTGTAGGTGAGGTCTCCCCGATCACGATGTATCGCTATTTCATTTTCACCTCTAGTTCCCTCCAACGTGGCTGACTTCAGTTTGGAATTTTATCTAACCCTGTGTCCATTAGACAGAAACGTCCGCGATGCTCCACGTACTGGGTCATACACGTATATCACGCGCCGTTTGATCATCCTGATTTCCTCCGTCGCCACAGCCATCATCTTCCTGTACCGAACCGTGCCTACCAGAACCCCCCTCGCTTTGAAACATGCCGCGAGGGACATCAAAGTCAGGACTAAGGTTCTAGCATGATAGACCACGAGTCATGTTCACCACGAGATCTGATGCCTTGCCCGAAAGGCTTGACTAAAGGCATCACAAGCTCGACCCTGGACCACGCACGGCTCGGCCGACCGGTCCATTTTGTGTCTTTTCCACGCGATAAGCACTTCCACCCAACGCCGTTCAACAAATGGCTTCCGCTGCGCATTGGGTCAAAGGCTTCCCATCGGCAGCTCACGCTGATGGTTATATCCCGGTTGCGAAAATTTCAAGCACATAGAGAGGTCCGGTGCCACCTCTACGCTGTCAGCAGCATGTTTTCGGGTTTTATTTTTCTTTAAAGACTCACTCAGTTAATCTCTACTTACACAGCCAACCTTGACGGGAGACCCGTCAAGGTAGGCGACATCAAAATCACGAGGACCTAAGTCAAGAACCACCTGATGTTGCAGATATGAGTCAATGCGGATGTCAAGCGCTCAGGCCTAGGGCCATACCCCCGCAAGGCCTTGGCCATGAGCAGTAGTGTTGAATCGTGGCCGATGGCCTTGGGTTGACGTGGCGGG